TCCAACGAGATAGCGGGACGTGTGTGAAATTACCTGGCTGGCGCTAAAAATAAGTGTAATTTGATTGAATGAGGGGAATTCTGGAGAAAACTGAGCTTTGGGGACACAGACAAGGAGATCCTGAATGAGACACGGACACACAAATGTCCTTCAATCTGGAGACACAGAGCTCAAGGCCGCTCTGCCGTACAGTTAATGCCTTACATGGTTGCGGTAAAGTTCCTGTCCTTCATTTTCACAATGCTTTAAGAATTAGCACAGCTTAGTTAGCTCGGGAATATTTTATATATATAGATTACATTGGCCCAAAAGTCGAAAGAGCCCTTAAAAAAAAATTCCCTAGGATTATTTTTCAGCAGGGCCCAAGTCTCGTGCAGCTCCTCGGGAAAGAGATCCAACGCGAGAGCTTTACAGACTCAGCAGGTGGACCAGCTGGAGCCCGGGGGGGGGGGGCTCGCGGAGCACCGGGAGTCCTGTGATGCTGCACGCACGCAGGAAGCCAGTGGACTGTGACGTAGTGGACTCAAGAGGCCGAGTCCAAAGAGCGGCTTTAGTAGCGTCCCACTGGGACGGACGGCTCCCTCTCCGGGCTCAAGCAGCAGCGTTATCCGGTGAAAAAACCTCAGGATGCCACTTTCCTGCATCCAAACCCCCCCAACCTCCCCCCTCCCCCCCCCCGTGTGTTCCCCTCACCCACTCTGCCGAGGGCTGCCTGATTGGTGTGTGTGTGCGCGTGTGTGTTGACTGGTCATTAGTCTCTGTTTACAGTGGAGGGACCACGGGCCAGCTGGCGTGTGACGTGTGATGTGCGGCGCTGTAGTCTACCACTGCGAGACCCCCGTGGCAGAGTCGCGGAGGCCCAGCGACCCCCTTCCCCAGGCGGGCCGCAGAGACCGCGGCCCGCCCTCGGCAGATGGAGCCTCCAGCGTTTCCAGTCACTCTTTTCCTACGAGCAGGGAAGAGGTGGAGCGGGCGCCGGAGGTGGGACTGGCCCCCGGCCCCCGTCACAGATGCCAGGAGAAGGCTGAGACTCTGGCGAGACCCTGCTGGGAGGGTGCTGGGCCGGAACAGGTGCAATCTCGGCCCCCTCGATCCCCCTCTGTCAGCACCTCGGCGGTGGAAGCCGGCGCTCTCTTCCTGTCCTCGCCCCTTCTCATTCACACGCTCGAGAGGTGTTGTGGGGCTGTTGTTGTTGTTGCCCCCCCCCACCTCTACCGCCGGCCATCAACAACACGGCGCTCCTGCTGCCTTGTACCTTTCCCTCTACGAGAACAAAAGTAAAATAAAGTGCCAGGTTCAAAGTGCATTAACTGTGTGTCTGTGTGACCCTCGGAGGGCAAACTGTGGAGTTGTGTCGACTCAGGCGTTTTATTCTGCTGGCTGTGGGGGGGAGGAGGGTCGGGGGGGGGGGGGAAGAAGACTCCCGGGCTGACACCGCCACTGCCAGAGAGCCGACGCAAACCACTCTCCCATCAGTCCTCGCTTCATCACAAGTGGCTTTAAGACAAAGAGGTTGAGCGGCATACCTGGCTCCGATCAGCATCCTGCATGATGGAAAGAGTTTATGACAGTGGGGGGGGTGAGGAGGGTGAGGCAAGGCCCAGCAGGCCACCTTGACCTGTCCCTGCTCAGAGGACCTTGATGAACCCTATCACCAGTTCCCCCCCACCCCCCTCCTCCCTAGAAGCGACCTGGCCACTCCAACCACCACTGAGTTATTATCATAATTTCCCAGAGAGGCATCGCAGGGCCTCCGCGATCAGAGAGGCCTCCGTGTTTTACAGAATGTTTGGTGTTTTATTGCCTTTAAGTCACTCAGGCCAGCGGAGAGCGCGCTCACAATGATAAGAAAACCAGTCATGTGAAAAATGAAGGACCTGGCGTACGGGACTGAGAGGTGAGGAAGGGAAATAATAAAATACATGACAAATGTGGAGCGGGGCCGTATTTCTTGATCGAACCCCTGTCTCGCCCTCCAGCCCGCTGCACTAAAAGCATATGAGGGGAAATATTAATAATGAAATTCAGTCTCACTGTTTCAAAAAGAACAGAAGCTTTTTTTCTTTTTTTTTTGCTCCATCTCATGGTGTAAAAAAAATAAATAATAATAATCTCACTCCCCCTCCCGGGTGCTTTGACAACATGACGGCCGCAAGATGCCCAGGGGCATTCAGAGCTGCCACGGCCCCGGCCATTTCATGTCCGAGCCCACCTGGGGTAAACAAAAAAGGACTTGGAGCGATAGAATATTAACTAAAGAAGCGAAGGGGGGGAAATTGCACTGACAAAACTGAAAATACTTTTAAAATCCATCAAACTTTCAGTCTTTAAAAAATACCCCTTTCATTTTCTGTTGTGGCGTTAATTCCCCCCTCCTCCTCCCGCAAACCCCCCGCCGTTTTTTTTTTTTAAAGGTGCAGTATATCTAATGAAAAAATAAAACATGTGTTTAATCTAGCTATTTCAAAAGCAAATCCCCTTTTGATCAAAAATGATATTGATCTGACCGCCTTAGTTGTGTGTGGGAGGATTTCTCCTTTAAACTTGAAATAACCGTCTATGTGGCGAATCAATACTGCGGCTGCTTTTTGAGGCTTGTTTCAAAGGGCAGGAGACCCATTTAAATATGCTTGTTATAGTTGAGCTGGTGAAATGAATGCGTAAAGCGGGATCTCGGGCCTGGCTTGAAAAAGGTGGTGTCTTTATTTTCTTGCCTGTTTTTTTTTTTGAACTGATAATAATCCTCCCGTGACCGGCTCGTGGCACCTGCCGGCCGGGTCGGTGACAGGGAACCCGTGACAGGCACGCGGCCCCTGGTGGAATGAACTGGTCCTAATGTTCCTTGAGCTTCAGCGTGTCTGTCCTCACCCCTCACTCTCTGTCTGCGGGGCCCCCGGCATCAGGCCCCCCGGCTATCTTCACATCTCCCCATTTTCTTTAATTACAAGTCAGCATATTGCTTTCGGGCCGTGGAAGGCAGATATTGAGAGCAGATAAGATGTATAAACTTCTGTCAACACCAGAGCATATTAGGTGGAGCTGGAAGCGTATTATCTCTATTCTATCCTTCCAATTAGCGCCCAATATCAAAATACATTAGAGCGAGCCCGTCAATGAGGAGCAGGGGAAAACATTACATTAACATGGCCTTCGGCTGTTTTTTTAGCAAAAGTTTGTCCCTTAGTGGAAGTAATTTCCACCGAGGGACCCAATAAAAGCACAGATAAATTACCAATTCAAACTGGATGGCCTGAGAACTTGGTTGGTTCTTGAGTAACAAACTGCTGCTTTAAAAATAAACTGTGTGGATTCACATGAGAAAACGTATTTTCCTACATAAATACGGTGATTTTTGGTTTCGCCGCCGTGTTTCACGCGTCCCATCAAATCAAAGAACTTTAAACACCGTGTCATTACTGGAACATTGTGAATGAAATATCGGATTACAGAAGAATCCGTTGGGGCGACATGGATTTCTACAGCAGTAATGGCTCCATTATTTTAATAGAAAAATGTCAGGCAAAAACAAATTACACCCCAAACCCATGTGAGGCCCGTATCGTCTGATCTCATGCACGCAGCGTAAACGTGGCCTCAGACTCAGCTCACCTCTCAGTGACACCGCGTTCATCCGGAAGTTGCCCCCCCCCCCCCCCCCCCCAACCGCCCCCATAACCAACGAGCTCTCTGAGAACACAACCGTCTTCTTCACCAGAAACAATGTACACGCTGTAGCTGTTTAGACGTGATTGAATTCACTGCACCCAGACGGCGCGATGTCATTCTGATACGCCGCCGCACCGAGAGACACGGAGAGAATGAAAGGAGAGGAGAGGACGGGGGGGGGGACGGGGGGTGTTAGAGAGAGGTCACTTTGAGAAGCTGGATGCAAGCATATGCCAAACAGCATCTCTCTCTCTCTCTGTCTCTTTCTCTAATCCCCTCTCTGATCCGCCGATGATCGGGGGCCAATCATTCGAGGGGCCGGCCACGACCCGTGACCGCCGGGCCCTAATCCGGGTTCCTCTGGCCCGTCCGCAGCCCACCTCGGACAGACCCGGGCCGGCTGCCAGCGGAGGAGTGGCAGGCTTAGGCTTCTCCAGAGAGACAGCTAGAGGTTGTCTCTACATGGATGGGCACTTCGCGGGCTCGGCGGGGGGGCGGGAGGAAGGGGCAACACAGCAGCTGCTCGGGGCATATGGGTAGAATTCATTAAGTCTGGCTAAATAAGCCAATTGTGGAGGCGGTTTAGAAAAAAAAGAGAAAAGTGTGCGTCCGTTTGTCTGATGGAGAAACCAACAAGAGATCGCTTCGCCGCTCAAATATTCCGACACACACGCGTATTCTGGGCACAAATATCCCGTGTGACAGCTTCGTCCTGAGGTATCACACTTGATGAAGTTGATTCAAGGCCCATCTAACGAAAAAGAAATCCAGATCTATTTGTGATGGGCAGTGATTGAGCTGTTAGATGCATAGATTACGAGTCCTTGAGGATTTTGCTGTGCATCTCCAAATGTCTTGAGAGACTGCAGGCCGCCTCAGAAATAAACCTAATCACAATCTGTAAATGTTACAGCTGTTTCTCTAATAGACTTGGCTTGACTTTGGAGGCCCGCGTTTATATTCACACGCATGAACCAAAGGCGAGGCTGAATGCTGATACTAGACCAGCGCACGCTGAAGGCACATTGTACGAAGGAAATCAGATCAAACTCTGCGCAGCCCGCGTGGATCTGAGAACGTACGTATGGCTTCCCGCGGCCTCGAGATTCAGCGTTATCACATCGCTGTAATAAACTCGTGTCACTTTGAGGAGCGCGCACCCGACACCGTCCGCGGCCTTACATCCATTCCTCTTTATCCAGTAAAAGGTGTAATGTATGCTAATCCCCCAGGTGTCAATAGGAACTCTGTTCAATGCATTTGAGATAGTAGTGAAGAAAGGGTTGCTCTATCGAAGACCTGCAAGATAAAGTCAATGGCACAGTCAATAACAATAAGGTTGTAGGCTTTAATGAGGAATGTTAATTTGAACACAATCAACTGGATTTCAGCTTAGCTGATTATCAACCTTGGACTTGTATGAGGGTGTTGATAATGCCGCCCGTACAGGAAGGGCGTTTGTATCTGTGATGGCTTTTTTTCACAGCAGCGTTTTCACACAAAATGGGTTCGCCTTGTGGCGGTTTAAGTTAAAAACTCGCTTAACAAATAAGGGCACATTTTCAGCACTGTTCACTGCCGCAGCGAACTTTATTCAGAAAATACAAGAAACACGGTATATACTATATAAAAAATATACATTTTGGAAAACAATTAAAGTAACTATAACCAAAGTCACAGTCACAGTCCGTAGCTCCGCCTCACGTTACAGGCAACGCGGCCTGCTCCTCGCTGTCTCCTTGATCCCATTCCATCATCAGCTCTGAGGACACCTCTGTAAACAGATGATCCCAGTCCCAGCTCACATCCTCCTGCATAGCAGAAAGACGGGGTGGGGGGGGGAATTAAGAGAGGCCGGGGGAGACATTCCAAGGAAGATAGCACGCGGAACGGGGAGCAAAGAGAGGAGAATGGGGTGAGGAGAGCAGAGGGTGTTAATGTACACATCATAAATCTTGATTACCTGGGAGACAGAGCGGCTACCTCCCACGGTGCTCCAGAAACAGCTGGACAGGCGTTCACCGGGAGCCCACAAGCTATATTTACTTTAAAAAAAAATCACTCACCTCCTTCACCTCCTGTTCTGGTGCTAAAACCTTGGTTAGTAGCTTCAAGTCAATCTCTCCATCCTGGAGAAAGATCGCAGGCAAATTCACTCAGCTTGCACCAACAGAGGGGTTGTTGGTTATGAAATGAAGAGAGGCGAGAATATTTAAGAGACTTGAAAAAGAAATGCACCTGACTTACTAGGGTCTGGAAGGCGGAGTAAGACCTCAGGTCGTTGTCCAGATCTCTGTAGGTCATTACCCGGTTCACCTGGATGCTAACGGGGGTCACAGAAAGTCAGAGGACACTTAGCCGTTGTCCTGACTGAAGTGCTTTCACGCTACATGCAAACTGCGCACCGAGTCTGCGGAGTGGCTTTTTAGAAGTTTGAGGTCTGTGCACAAAGGAGCACCAAGACTGGAAGCAAAGGCCATAGAGAGCAGGAGATGGTTGCCAAGTGGTAAACGCTTCAAATTGAAACCCAGCTGCTTATCTGTGGGTTGGAATTAAGTGTGGGGGGCGAGGGGGGCGGGGGGGGGGGGGCTCTCAAAGTGGCCGGGGCCTAGCAGTGCATGCCAGTCCTACTTACTGCACATTACACGCTACATTGCCCCCGCAATGAGTTCAATGTGGATATTATCTCGCACGGAGAGCAAGCCCCAGCCTAATAACCTCCACCGCTGTCATAGCCTTGCTACATATTGGACACATGTCGGCGTGTCTCTCACTGCCCTGTAAATCAAAGGCCGCCGGTTAGTTGAGACCCTGGTAACAGAGTTGCATAAATCACACCAAACTGGTATTTCTCTATTTTTGCCCAATAAAGTAAGACGCTCTGCAAAGGCACCAGTGGAGGACGGGTAAGCACCGAAGTCACCACAGCAGGCGACCGATCCAAATGGATCTGGGGACACAATGTGGGTATTTGTGTGTGTGTGTGTGTGTATGTGTGTGTCCTGTGTGAGTGATAACAGTCGAAGGCGTCACTACCTTGGTGGGGCTGCAACTTGCATTGTTAGATCGTCTTCCTGTACTTCGTCGAGGTCCGGAATCACTGGAATATCTGAAAACCAATAAACAGAGGCCGTCACATTTTACGAACAATCCGATAACATAAAAACGTGCAGGAAATAGGAAAAACGGATCTGATTTGCAGCCAAGTGACGGAATCACTGATGATAAACGCAGAAAATCCCCCGTGTGCGGCTGCAACATCTTTGTTTGAATACGGGTACGTGTGACCAGGTCTGTGTGGCACTTCCCTCCCCTCCCTCCCTCCTTCTCTCTCTCTCTTGTTACATTCTCATAAGAGCTGCCCTGTCACAATAGCCATGCGGCCATGAATATTCAGGAGGCGAGGCGGCAGCTCTTCGTGCTGTGAGAGGGGCGCTAGCCGGGGGCTCCCCAGAATGCACCCCCTGCTACCTTAGCATTTGGGCCCTGTCAGCGCCGGGCCGCCCCGAGGACCCGCGGCGGCCGGCGGGCCGACCTCCGTGTCCACTCTGCCACTCCGACCGGGGCGGCATCCAGCCATGTGCAAGAGTATTTGCTCGCGGGCCCATCTGTGTGGGGTCGGAAGTCACAGCGCGGCCTGGCAGGAGCCGCGGTGCCAGGAGCCGCCGACCCGCTGCTCAAACAGTGGGAACCCACTTTAATTGGCAAAACGCAACAGGACAGAGGATGGCTCTGCTCCCGAGAAGGACGGGGTAAACTTTCACAGCGCTTTTCAGACGGACATTTGTTGGAGCGGGGAAATAGAACATTTTAAAAAGCAGAACTAAGGAGAGAGAAAGATCGAATGTAATTTGACTAAATGAATCTCTATTTAATCATTACAATGAAATGCAAGACTCATTATATCATGTTATATTTATCATATGAAGTCAACTGCATACAGAGGAATGGACCTAACATAACAATCAATGAAGGAGAACCATCAATCATGTCAGTACTATTTTACTATAATTTTTTTTATAGACCGCTGACAAAAAACTTCCATCTGCCCTCAGAGAAAACGCGTTAACCGTGGATGCGATGGAGGATTTACCGAACCATATTTTTTTTCGGGGGCTGCGCGTCCTTATGGGCTCGACAGCCGAGCGATGACGGTGAGAGAGAAGCACGGAACACGCTGAGAGAAGAAGGCAGGGCTGGACTGCACGGAGAGGCTTGTCAGTAATCTCTAACCACACTGCTGCGCCCTGAAGGGAAAGTCAATAGAGGAGCTAAATAGAAGTGAGGAGATGGAAGTGTGCATCTGATGCGAGGAAATATCTCGGCATCTGTGTCATTCCTTCAAAATCAACTCTGGGAAATAAACTGGAGTTGCAGAAAACATTCATTTTTGATGGAAAACTAAACATTTCACTTCTCCATAGAAGTTACGGACTGTTGAAATGACGAGAAGCTTCTGTTATTTTAGTTTTTTATCCTACAAAGCCAAACCGATCAACTTTGAGTAGATCAAAAAATAAAAAAAGCTCACCCTTTGTTGATAACTTATTTCTTTCTCTTTTTTAATTAAAACCAAATTAAAAATGCCAAGCTCGTTTAGCCGCTGACAAGATTCATCTGTGTTTCTGATATCCAAATAAATGCGGGTGCGGGTACTTCATATTCATGAGGCCCCGGTGACACTTTGTCCTCTCATTTACAAAGCACAGCGTTCAGCAGAATCCGTCCCCCCCGGACCCCCAATCAAATTTAATGGTCTTAGCGCGATGACATCAAAAAGCCTTGCCGTCCGGCTCCTTGCAAACAGCTTCCCTTTCATTTCAGCCAGTAATGCGCCATTACCCCCCTCCGCGAGGGTTCAGCGTGACGCACGCAGGCCGATGTTGTCTATATGCAAAGTCCATTATTAAGTGAAAGAAGAAACAACATTTTCAAACGAGGCTTCAAATCCAACACATTACCGGAGGTCAAAGCGGGGGGGGGCGAAACCAAGCCGGTGTTTTCGGCTCCGTCGGCGGGGAGCTGCCTCTCCTCGGCGCGGCACATGACCTGACGGACGGACGGGTGTCAAGGTGGCTTTCGTCTGGGCGCCGAGCGGGAAGGCCGCGCGTGTAACTATCAAAAGGTTGATGATTTGCTGCGGGAGGGTAGGGGGGGGGGGGTTGTAGACATGCTCCCGGGCAGGCACACGCCAGTCAGTGACTTTAGAGATCCGGGCATCTACGCAGGCGTCCTGCTCAAATGACTCCCCGGGTACGGGATCCATTTGAAAAGGACTCCAGAGGGGGACAATACTGGACACATCGCAGGCTAAGAGGAGGACAGTGGCAGATGAAACGGATGAGCGTTTTTTCACCACGGCCGCTATTTTGAGTGACCAGCAGGACGCTGTGGGGGGGCAGCTGGTGGGAAGATGGGTACTGGGCTAGCATTCTCTCTCCCCCTCTCCCCCCCTCTCTCTCTCGTCCTCCTGTGCTCGTAGCCGGTGGACATAAGGGATAAGGGCAGGGGACATAATCAAGATCGCAGGGGCTATCTCACTAACCCTCAGCACTGTAATTTCCAATGGCCCAGCCTGCGGCTCTGCATTAAGAGGTCTCCCTCCACAGAGTAATAATCTTTCCGCCGGCCTTAACTGCTAGAGAAACCAAACCTCTGGACTCTTCAATTAACCGGCCGTTTGAGCCAGCGCGTACTCCACGGTCACAGACAATATGTGTGTGTGTGTGGAAAACGTAATAGATATGTGAAATGTTTGAACCCTTATTCTCGAGACATTTAATTTAAATTGAGCGGTAATTTGGGCATTTTTGACAAAAAAAATTAAGTTAATAAAAATTAAGTTAAATTCTGCACTGCATTAAAGATAATGTAACACTTGGGAACAATGCAACACTTACTTTAGAGAATTGATCATTTCTTTTTTTTATAATTATTTTAAATATTTATTTAATGGTTTGTCCAACACAGTCCTCATGAGAAAATAATTTGAATAAAATTACTTTTACAATTTTGACTTTATTTATCAATTTATTTTATTATAGACAGCATTGTGATCTGCAATTGAACGTGCATTTTTTGTTTAGAACGTGCATATCATCACATTTATTTGTGAATGGCATTTCTCGAACCTACTGGAGACACTTGTGTGTGGAAGTCCTTCAGCGTTTCATGCTGCTAATCTTTACTGAGGCAATTTGATCCAATTTCCCCAGCTGCCTTGTGCCACAAAACAGAACAATTATTCCAGGCGAGTTTAGCTGAAATTTCCCCCTCAGTTCTGACATTGTTTGTTGGGCCCTCAGGTGACTCACTTACCGCTAGATCTGTATTCTACCTGACACTTTGTGTGCGCGGTGTGTTTGTGGCCGACTGTGTCGCTCCGGGTGGGGAGGGGAACACTTGAATCCTGCCTCGGAATATTCCCCATCACCTAAAGCTCGGACCTAATTCAACGAGCACGTCCACCGCTGACACGGTGTCACACGCCGGCCAACGGGATGAACGCAGAGTTTAAACAAATTAATCCGTAATGGACTCAAGGAGAAATATGTTGCGAGCGGCGGTGAGAAGCGATGACCTGACCGCCTGCTTATCTGCTCCACTTCCACAGGAATAATGCGGCGGGGAGGCGCTGGAGGGGCTCCTCTGTGCCCGTGAGCAGAGGCACGGAGTGGGGGGGGGGCAGTGAGGGTGCTCTTACCTCCTTCATCATCTGATCCCTGGGGAGTTTGCGGTCGCAGGCGGCGGCTGTGGAAACAGAGAGTGTGTGAGAGCGCCGACTATTTCATGCTTTGAAAGACGCAGCCCAGCGGTGAGGTCGACACTGAGTTTGAGTGAGTTGCCTCTTGGGTTCCTTTTCTTTGATGGTGGGCTTGTTTTTTTTTTGTCTCATCTTGAGAACGATGGTGCTGTGAGACGTCACTTTGCTGTGTGGGAGGGGGGGGGCGGACTGCCAGGCCTAAACAAGATCGTCTCTAGGATTTAAAACAAAAAAAAACGAAGATAACAGCTGGAGCTGAATAAGTATTACTGAGCAAAGCCTCGGTCTCACTACAGCCGCTAAGGCCCAGCGGAACATCGTCCTCTACCTGCTCGCCTCATGATGTCTATTCTAGTCACAGAATGATGTGATGGGGGGAAAAAAAGAGAATAACAGGAAAACTTGGCTCCTAAACGCAGTAAAAGTGTTGACAACTCAGTCACGCTGTGTTTTTAATCACGTTAAGTGATTGTTCTTGGAAGGCGAGGATTAGTTGCGACCAAGGACGAAGTGAAAATACGGCGCTATTTCCACTTTACTGCGAAGGGAAGAAACACTTAAACTGACCTATTTTAAAACCATACACACAAAAACGTCATCCTCCGGGAGGACAATGAAATAAGTATATGCTGGCTGAGGGAAACTTACTCTTCCAGGTTTTCAGCTGCAGGTCTTCTTGAAGATCTGTACAACAGCAGAACAATGTAGAATGAATCATTAAATTACACACTAGTGATACAGTATACACACACACCTTTGGGTCACATGGTTAGAGACATAAATAGGATGTATCATACATCCTCTCCATCTGTATCTCAGGATAGTTATTCCTGCTGTATCAGACACAGCGGGGTCTCCTCGTCTGTCTCAGCCTCGTCTCCCGCTGGACCATTTACACGGCTCAGCTGGAGCAGAGCACGTCAGACACCAAAATACCGTGTTTTGACACTTTGCTGCCTCAACATAGTAGTTTTTAGCATTCCAAATCTGTTTTAGGAAAGGTGCAATCCAGCCAGACAACAAGGAAAAAACATTTTCATATTACCTGAGAAGTAGCATAACAAAGGAATCAGCGCAGATATGTTTTGGTGTATTTTCATTAGTAACCCCAAAAATGTGTATGAGGAATTTTTTTCCTCTCATGCATAATCCTTTGACTAGTTCTCCTGGTTGAGTAGTGCCCCCTATTGGTGTTTATATAATAGCAACAGTCTTTTCCTTGCTGTCATTTTCATCCTTTCATGCTGCCAAATCAAGTTGGTCTGCACTACTGATTTCCTGCAGCATTGATTATTAAAAGTGTGTCGAAAAACAATCAACGAAAGACATGCATATCATAGTGCCCGAGTACCATTGATGGGATTAAAACCACTGCAAACTAATAGCCGTGGACAGAGAACATTAGAAAGAAAGTAAATAAAAGCTTACAATAAAAATAGCACCTTTACACAAACTCTGATTCCTACGTTCATTCGTGCAGGAGAGGGTGATCCCTCAGTATTCAGGAAGAAACCTTCTTTCCCTTTAGTGAAAAGTTCATCTGCGGGGAGTTTTCTGTACAGACCGAAAAAGCCTTAAAGGCTGATTTGATTTGGGACTTTGGGTTGTATAAAAAAAACTAAAAACAATTGGAGCTTATCAACCCAAGGAAAATATTGCTCGCACAAAAAAAAGAAAACCAGACAGCGGACCTTTGAGTACAATGTCCCCTGGAGTGGACGGGGACATGTGAATACCCTTCTGCACCACACATCAACTGTCATCCATCGATGGAGACGTGCATTTGCTCTCGGATAACCATTAACTGATCATTTCTTTTTTTTTTATCAAGGTGGGGAGGGGGGGGACGTAAAATAAAAGGAAAGGTTGACTTTGAATAGATCGAATGAAACACAATCAGCAAACCAATTCTCCAGGAAAGACCAAGAGCCTTGAAGATACGGGAGCCCGGCCGGACCAGGCGGAGAGGAGCTGAGGGAGACTACCTGCCTGCCCTTGGACTGTGTCCTGTCTGGGGGGGTGGGGGGGTGGGAGGAGGGATGGGGGGTGGGGGGGGGGGGGGCTGGTTGGCGACACTTAAGACACATTACAGGCCCCTTGATTAAGACTCATGTAAGGCAAAGCGATAGACATGGTAAAACTGTCTGGAAAAAGTTGTTAGGGATAAAATATATTGTGACAACCGGGCTTCAAAGGTTCATCAATAAACTGACAGATCATTTAGTGTCAATTAGAAGTGATAGATCGACAAATCCCGGGATTTCGGCGCCGGGATTAGTGGGAGGAGGGCGGCGGTGATTGAGCGCGAGGGGTGACATTGAAGGGAGAAGTCCTTGCCGGTTCCAGGGGGGGCCATTACTTACTTTGTTTCACGGAGGATCAATGCGCACGCAAAACCCCCCTTTTACACCTCCTGTATTTCAATCGCTCCCAGGGACAAGGGCCCGAGCGGGGTTACGTAAAAGCAGAGAAGCGACGCACTGACCTTCTGCGAGGGAACAAATATCTATCGCGTTTTCCCTGCTTGCACTAACGGTGCAGTAAACTAAGCAAATAAGCACAATTCGGCTTCAATACTTGTTCTTCTCGCCCCCTCCGAGGCCGAATAGGCGCACGCGGTGGCAGGCGGACCTGGTTGCACACCACAGTAACGCGCCTTTACGATGATTAAGTCATGAGGCCACATCTAGATTTGGATTTGTCCGTGGTGGACGGCGCTTTTGGCAAACACCTCCCATCTGTTCCGAATAATTCCACACGTTCTCCAGTGTTGTGCTCCCCCTGTAAAAGAGCAGACTGCGGTGGTAAGGGGTTGATTAAGTGGCTCGAACCCCCCCCCCGTGATGAAGTGGCTGGCTGACTAACAGTGCCCTCCTGTGGCTGACGCATTAACCATGTCAATTACCGGCCCGCACGCAGATGAAGACGAATGGAGAGTTGCCCGCTCAGACGGGCTCCCCGACCCCCCCCAAACCCCCCCTAACCTTGTTGATTCACAGCGCCGAGTGCCAAATATGCACTGATAAATAAGCTCATTCGACAGCATGAGAGTTCATTAATAACACGTAAAACCGCGACCACTGCCTGACCGTCGACGCCTTCAGCGTGGCCGCGGGACGAGGAGTAAAGTTGAGGGTACGTACCTGGCAGATGCAGAACCGGAGCTTTCTTCGGCCCAGCCACCCTGCCGCCGGGCCGGTTTAGGAGGAGGACCCTGAGAAAAATAGCAAAAGGCTTAATTCAGTGAGTACTCACTCGCATAGAGGATAGATCAATCAGAAATCTTAGCATTCTAACCGTTATTAGGTTTCATTCTCGTAAGATGGACCATATAAATATCCTCTTTGTGTAAGTTTGAGTTTTAGGAGTTGTCGGAAGTGTATGTCGTTGTTTGGTATAGTGATGAAAAGGCCAAATTGTTTAAGTAAAAAGAAAAAGTGGAACTGTGCCATAAGGTGACCCTCTAGTCTACAACAGAAAAAGCAAACTAATTACACTTCATACAATAAAATGCCAGTTTGATTGTGCTACTTTGGTATGGGGATCACATAAACCAAGGCTCATCTCTATGTGGCGAGCTGCCAGAAAAAAAAGAAATGTCCTGTACGGTAAACCGATGCACGTGCAGCAGAGTCAAATGCACTCCATTGTTGTGCTTATTGTTACAGTTCTCAACAGCGAGCATATCCAGCACACATGGAGGAGTGTGGGAACTGCCAGGGCCTGTAAGTCTGACCCTAAAAATAGATCCAACAGGAAAAAATTGACCCTCTCCCTCTCATTCTTTCATTCTTAGAATAGTAAACGGAGTAAGCATCTCGATCCTGAGACCGGGACCCTGAGACCAGCACTTGAATGAATGAATTCCTCAGAGCACAAGAGGGTGGGCACTAGACAAATGAAGAAGAGAAAAAAAGAAGAAAAAAAAGGCACAACATTTCTCATTACTAAATTGGGTCTGCAGAGGACAAAGTGCTCGTGAAGAATTTCTTTCGTTTATGATGAAAGAGGAAATAATCTTTCATGGCTGGTTCCTTCACCGAAGCCATTTATGAATCTGAATGTCACCATTAAGCAGGGTAAAGGGAGGGGGGGCGACTCTGCTCTGCTGTATATTACCATTAATCGAGAGAGCTGAGGCTGAACAAGCTCACTCAACTTTGGGTAATTAGTGACTGTCTCTTTATTAGGAACAAAGGGGATTATAATAAACGCAATTGAGACATTTTAAGTAACATTAGAAGAATAGCTTCAAGTGATGTAAAAATCCATCTCATGCCCAATGTTTGGTATTTCCTAAAATTAACCATTTTCATGAAAGTAGGGTCAAATATCTATGGGGGTAATAAATACATCCTGTGACAGTTATTTCACTACAAAAAAATGGAGGGGACCATAAGTGTCATGAGAAACAAAACAGATCCGCGCCTTAAGCTCTTCATGACCAAATATGAACCTCACAGTTGTAGTAAAATAGTTATAGCTGTTGAGGCAATTAGCTCAGCTCTCGTAGTTGCTATTTCAGGGCCCTCTGGGGGTCTCTAGGGGAAGGGACTCGCGGTGGCCAAACCCTACGAGCCCATAAAAGCGAATGAGCCTTTGTCTGAAAGGATGTCAGGAATGTGACCAATCATTTGGGTATTTTAGGCAGGAGAGGCCCGGGTGGATGAACGAGGACTGCAAATAATCCACCAAGTCGCACGACACTCGGGAAAAATGTATTGCATGCGCACAGCGGGTCAGAAAGGGCGCGAGAATACCGGTTCATACATTAGGGAAATTGGCCTAGTTTGGGAAGATTAGCCTAAAGCTAAAGCATTGCAGGAATGTTTTTGCTTTGGGAATGTTGGCTGGTTTATTGTTGCCAATCCAAGGGAAGTGACTGATACCATAAATGCCAACAACCGGGCAGTGAAATTGTTTGATATATTTTAACTGTCACTTCGGATTTGACTTATCTTGTATACGTTTGCCATATATTTAGTCTGAATCTAGCAACATTAATTCCAACATGTTTGAAGAGGCAGACGTCAGTGAGAAGGGTTGGAAAATATCTGCGACAAGCTGGCAGCATAACAAGAAGATTTATGAAAATTGATGATAGAGCCGTGTGGATTTTAGTGACGTAATCTGCTTGTTTTTCAATCTGGCCGTTTCAATTAGAGTGTTCTAAAGATTAAAAGGGTTTCGGAGTTTGTACACTTCAAAACATCTCATGCAAGTACATCAGATCCAAAACACACAGCTATATAAATAAAAAACAGCTGTATATGCTATGAAAATAAATATACATCTATACTTCGTAACATGTGCTTTTAACAAGGCTGCTGAAATATAAAATATGGTGGCTCTCAACCCGCCTGGATGTCATATGGGAGCAAATGAGGTAAAGCAAACAATCAAGGTCACTCATGTTAAAAGCACAATGTCTGTGAAGCTAAGAATATTGTCGATGACATAAAAGAAGCAGCAACAGCAGAAGCCATGTAATTTCACCACTTTTTTTCATGCTCCCTACCTCGTTGTCCTCCTGTGATTCATGTATGGGATAAAACCAAAGTCAATATTGATGAGGATTTTTGTGAGGTTGAATTATAACATGCAACAAAATCTTATTTTATTCACATGTTTACGTACTTCTCCCATGGAAGCAGATGTCGAGGACTTCCTAACGTAACGGGAATCTTCCAACGACGATTGGTCTGCTGCAAGTCGAGCTCTTCGCCCAGACTTTGCAACCTGGAAAATGTGCATTATTTTAAAATTGGAAATTGATATGTCATAACACCAGAAAATGGCACTTCAACCGATAACCATACACTGTGTTGAATAAGCAGCAATTCTGGAAATGCACATATCCTTTGTAGAAACTAGTTGTCTCATGTGCCGTAAACTCAAATTGTCATACCATAGAACATCTAAGTGTGAAATATGTTCTTTCTCATTGACGGATCTGAAGGTACTTTTGTCCTAAGTGGGACCGATATGTGCTTAGTGCATAGTGATGTGGATATGGGAGGAACAGGACATTTCATGCCGGTCAAGGAGAGTAAAGTTGAACTTCTCTTAGGGCGATAGACTTCAGTCTACGTGGTTGACGCAGCAGTTAACAAGGCAAGATGGAAGAAGTGATGAGAGAGACCAGTGGACATGCTAATTTATACCTCTTCCTTAATGATGTTATTAACAATTGGGGCAGGGGGTTGTAAAATATAGATAATGACTAGTTGATTATCTATTTTTGCACTGTATTTTAAAAGGTTACATGACACACTGTGACACACTGGTGTATTTATAAAAAATGTCATAATATTTCCTTACTGTAAACCAAGGATAGTTAGGTGAAATACAAATAATCTTTTGCAAGTGGGTTTGATTCTCAAAATATTTAAAAAACCCGTTTTGAACAAGGTGGTGTGGAATTAGAATTGCAGTGTATTGTTGATTGTTGAGTTTAAATAAGCCCTTACAACCTAACGTTGAGTTAAAGGTTTAAACTTTGAACTGTATGTGCATGCAGCTAGCTAGCAGTGCTAACCTCTCACTTAACCTTAGGTTAGTTATCCATATCGTCATACTAACAGACAAAACGACCCGCTTCCTTTGTTCAAAAACAATTAATGCCTCTTTACTGGTAAAATAGCTCCTTTATAGCAGCTTTTATTCACTGGCTGTATAGTACACTAATGCCTTACATTAGCTTAGCAACTAAAGCTAACTAACGTTAGCTAGCATTAGCCTCGTTGCAGCGTTCAAGAACGCTCCCAGCTCCATGTACAACACGAGCAGCTAACGTCACTCGTGCCTGTTTGACCTCACATATAAAATGAAGCCAACGAGTCACCTACATTTTTTACCGATCCAACATTTCCGAGCTGAAAGTTGTCATCCATTTCTCTCCTCCTCACTTGCTTGTTACCACCGGGGGCAGCCTGCGTCTTCCTGTTTACAAAGAAGCGTCACGTGGCAACGCTCTCCATGGTAACGCCAATCAGACGGAAGGTTCGAGGATAAGTCAATCACCATGACGTCTCGCCAGTAAGTTTATTAAATAATGAACACAAAAAATGCTGCCATACAAATAAGGTGCTAGACAAACATTTGATTTGAGATTTAAGGCACCGTGCCTTTCATACAGAAGCATGCAGTTTTGGGTGAATGGTCGGACCGATCATTAACTCAGTTTTGGGTTGTGCCAGTGAAAACATAAAAGAGGAATAGAGGAAAAAATGATGTCATGTAAACAATCAGAGTTGTAGGCTTCCTTTTACCAAACAAACATCATCGTTCCCACAACTCCCAAGCCATTTTTCCCCCAAACAAACTCTATCACGTAGAGCCTCGTTAGATTATCTCATTTAATTCAGGCCTGCGCAGTCCACATCAAACACTGCACATGAGAACGGACAATATTCACAATACTTGAATCTCTTAAAGAAAATATTTGATACCTGAAGTTATCGCTGACATCCACTGGATGGCGCTGCTCTGCATGTTTTGTGGTTGCCGGGAAGAAGCTGAACGGTAGCAGCATCCAACAGATCACAGCAGCTGGTTGGGCTCCTGTGCACCTTCAACATCATTTGATATCTTTGGCCATAAATGTGGATTTGTTTTTTGTTTTTCCAAAACTTTGTTATGGATGAGTTAAATACTTTCTAAGGATTTGTAAAAGTTAACATCCATTTCACACAAAGAAAAACTAAAATAATTCCATTGACAAATCGCTCCAGTGCCTTTGGTTGAGAGCCGCTTTTAGGAAATCGCATTCCGTCCATATTATCAAAAGTCCAAATTAAAAGCTATTTCAGAACAGGACAGATGAAGGGGGCTAAAAGGTTGCCGCCCCCTGCCTTGAAAACGTCACAGCCTGTGACTATAAAGCGCGAGGCGGCGTGCAGCGCGCCGGAGTGAGTTTGAGGCCGGACTGCAGCGGAGGAGCAGAGAGGCGCACTGAGTAGATGCATTGGAGAGACTGAGCTGCGGTGCAGAGATCGGCACACTATAAACTCACGAAGATATTTAAGACGTGCTTGCATGCGATACGGGGGGTAATGAAGAGTAGTATAACGAGTTTGATTGAAGAATTGAGAGTATTTTTTTTTCTTCTCAAAATGGCACGGATTCGCTCCCATGCAAATGCTCACTTTGCAAAGATGACATAGCACTTGAGAAAATGGGATCCCTTCTGGAACAAGACTCACTAACGACCTGAATGAAAAGAGAAAGGGGGATTCTATTCAAATCGGAAATTTTCTTCCTCTTTCACTTGACACCCCTCGTTTGTGAGTAGATAGTGAAATATGAATCTGGGAAATGCGCTTTTGTTTTTCCTATTTTCAAATTGTGTGACAATGACTCTGTCGCTATCCACGTGCACCACTGTGGACATTGGCCACATCAAGAAAAAGAGAGTGGAGGCGGTCCGGGGACAGATTCTCAGTAAACTGCGGCTGACCAGTCCGCCTCAAACAACAGGTCCAAGTCAGGTACCGTTTCAGGTCCTGGCCCTTTACAACAGCACCAAGGAGCTCATTGAGGAGCTGGGAAGAGAACGCCATCAGAGTTGTGGACAGGATAACACGGAGACTGACTACTATGCCAAAGAGATTTACAAGTTCAACATGATCAATGGTCCACCGGAAAACAGTAAGTGTGTTGTTTTTAATCATTCTGGTGTGGGGGTTTTTGAGGCTCATCCAAAAGCCACAGAAAATATTGTGGTGTTGAAGTGTGAGTAATTAAAACGCGACGTTCTGCTTTGCCAGCGCGCCGTACAGCCAACATTGGCTGCCCAAACGTAACCCAAAAGCCCTGTAAACCTAATTGTGCGATTCAATGTACACTTCTTCATTCTGGCCTCAGTAACAAAAAAAGGATGCCATTTGAGGTATCACTGTTAAAAACAGGTGTCTAATTTCCCCAGTTTACGCTGAGTGACCTGGTGTCGGTGCCTTTACGCACAGACGCGCCTGCAGTGGAGCGGCGCACGGTGGAGAGGGCAAAGTAAACAGTCTAATTGGAATGAGCACCATTCCTCATACATACCTCACACCAAAGCCATGGGAACTCCAGCCTAAGTCTGACACATTCCTAAGCAGGGAAAATTCTCAGGCAGTTAGGTTTATAGTATTTATTGCCAACTCCAATACCTCATTTCCATTTTCTGGCCGTGAGTTTCCCCAATATTCTTCATGCAGCGTGAGCAGTCTCTCACTTCTATTTCCCCTCTATTTCTCTCCGGTAGCAAGGAGCCGAGTGGCTCTCTCAGTAATGATCTACTTCCCTTGTTCATCCATATTGGTATTTCCTGTATATGGTCCATTGATTGTTCCAGAAAAACAGTGACAGAAGCTAACTTAACTCCAAGCGTTTTTTAAGTGGAGACCGGTTAGTGGACGGTGTTACCATTTTGAAATCAACAGGTGTTTGTGCTGCTGTGACATTAACCAGAGCTTCCGCGTACATCCTGAATCAAATCCATTTCACAGGTCCCACAAAGTGCTTCTGACACTCAAAATACACAGCTCGGGGTTTATCCTCTGGTCAGAGGTAGCGAGAGCTCCCAAAACAAACAGAGGTCCAAGGAGTGCGATCGGTGATGGCCTGGCGCCCGGGACACGCCACGCTGGTCTCATACACTGCAGGCCGTGGCGTGGGTCGATGATACGAGACGTGAACTTGACTTACAACGCGTTCTGAGCTAAACAGCTTCTCCAAGAAGTATATTGGGAAATGAAACAAATACGTTGGGATTACATGTGGCTGCATGAAAGGAACATAATGTCTGTCGCCTTGATCATTTTGCCTAGTTCATTCCTGCTGAACACAATGCATTTTTACATTTTACACGTGCTCCGAACTCATTTCCGTAGCCATGACTACAAATGTAGTGGGCATTTGCCATCACTGGCTAAGTCTATTGAGACCTGGCAGCCATATTTCATCTTTTTTCTGGTGCATCAGAAAGTCAATGTGGCACATTATGATCATTAATAAAATACTGTGCAGGGCATTTGATAAAAAGAGAACTAAACTGAATGATGACCTTTGACACAATAAGATTCTGCCATCAACAGCCCAGCACACTGAAGCGTGCCGTTTCAGTGAAATTTCAAGCCAATACTTGACTCAGTGTTTGGTCAGTGAAAAAAAGAGCACTAGCGCTGAGGACAGCAGGGTATCTGAAATATAGGACAGTCGAAGGGTGATGTCATCCGAGCAAACAGAAACAGAGGTCTTTGGCTTGTTCCCAATGCCCCCCCCCCCGCCCATCCCTCCCTCCCTCCCAACTCCCACGCCGGAACCAATTTTTCGCTTCCTCATCCTTAATCAAGTGCGAAAAAAAAAAGTTGTTTTTCAACTTCAGAGCAGAGCTCCGTCCCATTATCTCATCTGCTGCAGGGCCCGAAGCGTCGAAGAATGGGAGACTCCTCCAATACAAAAAGCAGCATTTAAAATCTGTATTATCAAAAGTTTGGACACACTTTTTCACTGAACTGACTGAGAAAATGTGTCCCATGAGACCTAGTAGAAGACTCAGCAGCTGGCTAGCACCTGCTGCCTTGTGCTTCCTATTTCCTTTGTTTACCTCCACAAAGCTCTGGAGGGACTGACATCACGGACGATCCTCCCCGGGCGAAAGGGCAAAGAGAGGTGATTCTTGAGTTTTTATTTTTGTTTATTTTGTCATGAGGGGATCCCGGACACTGGAGGGCGAGCGTGTGTGTGGGCGGGGCGGGGGAGGAGCTTTACAGCAGCGCTCTTCAAACATCTTCCGTCAAATTATCATTCGTTTTTGAGTTACAGCTTCAATTAATTATCCAATGAAGCTTATTTTTTTACATAAATCTCTGCTTTTCAAACAAGTCAAGCTTATGTCAACATCCTTACACTCTTAAAACATCTGAAAATGGTGGGAGGTCAAATTGCTGAATGTATTTCATTTGATTATGCAAGCAAACCCCCCCTCCACTAACCAACGTGGAACAAATTACCTTTCAGACCCTTGGCGAAAATAAGCCATAATGTGAAATCCACCTAAAACCATTGCAATAGGAAAAATGAGGTCATCCAAAAGGAAACCAAAGACTTGATTAGAATTTCAAATCTCCCCTCAAAGTGGGGCTTTCCACCTCCTGTTGGGGGTGCAGAGGGGTCGGAGGGAGGGGTGAGTAAGGGGAGGAAAGGGCTACTGAGGTTTCCTCCTTATAGATTGTGTGGAAACACTGGGCAGATATCTGGCTGGAGACGAATGCTGAAAAAGGTCACCTATAAATAGGGAAAGTTGAAAAAAAAAAAACATTGTGGAAATATGAGCTAATGACCTGGAGGACTCTGAAATAGGATAATGGGCAAAACGAAGTACAGATACTTGGAGATCTGCAAGTTCCTTTTGCGTGACACAAAACCACCGATCCAAAGGTGCAATGCCCCTTTCTGCCACCAGCGAATCCGAGGCTCGGTAATAAAATTGAAACTTTGGGTAATATATTAGCAATGGCTTGGCCGTAAATGACTGTTTCCATTTGGCCCGTAAAAAGTTTGCTTTGTGCCTGTTTTGCTCAAACGCTGCATGTGCTCGGCCTGTAAAAAAATAACAAACTGTTCTACAGTGTTGCGGTGTAAGAAAAAAGTGGGACGGTTTCAACGCATCGCTGAGAAACGTAGCGGACTCAGCAGAAGGCCGGCGTTCCCACACCGATGTCGACAGCAAGTCGCTGCTTGTCAAGCGTGCACTTAGTCGCCCTCCTGGGTCACGTGGCGCGTGAGGCCCACATCGTTCCTATGGCTCCGGGGGAATACTTGGCCCGCGGCCGGGTCCCCCTGTCGGAGCACCTGTTGGGAGGAAGGAGGAGGAGGAGGAGGAGCAGCGCCCCGTCGTCCCACTGCGGCCCGGCTCCACCACCACATGGGACATTTGGTTTTCATTTCATGACTTCGGCTTGTTGCTAACGCGGACCACGCAAAGTACAAGCAGATGGTCGGTGGTAACGGCCAAACTCTCCAAATAGTAAAAACAAATCATAATAAGGGCTTGCTTTTATCTGCAAACTATATAAACTCGTAGAGGGGAATCCTCTGAAAAAAGGTTTATCGATAATGAGGAGAATGTCCATTTCTGGAAGGAAAATTGTGGAAAATTGGCTTTAACAACGTGATCACTTGGAGGTAACAGATGTGTAAGAGTTTAAAGGGATTCTGAAAAAAGAAAACAACGAGAGTCTGATCTATTTTTAAAGGAGATATTAAAAGCCTCTTTAAAGCCGCCGTTAAGTCATCCTTTCCACTTTACCTGCAGATGACCTCCCCTACTGCCCCAAGGGCATCACCTCCAAGGTATTCCGCTTCAACGTCTCCACCATGGAGAAGAACTCCTCCAACTTATTCCGGGCCGAGTTTCGAGCCCTGCGGATCCCCAACGCCGGCGCCAAGAGAAACGAGCAGAGGATTGAGCTCTACCAGGTGTGTGAACCGACCGCTCATTTCCACCGCTATCGGCTCCCGGCGTTCATGTGCTCTATTTCTTCTCAGAAGGCCTGCGTAGGTCAGCTAGAAAGATGAGATGAAAAGATGAAAACTTCCTCTCTCCTCTTTTTATGCGCTGATCATTATTCCATGTGCTTAGTCTCAAATGCATTCTACATTAGCACAACGTCAAGAGCTTCACAGCCATCTACTCCCCTTTGTTTTTCAAACTGCACCTGCATTCGTGTCTTTATGAGCATTTCTTGTGGTAGAGCGAGCATCTGTAAGATGTCTGCGTGTGTGTGTGTGTGTGTGTACGCAAGATTGGATTTGTCTTTTCTTTTCGGATTCCTCATTAATCTCCCGTGAGACACTCAGAGTAATGATCGGGTTCCAACACTTCCTGCCAGGGAGACAAGCGTCTCCGGACCGCGTTCTGCCTCTGAGGCAAAGCTCCGGCCAGCGCCGAACGCAGACTGTCGGGGGGCCGTCGAATCGTTTCCAGGGGGGCCCAAGGGGGGAGATAAAGGCAGGGTCACCCGCCGGGGGAGTAAACGGAGCCGCTCGCTCGCCCCCACACTTTTGAGAACGAGAGTTGATTGGCAGAGGGCTGACTCGGGGCCCCTCGTTCCCACAGGAAGACAGATTAGATGCCGACAATGTTCAGGAACCTGGTTATCCAGAGCACTGCTGGTGGGGCTCACCACCCAAACACACACGTCTCTCCATACAGATAAACACCTTTGTTCAGACGGGTGCTGATGGAGATAGGAATGTCTGGACCACGGTTGCTGCATTTTCCACCGTCAGGTTTGTACATTCGGGGGGCCTTCGGCATGATAACACAGCCGGTAAACAGGAGGGATGTACCTGGCGAGCCCCGCCTTTCTTGGAACCTTTGCACGCGGCATCCGGGGAGCCCGGCGAAGGCGCAAGTTCAAACCGCCGACACAAAGGACGGCCAGGTTCTCGTTGGCAGGAGGGCAACGCAGCAAGCATTAACTTGCTAAAAAAGGGGATATCAACAGGAGTCACTTTTTCCATGAAGAGTAGACATTTGGCCCGAGGCATCCTGGAGAGTCTGGCTCAGACAGACAGCTCTGGTTCTGTGTGTGTGTGTGTGTGTGTATGTGTGTGTGTGTGTGTGTGTGTGTGTGTGTGTGTGTGTGTGTGTGTGTGTGTGTGTGTGTGTGTGTGTGTGTGTGTGAAAGAAAGAAAGAAGGAGAGTTTATGCAGCTGGGTCACATTTTCATCTTTCCTCGCAGATCCTCCAGAAAGACGACCCCAAAGCCAAACAGCGCTACATTGGGGGCAAGAATGTCCTGACCAAGGGAACTGCTGAGTGGGTGTCCTTCGATGTCACAGAGACAGTGAGAGAGTGGCTGATGTACAGACGTGAGTGGGACACGACTAGTTGTTGTTTTTTCTTCTGTTTTTTTCTTGCATCGCTCCTTAATATCACACACTGCCAAATAGCAATGAGGCGCTAGAGGTCAGGTTCTTTCCAAATGAAGCAAAACGGCCTGAGGAGAAAATGTCAGCTCCTCACATCCCTCGGCTCTCGTTTTCGTCCTCAGAGACCAACCTCGGCATGGAGATCAGCGTACATTGTCCCTGCCACACTTTCAGGCCCAACGGGGACATCATCGAGAACGCCAATGAGGTGCTGGAGGTCAAGTTCAAAGGTGAGAATACGTTTGATACCTCTATGATGTGAAATTAGTTTCAAATTGTTTGCAGCAGCCAACCTTTTGTTTTTCTGAAAGATTGTTCAAATTTAAATGTAGGTATCATGGAGCTGTTCTTCAGATCCAATCAGACACATTTATGTAAACCTACAGTATGTGTGGAATATAATGATATGACTAGAATATATATTTAAAACAAGCTCTAAGGCAGGGCTAACATTTATATGAAAAATAAGTTCTAAAAAATACAAATGCTAATAGTTACAGATAAATGGATGAGTTCTTAGCTGACAAATTCAGTGGGACATTTGTTTCATGTAATTTACTGCCAAACTAAATGTATATATGGGTGTTTATTTAGTCTTTTATTGTGCTGTTCTAGTCTGGAGCAGACTTTCCTACAATGAATGAGAATCTGGTCAGCGGTTATAAAACAATAACATCCACAATACGGTCTAAAAAAAAAGTTCCCTTTCATCTGGTCACCAACATGTTCCTCCAGCAGCAATAACTATCGAGGGCTTGTTGGTTAGATAATGGGTTTCCTTTCTAAGATGAGGAGAGAGACGCCGAGCATGGGAACGCAAATCGATCTGCTATCTCACTTAGCACCGGGGCCCCCGGGCCCTCGGCCCTGGGAAACACTCCCGACTGACTTGGCCGCAAGGAATGTGCTGCCACGGCGCTCAGACGCTTGGCCCCGAAATTAAAGAGGGGCGTACGTATCCAACAGCAGCATCCCTCCCTCCCTCTCTCTCTCTCTCTCTCTCTCTCTCTCTTGAGATATCCACTGCTTTAGCTATCAGCGGCAGATCGGATGAGCAGACGCAGGCCCGGAGGGGGGGAGGGGGGCTTGAGGCCAGTGGTGAATAAGGAAAAGGGTGAAAAAGTGAGCCAAAAATGAGCAAAGCCCTTCCTGCGTATTACGGGATCCTCCTGTAAAAAGCTACAGCTGACGACGCTGATCGGAGTTGAGATGCTGGTTTCCGCTCCGAGGCGTCTTTGCGGCCCTCAACAAATCTGCAGTTTTCCTCGGTGTCCCGCAAACTTAAGTGACTGTCTCCTGCAGGTACGGAGGCGGACTATGACGATCTGAGCCGTGTGAAAAAACAAAAGGAGCAGCTCTACCCCCACCTCATCCTCATGATGCTGCCCCCCCACAGGCTGGATGCCCAGTTCTCCTCGCGCAGGCGGAAGCGGGCGCTCGACACCAATTACTGCTTCAAGTAAGACACATCTCCTTGGCCCTGGTGCAAGACGAGTACGTGGGCATTGAACACGCCGAATGCGCTTGTTAATCACGCAGACGAGCATGACAGAGGTATTATCCGACACAAGTCTGAATCCGTCCTAGCACCAGCAAACGCCACCTCCCCTCACACGCCGTCTCCTCAGGTCTGGGTTTCCTCCGTCAGGCTGACAAGCATCACCAAAGACACCTGGGCCGACTCCAAGGAGGGAAAATAAGGGCACGCCTAAGGGTGGAATTTCTGAACTCCTCTCTCATCTTTGGCCGTGTGCCCGTCGGGGAGAGAAAAAAATGTATACAACTGTTAAAAAATGCTTGTTATTTGTGGAAGTTAATCCTGTGAGCATAATTCCCCCTCTGTCCTCTCTTGTGTCGCAGCAATTACGAGGAGAACTGCTGTGTACGCCGGCTATTTATTAATTTCCGGCAGGATTTGGGCTGGAGGTGGATCCATCAGCCTGAAGGGTACTACGCTAACTTCTGCTCCGGCCCGTGTCCTTACCTGCGCAGCGCGGACACCACCCACAGCTCGGTGAGACAAACGCACGTTGCGTTGGTGGGTCTATTCGGGGCGGGAAACGCTCTCCGCTGATCCTCGATCTCCCTTTGGACTCTTTCTTCCACAGCTGCTGAGCCTGTACAACACCCTAAACCCCGAAGCGTCCGCCTCGCCCTGCTGCGTCCCTCAGGACCTGGAGCCCCTCACCATCCTCTACTACGTGGGTCGCTCCCCTAAAGTCGAGCAGCTCTCCAACATGGTCGTCAAGTCCTGCAAGTGCAGCTAAACTTCGGGTGGGTTTCAAGGGGGGGGGGGGTGAGACGTGAAGGCCTCCCAGCGCGACTCAGGGGGAGCGGGTGTGAGGGGTTGACTTTGCCCTACAAAGAGTACCTCCAACCCCTGCTTCAGCCTTGCCTGAGCTCTCTCTCTCTCCCTCCCTCTCTCTCTCTCAGCCTTTAAATAAAAAGATGCACTCCACCCGCAATCATTGGCAGCATTTACCGAGAAGACCTGTCAAGCACCACTCCACCAACAGCACTCTCAAACCCATCAGACCTCTTCCCTGTCCATCGCTTTTTGCATTTTTTTTTTTTTTACTCCAGCATTTTGAACAGCCAGGTACCTCAGTGCTCCATCGCAGGAAGAACAGAACAATAGTTGCCTTTCAAAGACATAAAACGATGGCAGTCGAAAGGAGAACACGCCGAACGGGGTGAAACTGAAGCGATCGTTTGTCGAGAGCAAACAAATCCTTCGGCTCTGACGCACGCGGGACGCCTTCGAATGTTTGATGCTGGAAACTGACGCCGCGCACGCCACAGCGCCACCGCAGCGGTTGTTTGGGGTTGAGATGCTGTTGAATTAAAATTACCCTTGAAAAAAAAAAAAGAAAATGCTGGAAACCAATCTTTAATTGAAATGATATATTTCCATGGTTCTATGTTTACCTCTGTAAGACGACACGATGGTGATTCCAGGGATTGTTTTTGTGTTTTAAGTGCAGCCTTTCTGTTGTATGAGACGACGTATGTCACTAAGTGAACACTTAACTAGATCACAAACTGTAAATGTTTTTCCTATTACTCTTGGAAACACCTTTTTTTTTAATTAAAAATGTTGGATAGAATTGTTCTAATTTCATTATTGCTGGAGTGTTTTTGTTTAGTATTATAGAGCATTTCCAGTGTGCAGTGTGTGTGTGTGGTGAACAAATACAATACGATCAGCACGTTTGATGTTATCTACGTATTCATTTTAACGTTGTTCAATACCGATGATTCCAAAAATAGTACAATTCCATGCATGTGTGTTGTACACAATCAGTGACAAAACAGAGTAAACGATCTGACTGTAAACAAGTTTGTATCACCACAGAAGACCATACGCATTGATTTTGACTCTGCTGTTGGATACATCGTGCACTGGCATTAAGTAGCAAATCGACCAGATTGAGTTTAACATCATCACCAAAAAAACAATACAATTTAATTAAAACAGTTCTGTGTTACTGCATTAAAAACTACTGTACAAAAGCACTATGATGATAATCACCAGTTGATATGACAAAAACATGCATGACATTCAAGTATCACGCTCAAAGTCATCACAAATATTCAGAATCCTTTGATATACAACACAAATGCTTTTATTCTATCAACACACCCTGAGTTAACTCGCTAAACGGTCACAATCAACAGAATGTCCACATGAGCATCGGCCTCTGAGAGCAATATTAACCTTCATCGTAGTCAATGCTGTGTGTGTCTTGATGCCTCGAGCTACAGAAATGGACAAAAAGGCTGTTTGGTTGATCATTTACAGTAAATAATTACTGACGCAATGGACACTTTTTTAGTCTACAAAACAATATTAAATTTGGTCCATCCAAAGAAAACAACATCGACATCCCAACAATTGAGAGGAATAATCACAGTTGGAATCACATCCAACTGTATTCTAATTTTGATCTACAACTTAACCATCCCCGTGAACAGGGAACGAGGCAGGAGCCAATCGTATCGAGGATGCTATAACTAACCACATCCTTGGACACAACGTGTACGATTGGAAACAACTTGTCTCCGAACGAGGACCTGGAGCTGGACTGTCCGAGTCCTCTCATCATAGAAGCTTCTCTTGCGTGCTTGTCTGTTTGTTGAACTTTTCAGGAAGATAAAATCTCCCCGAGCGGCTGGCTGCGCACATGCTGCTGCATGAGCAAACACCTAAAGGTTGAATCAAATGCCAACCGGGGCATTGACGAACCAGCTGCTGAAGGCTATCTGTCAGTGAAATCTCCGGCGGTATCGTGGCATGGAGAGAATGAGGGCGGACAACTGCAGGGACGTGTGAGAGTAGCCAGAGGGAGCGAGGGGAGGTCGAGGAGGAGCTGAAAAGGCAAAACCAATGTTGAGCTGAGCAAATAAAACCCCAACCTGCATCACAGCCGGGGGGGGGTTCCTGGCCTGGAAGACTGTCCTCCTGCAAGTGGCTGCATCGTTGGGACATTCGATAGGACCCTGTTAGATAGTCTAGTGATGCTTCCATCTGTTGCTTTTGTCCTTTCCCAAAATACACCTCTGCGAGGACGCGGTTACATGCAGAGACACCTGTCAGGCCAGCAGAGGGGCGGGACGGGCCGCTGGTCGCTTTCATGTCATCTGTGGCCAGGCTCCTGGCCCTGGAACAGATCGCCGTACGCAGAAAGACCTTGGGAATCAATAGATGAAAGTAACATTTATGAGCAGGGATAGAATGGCGTCAGAAAGTTTCCCCCCCCACCACAGCCCCCCGTGTGTGCACAGACAAAAGTGTCACGGTCAAACCTAAAAGAGCTTTGCGGTGAAAACCCTGCCGGTGAGATGTTTTGTTGATGTTTCAAACTTTTGGTCCAGCAGATCTGCTCCGTCATCTCCGCGCTTCGCCTTTTGTCTGACTCTTCCCTCATTCTAAACCGCCCACCCCCCCCTCCCTCCCCCGGCCCTCGCCCTGTTCCCGCTACTCATCCTATCTGCTGGCTGGAGGCCAGGCATCCGGTAGAAAAGGCATTCCGAGTACGGTTAGAGTTGCACTGTTCGTGCTCCCAAACAGTATTTCCTTTCATTCCCTCCCTGCACACCCTGTTTATTTTGGTGCTCTTTTACGTCGTGGGGCCTGCCTGACTAACGGGAAAACGAAAACATCTCCCCGACTTCAAATCCGATGACACGGCTGCTGCATGCATATATTGTCCCTTGCGTGTCCCTCTCCCAAAAAGACACTTAGAACTAAAAATGACGGAAGAAAATGGTCAATATTCAGTGGCAAAGAATAATCGCATAAGCAGTTGCCTCACATAAATATTCAACAGCATCGCTTCAGATCAAACTCACATCAAACTCACATCATACGTAGGAAAATGGATGAGTACCAATAACTACCTTCCTTTCTCAACAGGCCAGCACACAGTGTTATTTTGATAGAGGGAGACCCGAGCTATCCGCCCTAACATGCTGATCACAAGTGCAGCATTCATTTCAGTCTAAATCTCCCCAGTCACCAGCTGTTGAGCCCCGAGATCTCCAAGGGAAGCGTGGTAAAACATATGTGGTCCATATAATCTACGTTTGCAAGCTACGATCGGTCCACATCAAAACCCTTCCTTCATCTCATGTCAAAAAATGAGCACAGAAGAAGAAGGGGAAAAAAAGGGGAATAGGGTGAGGCAGCAGGAAGAGTTTTCACAGAATAAAGGGGGAGTTGTGCGAGCAAAGAGAGGAAAGGAGATTAAGAGAGCGCACCAGAGAGAGGGAGACAAAGGGAGGGTGTGATTAATGACGGTTGACAGCTGATCATAGAGAATGCTGCGTTTGGACCCGCTCTAACTCCCTGTCAGAGTCAATCAGGGGACCTCAGTCATCTCGCTACAAAGGTGCACCGGGCAGGCAGAAAGACCTGACGCACTCCGGAGCTCCACAAAGGCTGTTCCCCCCCCCTCCAACAACACCCTCCTCCCTCCAGCACAGCCCACTGAGCCCCCCCGTCGCATTCTGACAGCATGGTTCAACCTGCCTTGCTAGCCGGTTTTCGGTACGGGGACATTTTTTTTATTTCTTCTTTTTCAGTTCAGACACTTTTTTTTTGGGAGTTAAGGGCAAAGCTTCTCCCCAAACTCTTTGAGCCCCGAGCGACGGAAAAAATGCACGCACGAAATTCAGAAGCTTCTCCCAACGGATCCAGTTACAGTAATTGATGAGTTTATAAGATGTTTGTTAACTTAAGCCAGCCTTTCAGAGTTTCGGGGGGGAAGACGGAGGACGAAAAGAAGGGCTCTGGTCACAGACACACGGCACTGAATTTGGGGTGGGTGGGAGTGAGGGTGAGGGTCTGGTGTGGGTGGGGTTACTGGGTGGTGCACAGCTACTGTGTTATTCCAAAAAACCGAGGGACCGTCTTGACTGTGGGACCCACGTGATGTGATGAATGGTATGAGTTGCTAATGCTAATGTATAGTGGGTCTATGGAAAAAGCTCTTGATCAGGCAAACAGATGTGTGCATCAGCGCAAACTGCCTAATATCACTGTTACTGCAATAAGCTCGACACTTTGCTCAGGGTGGAAAGAGTTGTGGAAATAGGGCAGGACGGCGGAGCGCACGTGAGTGCACGCAACCACAACTGCAGTGCATTACTCATAATGCACTTAACAAAGACTGAGCTACATTTTTCATTCTCTCAGTGTGATTTCTGGGGTACAACTGGACGGCCCTTTTGGCGGACAGACAGTGATTACGACTGCATAGGAATGACCAACAGATGGGAACGCTCGAGCTGTTCCCATCACTGGATCTCATTAGAAAAGAAAGATGTCATCAGTGCAATGCCTCTTTATCTTTCTGTGGTAATCTGACCTCTACTGTTGGACCAGTACAAAAAATATGATCAAATGGCAAATTGCAGCACTGCTGAGTTTGTTTATGCCTGTTGAGGTCCGGCTGTTTTGGGTAGAAACCTTAAAGTGGATTATGACACAAGTCATAGGACATGATAGCAAATAAAACCTCATTTGGACAAATTCCAACAATGTTGTAATCAAAGTTTTGACATTATTTACCATTAAGTGATAGAGTTATCTCTTGCAGTGTGCAGAATACATTCATCTATGCAACAAAACCACTGAGCGGGCTAAAGCCGGCTAAAAATATCCAGTGGTGTGTATCAGTCGTCCGTGGGGATGTCCACTATGCCTGGCTGTGGTCGGGGACACTGGCATAGAGAGGGGCACAACTTCCAACCCGCCCGACGACTGCAGCACCGACCCAAGGTGCAGCTCGGTACCGAGTGTGTAGAACTGCAGCATCAGACCCACCTGTTTTACCACAGATGGCTTCGTAGACCACATGCTGGCCACTGGATGAACTCTCTGCGGACGTCTGCCTGTTAAAAAGAAAAAGACACAATTGGTGTCTGTGATGTCGTTCCCAGAGGTGTCATTCATACCAAAACAAACGCTATCTGAAAAGGGACGCTCATCCCCACAGCACGGGTCAACCGATTGATCCCGATGCATTAGCGCCGAAAATCCAAACCAGTAGATAGCAGCTGAAAACCGTGGCAACTTGTGAGTCATAGTCTGATAGGAGAGAAAGCTCTCCGTGTGTGTGTGTGTGTGTGTGTGTGTGTGTGTGTGTGTGTGTGTGTGCGGCTATGGGAGGCTGGTGTGTGTGGGAGCGAAGTGTTTGCTGAGTGCCTCTCATGAGCTATTGTGACAAGACGGGCCAAATTCCAGCTCCTTGTCGTGGGTGATTGTTGTGGGGATTGCTGACTGTGTGCACCTGAGGGCAATGGCTGCAGGCACAGAAGGGGTTCACGCGGCCTTTCTTCCCGGGGGGGGGACAGTCCATACCGTAGTGTGTATTTGTCTCAGTGTGCAGATCATAGATGTGGATTATATTGCTTTTTTTTTTTCAAACAAGCAGACAACAAAAACAGTGTTTTGAAAGAATAAACCATTATAAGCCCCGTTGAAGCGCAGCGCGGGAGCAGACACGTCTGTAACTTCATACGTTAAATCTGCTAAGCATTTTTTTTTTTTTAGGGGGAACAATAAATAAAGCTTAGCTAGCATTAACCTCTCGCCCCATAACAGCAACCTGCCAAAGGAGCATTAACAAGGTAATGAGGGTACACACTGCCTCCTTGTAAGGGACTGCACAGTTGTTCTTTCATACCATTACACAACCACAAATAGAACTGGCCCACTTTAAGCGTGGCATACCTTCGACAGGAAGCAACCCCTTTCACATCGAAAAGGGGGGGGGGGAGAAAACTTGACCTCTGGGTTTTTCACATCACTCTCTTTGTCAATAGTCTAAACTCTGTCACTTTCGAGAGCCGGGCAGCGGCCAGAAACACCGCGGCTGAGGAGAAAATCGAAACTGGCCGTACGCACGGATGAAACGTGAACCTGAAAGTAAAAGAATATTTCGCACTGCTCGCAGAGAGCGCGAGAGTCCTCGTGTAAACATGGCTGATGTGCTGCTTTTTGTGTATTCAGGTAACTAGCATGTCGTAATGATGTTATTCGGGTTGACCAAAGGGGATAAAGTTTAACCATAAACACACTTTTGGCCGCTTCCGTGTGTATACGGCATCCTGCGAAAAAACCACTACTGTTGTGGCTGGTTAATAGGGAGTGAGAGCAGCAGCAGGGCTGACATTAATGGTGGCGCTGTAATTGTCACCCTATTAGTAATGCCACACGACAGCCCGGGTTTCCGCAGTTACGGCCTGCGTCTAGCCGAAACCTCACAAACAAAATACCAAACAGGCTCATTTACTTGTGTTACAAATTGCTCCTTTCAAAGCCTTCCCTGAAGTTATACCACATTGCGTCCTCGCAGCCCCTCCACTCGGCAGCTGTGGTATGTTGATGGACCAGAGAGCCCTGCCCTGCTGAGTGGATACCAACGGGAAACACATTCGCCTCAAGCAAGTGTAACGCATGTCGGGGGAGCGTGGAAATCAAAGGCATCGCCGCTCTTTGCAGAGGTCCGTTCAGCATCGGTTGATCTTCAGTTAAAGGTTAATGCTGACAGCAGATTGAGAAGACGTTGATCGGACGGCACTGCAGGATTTTGACTTCCTTCCCTAAACAAGTACGGAAACCGTCTGTCGGGGAGGATCAGGGGCGTATTGCTCAGTGGAGCACCAGGTGAGGCCACGGCTGGTACATTCGTATTGAGCAGCGGTTTTTTAAATTCAGCAACTGATTGGAAGAAGGAGTTTGGATGGCGGGATGACCTCGAGCTGTTTGAATACACCTGGCAGAGTGCTTCTGTGATAAGTCCACACTGGGATGCATTTCAGATGTGCCTCAATAACAGAGGTATTGTGTTGCCCCTAAAATGAGTGCTGGAAATAAAAGGGAAGCGACTTATTATCCCCCTTATTTTCTCCTGGACTGAGTTCCCCTTTTTCGCTGTCATTTTTTCTCCTCCCCTCTCTTTATTCTTTTCTCCATTGTTTCCATCTGTGCATTTTTTGTCCCTGAAGCTTCCGTTTTTCCCACACTCTCCCGTGTCACACCGGTCGACCACAAAAATGCAGGAGAGAGGAGAGTGTGAGGGGGCTCTGGAATTCCACAAGCAGAGGGTAAACACGGCAACTGCCAGGAAGACGCACACACGCACACACACACACACACACAGGAGCAAACACAGCACCTCCCCGGCCGCCCTAACCTATTCTGCAACCCCTGCGCCGCGCCCCTGCCCTCTTAACTCCTCGCCTGCCAGCTACAGTCGGTCCAGTCAGGTATGATGACTGAACGTAACACGTCAGCAGGGCTTCGCTCACTTCTACTCCAACTCACACCGCTTAGATTGTCGGGAGACCGGAAAGAGTCGCAATGAATGAATTCAATTAGTTTCGTGGCAAAGAGCCACGGCAACTGGGAAACAAACGATTTGCTGTTGTCGTGTCATTTGGCCAAATTTAGGGGGAAATAGTTCAGCTTTTCAGCCCCACTTCCCTCCTTTCCTGTCATTTTCCCTTCTGCGCTCCTCCGCTTATCTCCAAACCAAACAGAAATGAAACGGCGCTCGGAGCCCAGGGGCCCTTCGACTTAACCACGTTCTGTTTACAGTTCAGGCAGAAATCAGGCCTGTGATCACGTTGTTTACTGAACAGGCAGATACACCCGGCGGGCCAAACGAGTACTCCACATATGTAACTCGCATTATTATGAGGCGTATCCCCTTTAACTCACCGATGCCATGCGCTAGGTCTCAATCCACAGGCAGCGGCCAATCAAATGCCGACGCCCTGCAATCACCGAGTGGGGGTGTAAATTACACGGCGACTCTGTCAAACTCTCAGCTGATGTCGCCGTATCGCCGGGAGTCAGAAAGAATCAGGACTTAATTTGGCCGCTCTTACTTGATGAGGCGCTTTGTTGCCGTTTTCCTGATCCGACCCTCTCGGGCACTGCTGGGTGGCTTCGGGGCGAGAGCAGGACGGACAGAGGTTTGAATGTGGCTGTGGCCGTGACTGGGATTGGACCCGACATGAAAGCCGGACGGAGGGCAGCCGGATGAGGGTTTGGGAGGCTGGGCGTGAGGAGTGTCGGTCTGGTCTGGGAATTGAGCCTAAGGAAGAAGAAAAACAACAGTTGTTCAAGGTTAGTTTTATGGAGCCGCTGGATGTGCTTTCATCAACTCTGTTTGCAGTTGTAGTTTAAAGAGCATTAACACGTATGATAGAGCTGCTAGTACTGTAAGAGAGGCACTTGTGACTAATCATCGATCAACTATTGGTTACCACAGTGGGACAAAGCACTGCTGAGATCAGCAAGACATTCGGGATTGTTCATTTACCTTCGTTAAAAAAAACAATGAGATCAAAATCATCAAAAGAAGTGACATCAGCAGCAACGTAGCAATAGAATACTTTATTGGCTTTTGAGAATGACAAAGTGTCAATTATGCCAGGTTTCATATTCTAAATGTGGTGACACGATTCCGTGAGCAGCAGGAAGAGCAAGCACATCGAGATTGGGGTCGATCGTGGGGGGGAAAAAAATGGAGTCTCTGACCACTTCGGTGAAATGTGAATTTGTGCAGATTTATAGATGCCATCCAGTATCAAAACAACACCATTGCAGTTGGCTGCACTAAAAAGCAAATTCTTCACGTTATTTATTTGTTTATAAAAGACCTCTGCAAAGGCTTGGGAAGGGGTGGGGGAATGGGGGGGGGATACTATTTTCTTTTTGACATAATAATGTATTGCTACATTTCACTCGGCCCTTGAAGTGCCGGTGAATGCTTTGCGTACATTCCTTCCACATCTCACGTCAATACTATTTGCTCTGCCGCTTTATACGGCTATCTAACCGGCCGATGGTTTTCCAGCCTCACAGTTCAAAGGGCCGGCCGCGTGACGGAGGGATATCTGATGAAACGTGTGTGTGTGTGTGTCGATAAATGAGAAGCGGAGTTTCCAGGTTGCGGGGGCCTTCGGTCGCCAATTCAGTTAGAGCGGGACCAGTAAGGCCACCTTTCGTTGGGTGCCAGGTGGCTCGGAGCCAAGCCCTGTGGAGGAGCCGCGCAGTCTGCTCCCAGTAACTGGAACGTGGACCGGAGCGCCGGAACAGCCGCCCCCCCCCCCCACCCCCCCCTCCTCTTTTTCTCTTTCTCCTCTCACAGAAGAACACACTCACACATGAAGCACTTCCTTTGTGTCTTCAATTATTCCTGAATGATCAATTGATTTTTTTAGAAAAGCCAGCAAGGTGAATTCAGTGACGTGAAAATGACTAATTCTCGGGGCCGAGCAAAGATACGTTTTGGTGGGTCGGGTCCATGTGGGTGGAACGAACTGGGGGGGGTGGGGGGGGGTTCAGGGAGGGATCTCGTGATTTGATGGAGCGATATCCAGAGTCAGAGTCCCTATGAGCTCAGTTCGGGCGGGTTGAGCAACAGGACGGCTGCGTTATAAAGAACACATGCAGGAGTGTGATGGGACAGCAACAAAGGAAATGTGGTCAACTCTGTACCAGCTATGGGACTAAATTAAAAGGGGAATGGAACAGAGGGAAAGCACGGGATCACTTTCATAAAGAGCCTCGCGTAAGGCTGCCCGACCGAGCCAAGACAAATACCACCTTAATTGCATTAATTAAGGCCTGACCAAGACAATGACGTTAGAGCAACCGCCTTGCTGAGGACGGATCGGAAAGAGGCGGCTGCGTCAAATCATCCCTCCCTTAAGCTGTCCCATGAAACTCTTTATTTCCATAGACGGATACAAAACCCATCAAAATCCGCCCTCAAAGCAATTGTATAGAAAATGTCTGCAGCGCAAAATGAACACAAGCTCTTTATCATTCGAATCTGCCTCTAAGAAAGTCTCATCTGTCGTCGCTAGTCAGGCATAAAAAAAAACAAGAAATGTTGCTACATTACTAAAATCTTATCTTATTCCAAAATCGTATGTGTGTTGTAATTGGAATACAAATGGAGCTTTGTTACCTACAGTACAAACTCATAATTCCTTGATTACTCACCAGCAGCAGCGTCGATAAGCCAAACAATGTCATCTTTGAGTGAGGAGTCATGTTTAGCTCTCCGGGAATGAGCTTATGTTGACAAGAATATTCCAACTGAGCACCATTTTGTTGAGTAGTTAGGAAAGAGAATCTCAGAATAGGTTTGAAAATGCTCACATGAGAGCTTTCTTCTTAATATGGATGTAGTTTTACACCGTCAATTTTGATTGACCCTAATTCAGCAACCACAAAAAACAGGCTGTAGTTTTTTGAGTAATTGATATTACGACTGACCCAAGTAACATGATGCTGTGGGAATGAAATACGGGGGCAAATAAAGAGAACGCTCTTATATACCTGGTGTCTGTGATGACGGCTTTGGTCCAGAAATTGTTGGGACTGAAGTCTTTGCTGTTGCAGTTTCTGGATGGCAAACTGAAGCTGGTAGCTCTCTTGGGTGGGCGGGTGGCGCTGAAGGGGGCTCCCCCCCGTCCCCAAGTTATAGGCACTCTGCATCCGACCATCCTGGAGACCCTCCTCGTGCTTCGTCGGCATGTGGCTGGGAGAGCAAGAACGAAGAGATCCGTGAGAAGAATTAACCGAAGACGTACAAAGACGTACAGGTTTGCTTCAGGTTCATGCAAACTGGGTCGCGTTGCAGTAAACGCCACCTCGGCACGCCAAGTGTGTCGAATGAATGTTACTTATTTTTGGAGGAAAAAAATCATGTGTGAGAAAACCCTGGACTGGTAAAAGCTCCAAAGTCTGTGGTGAGGAAATAAGATCCTGAATACATTACATCTATTAGATTATTGTAAACGGCAGGCAGTAATGGTTGAGGTAAGCAGCGTTCTTTTTTTCCTTATTTGGGCGGGTGGAACTTGGAATTCATATAACAATCAGAGGTGATCAGGAGTTAAGAGTACAGGAGAGGAGACGAGGTGTGACTAAATATAATTATAGCATACATTCTGAAGTGGGAGTGCAAAAATCATGTTAAAATAATGACATACTTAAGTTGAGCAACTGACGTACAACTGAGCCATCTTAATAGCAAATAATTACTTATACTTATTACGTTGCAATATTGCAAAATGGCACAAGCTTAAATTACTCAATAGTAAGCCGTAATACCACAGTATTTTGCTTCTCCTTGTCGGGTTATTTTGCCATCCAACCCAAGCTGAGACGTTGCAGTGCGTAATTCACTGACCGATTTCCATCAACTTGTTGAGCAGCAAAAAAAAACACGGTAGCTTACGAAGTCCCGTTCGGCGGCTGCCGCCTCCACAAACCTCAAGTCAAAGCGTGCAGATCAGAGTCAAAGTAGAGGGCGAATACAGGCTGAACTAAAAACCTTTTCTCTCTGCCTCAGTGCTCCACCAGCTTCACGTTCCATTCGCATCACAAAGCCACGAGCTGGAAGGCAAACCTTTCTGACGAGTTCCACGAGTTTGTAACTGGATTATTCGTCATTAAAACTAAGCCAGCTTTTTCTGTTCTGTTAAAGCAATGAGGTTGATACTCTCAGACATGCTTCAATTAAGTCTACGTTGAGTTTTACAAAAAGAAAAGTGCCATTTATAGCACCGCTGGTAGTGCAGAGAAAGAAAAAAAAAAAAAAATTGAAGAGATGGATATAAGTAGCATTGGAGAAATGGGTTCCCTGGGGGTCATAATCACAAAATAAATCCATAGAAATTCCCCCCATTCCATGCAACAACATTTCTCCATTGGTGGAGAGTAAAAGGAAACACTGCAGACCTAAAATCACAATAGCCGCTGTATTTTTAGAGCCAATCCAAAATTAGATTTCAATTAATCTTGAACAATACATACTGTGGGATAATAATCTCGTGTTGCTCAAGTGAAAACATATTCCTGCCCCGTGTGACACAAGGCGTCTTAAACTCATGTGAACAGAACGGCGCAGATATCGCAAAAACAACTGGTGTGAGCGTGGGGCCGGTTCAATGTGTTTTAGCTGCTGGAAAACAAAGGCCCGTCTGTGAACCTTGCAAAGGCCAGAGATTCTACACGGCCAGGAGACAAAACAAAAACTCCCTCTTTGTTTACAACAGTCATTTCCTTCAGCTCGGAGGCAAGTTTCCCTAGTGGACCACAGGGACCTTCAGCGCTACCAGTTTATTAGCACATGGTGCAAAACAGATCACTTCTCAGGTCGGGGGCATTCACGTTTCCACGACCAGAATGTTGCAGAAGGGCCCAGAGGAGAAGTCTTTTTTTCTTTCTTTTTTTTTAGACACCTCGAGGAAAAAACAGTTCAACAGAATCACCATTCATTTAAAAGCAGCGACGCAGGGGCCCGCGGCTCGAGAAGAGCAGCTTCACAGCTGAGTTTCTCATCACCGGGACAGCAAATCTGCACGGGGCTCCAACAACACGGGCTGGAGGACCGCCCGTCGGTGTCAGCTTCCTCCCCCGCGGAGCCGACCGGCTTTTAATACGCTGATCCCTAAAATCTGTTTTAGGGAAATAATGTACAGCTAGTTGTGCTGTTTATATAGTTTACTTTTGACTGGATGATGGCACCACAAATGTGTCTTGGTCAAGTTTATTGGTGAACTTAATTTAGTTAATGTCTACATGACTGGTGCAATTCCCGATCTATTAACAGCTTGAGTTTAACACAGTAGACAATACTGAAAAAAGTGACATTTGCACAATCTATATCTGCAGCCTCAATCCATAAGTTCACTAGAATGTCCCTCTCTTACCTTTAGGGTTCCCCCTCCCATTACCACATCTGGCTCCAATAGTTGAGAATAAAAAAAAGTCTCTTCTTTTAAATTCAGGGAAGAGAGACATCAAACCAAACTCCATCAAAGACATTTTCAACAGAGCTGTTCTGATTAGTCGGGTTGCTGGCTCAGCAAATGTCATAAAATCTTTTGGAATGGTATGTTCTAAGAACATTCGACCAAGTCAAACATCAATCTACCAAAGTATTGAACAGAGACTAAAAAGTTTTGGTATTTCTCAGTTCTAGCTGTCCTGGAGAGAACACCGCAGAGGAAACACATGTTTGGTTTGTGGTCATTTGTACGTACGGTGAGAAGAAAATACGGTGTTTTTTTGTGGCCGTGGTGCGAATGCAGCTCAAGACACATTATTGCTAGATACTAATTCAAATCTAAACCGCAACTGTCAAGACAAACCAAGTAAGATGCTACGTTGCAACACGTGTCTGTCTATTATCGACGTTCAGTCGGGGTGTCTGAGTGCTTCGCACTGCTCACGTCATCTCTCAGGTACGTCGGATGGAAATCATCACAAACGCTTCGGGAGGGGTTTTCGGCGCCCGGAACTGAGCCACCAGCTCGCCGTGGGTGCACGAGGACCCCGCGGCGTGTCTCACGGCACCTCCGGTCGTCAGCCGGCTGCAGTGAGGCAGCAGCTCTAATAGTGCTGATGAAGCATACCTGGTAGATCCCGGCGAGCGGCACTTCAAAGGGCCGCTGTCGGCTCTTTGAAAACCCATCCTACTTCACCCCTGTGGTTGCTTAAAGAGCCAGTGTGCTTAACGGTTTCAGTGTGTTTGGCACAAACCCGTGGGGCCCGGGTGTGGAGGGAGAGGGGGTGGGGGGGGGCACAGGAAATTCTCTGTTATAAGAAACAGCTCCGAGGTGAAATCAAGGCAATTTATCCTAATATCTTATTAAAAACATTTCACTGCAACGAGAGGTGAAAGCCAAACCGAGGGCTCGGAGTAATGGGGTACAAGGGAGCTTTTGTATTGCGAGCCAGTGACAAATGGGAAGATAAATGCGGCTGTGTGTATCCTGGAGAGATTTGGAACAAAAGCTACTGTATATTCCACCCTCTATGAATTATTAACCTGAAATGTGAAAAGCTGATGTAAAGTAAATGTATTTTGTGTTGAACGAAGTGCCAACAAAGTATAGGAAAAGCACAGATGTTTAAAAGGGAATGACTGTGTGATCCCATTACAGCGCTAGAGTTCTAAAGTTAAAAGGGAGACCAAAAGGGGACTTCTGTTACTTCAGTATCATGAAGCCACCCATTATATTATACATTGTATTAAATCTCCCGTCTTGATTTTTAGAAATAAAACGCTAAAAAAGGCAAAACGCCAGCAGACATTCTTGGAATTCCCTGACAGCTCGATACATAAGGAAGGCCGGCACTGGAAAAACAGAATCCAAGACCAAGGCCAAGCTGCCGGAGACATTGTCACTCACATACGAGGACAAAAAAAAGTGGAGTGACCATATATGCTCGGCCCTCAACGGATTAGACCTTCAAACAGGCCGTTTTATTACCCCGGCTTGCCGTGGAGAGCGACTGTGTGATCATAGATTCTGTCCTTCTGTTTCCTTTTGCTCTCCTCACAGCGACGGGAGAGGGCTGCGATGTGGGGCGAGGGATGGGGGAGCGGGAGGCGAGGGGAGGCGAGGGGAGCTCGGAGCAGACAGACTACGTGGGTGTTGACATTGCACCCCCCCCTCCCTCACCGCTGCCTCCAACCCACCGAGGCAACGTCTCAAGCCGCCAGCGTGCTTCACACACCGCCGACACTCAGCGGCCAATTCTAGTGTAACTCAGCCGCACAATAAAGAGAGAATAAAAACGACCATTTCCAGGCGTATTGAACTAACCTGCCCAGAGGAGTGCTGGCGCTGCCCGATCCTTTTCCAAAGACTAACAATCTTCAAGCTAAAAATTTGTCAGAGACCATTAAAAAAGCATTTAGATTCTATTGAGTGTGACCAAGTAGGCTGCCGCAATCCAAGTGTCTAGTAAAGACGTGTGTGTAAAGTTGATTGCACAGAAAATCCTCAGGATATCGATTTGTCCAAAGTGATTAACACTTGATGGTGAGAACAGCTTTTCTGTCTTATAAACACTTCAATCTCAAGAATGAAAACCCAACTGCAGCATTTAAACTCTTCGGCCTGATGACATATCTCTAAAAGAAAAACATGAACGGCAGTTTATATAAACTACAAACCTGTTTAGGTTTACATCAGCAAAGCGTCGCTCAGAGGAATGATCTGTTCCCCGCGGGGCGACTGTAACACACGATTCCTTCTCTTCTGCCTCATGGAAGAGTGAATGCGCTGTTCACTTGGACACAAAGTGCAATTTGACCTGAAGGAGCACTGAGGAGCGAGCGGAGGTTCGGTTTGTGCTGTAGTGAAAGCTGGAACAATAGAGAATTTGCTGTAATACTGAAGGTCATCACAGAAAGTGAAAGGGAAAATGGGGAGGAAATGTGAAAGGTTACTGATTATACACAGTACCTCAATGTGAGAAATAATAAGCAACGGACAATGACTGTAAATGTCGATGCAGGGATACATTATTAATTTTTTTTTACATACATAACTTCAGGGTGTAGATTTCAGGTACCGATCTGACGCCTTAGTCCCATCTTAAAGATCTCGTTCCACACTGCGCAGAGCCCATCACGGTCATTTGTAGCGAGGATAACATGTGGGATTGTGGCACTAAGCTGCCCGCCATGACCAGGAATGTTACTGATGGTAGAATCGGTTTTACTTATTGAGGGAGAAACTTTATTGAATGAGGATCAGTCGTCCTCACATCTGACGTCAAATTGGTCCATCTCTAGTTGTACTGCAGAGAAAGTACTTTTGAATTGCCATTTTTTCTTTTTTTTTTACCTCCAGTTCTGTATAGTACTTAAAAAAAAAGGAAATAGTCTGTGGCTACGTCCCATCTCTTTGGACTCACCTGCTGCTACGCAGATCTGCTCCGCAGTGAACAGCTTTCACCGGTCCTCGGGCCGCAGCGGCGGTGCGTCGCGCTTTGGTGTCCAGTGAGACGCTCTCTCTGCTCAGCATCCTGTTTGCCAGGTTCAGGTTGTTCAGCTGTGGGCAGAGCAGAAAACCTCAACGGATCATTCAAATCCAACCAATTCAAAGTCAGTTTCATTACACGGTTTTAACAATACGTACGTATGTATTGTGTTACAGTGAGTCATCCACCAAAAACACCCTGCTAAGCCCAACAAGTCAAAGCAAATGGGAATACGTGACGAATAGCCACTCACATCGGTCCCCCCCCCACACATCGACCACCCTATTCTCTGCTCTCCTGGGGGGCTGTGTGAAATGTAAACACCGCGCATGGCACAGCTCGTCTCCGCTCAGCACTAAATCCAGGTGGTCCCCTCCTCCCGTCTCCATCTCTGACAGGATCCGCTATATCATGACTTGCCAGCCCAAATCTGTTTACGACTACCGCGGCAACTGCACCACTGTGCTGCTCCGTGCTGCCCTGGGAATTATGTTCAGGGAACGCCAACGGGAGAATAAATTATCCTGCCGTGGCGTTTTATTTACTTTATTTCCTCCCGTGCACTAAATAGTCCGTCGGGAAAATTGTAATGCCGCCAGGCCTTGTACGACGTGAAAAAATGTGTCAGCGTGGTGTTACTCAGCCGCAGCTCTGAGGGCAGACTGGACGTATTCCGAAAACTAAGGAAATGAAAAGACGCAAGTGGAAAAGTATTCCAGAAGGCTTTTGGACAAATTGGCACGTATCCTATATCACGATAAGCCATTTCAATTCTGCATACCCGGTATGATGATGAATACATCTTTAACATAAAATGCACAGTGTCCAGTTTGCATAATTGCCATTACACCACATTGGTAAAGGTCAACTTTTCTAACGCACCCCAAGGGATAAATTATTTTTCTATAATACTGTATGTAGACAGACACATCTGCACATGTACCCACTGTAAGGATTCATATCCACGCATCTCAGCACATAAAGCTTACTCACGTTATTGAGTCCAACTCCAGTTCCGTTCCTGTTTTGTATACATTCTGAGCAGTTTGAGAGCGAGCTGTTACTTAAACATTAGAGTTCAACCGGGACGACGGAGTGTTGTTCGTGTTTACAGCTCTCTCCATTTAGTTCAGCGAGTGATTTAATGACCAAATCTAACCCCTAGAAAAAAAGAAGACACAAAATTCCCTCTTTGAGCCTTTAAGTGAACGAGCCTGGACTATATCACTCAACAAAATATACTGCTGCCATGTCCAGGATTAACTAGACATAAGAAATACAGGAAGCACTGTTCGGATAGACAGGATGATGAAGAGTCCAAAGGAAAAGACGGTGTGGGGCTCCCCACGGCGAAGGACAAACCTTTGGGGAATATAGGAGAAGGTGGTGATGGAGCCGATGGAGCTGCTGCTCCCCTACTCGGTGCCAATTTGCCACATTCCTCTATTTATAAGCATCAATTACCCCCCCCCCAAAAAAACCGTCTGCTTGTTAAGTATCAACAGAAATCACTCCCCCATGGAGCATCTGATAATGAGACCTCACACAGAGCTGAGGCTTCGTGCAGCTCACTACTGTTTAGGCCGGCCAGCTTCAAACCCCAGCTCCAGATCCCTCTCCACCCCTCCACCACCGACTGCAGGCGAGCAAAGGACTGGAGGAGGACGGTGCGAGGCAGCAACAGCCCCAAAGGGTCTGCTGAACGAAGAAGCAGCTAGATGCCGCCAATCAGCATGGGGTCGGAGCCAGGTTCACGCATCGACAAAGGGAAATATCACAGGCCTCACGGAGTCTTCCTTACATGAAACATCACACGGATCAGTTCACAGGTACTTAATAACTCAACATGGCTTCTTGTCTGAGAACAATGGAACCTCCTGCTCCCGGAGGGAGGAGCTGCTGGCTCAGCGGGCCGCGGAGGTGGAGGTGAACTCACGTTTTGTGCCAGGTTGATGTGACTGGAGCAGGCGTAGTGGCGAGCGACCTGCTTGTCGGCCAGCTTCTGCAGGGCTGAGATGAAGGCCTGCTGGTTGGACTGGGCTTGGGCTGACAGCGAGTTTAACTCCTTAAAGTTCCCGGCTGAGTTGGACTTCAGCTTACTGGAACTGCTCATCCTGATCACTGACGTGTAGAATGACAGCAGAATAATGTAAAAAACACGTGTGAATGTGAGAAACAACAGCCGTGTGGAGTGCTGACTTTACCTTGGCCTGCAGAGGTGGGTCTACAGAGCTTCTGGTTGTAGATGTGCGAGGCACTCAGCATGGAAGAAGCCGCTCCAGAGCCGGACGTTGATGAGGTAAAGGACTGGATCCTCCTGAGCGCCTGCGTGGGCGTCCCGCTACCGATGGTTGTGTTACAGCCGGCGGGAACGGCTGTCCACATTGCCCTCGGGGGCTGCGTGACCACGAGGGCAGGCGTGTATGCTGGAGGGTCAGAGACCGCATCCGGATGGCAGAAGTGAGACTTAGCTAAGGACTGAGCATAGGACGGCGGCTGAAGAGGCGGCGGCGGCGGCGGACAGTGGAGAGGCAGAGACGTCGGGGCCGCGGGGCAGTGCTGCAAGTGAATGTTGGTGCACTCTAAAGTCACGGGAAAGCTAGAGCGGCGCTGGGAGGCCTGGACCCGCGGCTGGAATCCACCAGTGCCTCCGGCCGCCCGGGCGTCTCCGGTGCGGACGGGCGGGCGGCTCTCGGTGGTCTTGATGTCTGGGTCACTGCTGACTTTCCCTCCGGAGAGCGAGGACTCCGAAGCGCTGGAATCCTCTTTGGCCACAGGCAGAGCTGTTCAAAAGAGGAAAGAAGCCAGAGCTCCTTTATCTTCAGTTAGCCATTCCTCGGCTCTGACACACATTCTGTTTTCCCCCAATGAGTCCTAATCGGTTGATGCTGACCTTTTCTGCACCCCAGATGACTACATTTTTTTCCTAACACTTTTTTTGAGGGGGGGGGGGTGTTACAAATCTAAGCTATTCCTGTTTAGTGTGCTCAAATGATAAAGTATTAAACACAAACCAGAACGTCACTAACAAAAAATATGGGGAAAAAAACAGGAGCAGGAGGAACTCACTTTTGGAGTTCCTACAGTTTCTTAAGGTATTTACTTCATGAACGTCTTTCTTTGTTCCAAGGAAGACGGTGGCAGATTTATTTTTCTGTGTGTAGTATGTCAGTACTTCCTCCAGATCGTTTTCTCTGTTGTTGAAGAAGAAGAAGACGGAACATGAATGCGTACAGCAGACAGAGATCTTCCTCCCGTCAGTGCCGTCAATAAATTCGAGACTCAGGAGCCAAGCACTGAACAATGGGCAGTAGGTTTGCCAGTTCACTAACCTTGCTGCAGCGATGTACTCCTGAAACACACTGGGGTTAACACAATGCGCCTCTTGGCTGCTCTCGGCTCTTTTCACCACATGTTCAGTTTCCTGTGAAGATGGATGAAGAATAAGACAGCAGCAATACGCTGTATATTTCCCAGATTAGATTGGTGGACTGGGAACAGGCACCTTGTCGTAACAGTGGATAAACTCTCCTAGCTGGTGGGACAGGATGCGTCTGCGGTCTTGGAGCGAAAGCTGTCGACTGGGCAAGACCACCTTTATTTCCTGTTGAAGGTTACTAGCTGCTCTTCTCAGGAAGCGAATCACTAGCTCCTGTGCAGATCAAAAACATTTCTGTTATTGTTAATAATAATCGCTGATTCATCCTGTCGCACTTATTCGAGCTGCCTGTGTGTTTGCCTTTCGGCGTTCAAAGCTTTAGAACTTCATAGACTGGAAGTCTACTTGAATTCACATCTATCTGCCCCTTGGGTTTGAGGTCACCGATGATGATGATGATGATGATGTATGCTCTAACGATGCAGACTTTCCAATCTTCTACAGAGACCACGTTTTCCCCCAGTGCGGCCACAAATGTCTCGTGCATATTTCAGCTACAGCCAGGGTACATATGAGTAACAGAATAATAATTAGGGGAAATCTGGCATGTAGGGAGGCAATGCCCCAGGGCCTCCCACTCATGTCCATTTATTAGGAATGGGAGATTATAAAATCATTATACCACTTGGTCGTTGTCCCTGTCTGGCCAAGCTGGGATGGTATTTGCTCGGCTTTCGGCCAGCAGTCTCTGCTGGACTCGCAGCAGGTACGAGGAAAAGGCCACCCGGGCCTGCACTTTACTGTGGAGGAGCGGGAGGAAAACCATCAAGAACTGCATAGGTAAAGCATGGACAATAACAATCATTTTACAAGGTTATCAACTGGGTCTTCTGCTAGGAGGAATCCGTTATAACAGAAAAAACAAGCAGTACTCGTTCATAAATTCATGAGCTCACATATCATCCGAAAAAAAGGGAGAGAGAAAGCAACAACAGGTATGTGTCAATTCCAGCCAAACTTTGTTGAGACACAATGTTTCTTGTCTTGCGGGGCATCGGAATGATAAACTGTTTCTATGAAACGCGTGAAAGGAGATAAGAAAAATAAAAAAATGTTTTGGAAAAATCTGTCAAACACAAACAATGATATGATGTACTAAAATGTTCCCTGCTGCATGCGGCGTCCTGGCAAGCACTGAGGAATTTCTACAAACTCAGACTTATTATTGTCCTTTTTCAACAAATTCAATTTAAATTAAATTAATATTTTCAGGCACACTTTTGGGATCACCATCAGACCGCAGTCTTTGTTCACATCGCTAGCACTTACTTCCTTACATATGTGTTAATGATGTGTATATGTTGTCCTTTTCTTGATTAAACAATATATCCAAAGAGAGAAGATGTTGTTCATACTCTGCCAATTCGGAGAGCCTTACGCATGTTGATATCACTTTACCTCACAAAAGCATAAAAACGAAATCATAAAATAATGTATTTTCTGCACAAATGGGCACACAAGTTGTGATCAGATAATTTCATATTTCCCCTCATTCAAGAGGAAAGGTGCAGAGAAGCAACTACAGCAAAGGAAGAAGGCGAGAGCGGCTCGGCGCACGGACCGACCTGAGGTCCCAGCCCTGCTGGAGGATGTTGAGCAGGTCGACTGTGCGCCTGGCGTTGTGTGTGGCTGCCTCTGAGCTGAAAGGAGCCTCGCTGTGGCAGCGCTCCAGCGGTGTGGCCATTTGTTTTCTTTGCTCCGTTCCCAAAGCCCTGTGTGAGACCGGCTCGCGAGGCAGTTTCACCTCCTCCCTTTCCTCCTGGGCGCACTCCTCTCCCTCCTGACTGCTGCTCTCCATCAGGGAGGCCTTGGATTCCTTCCCTGAGGTATGCGGCATTGCAAAGGAAAGACACATGTCAATTGCATCACCGACATTTGGGATAAAATACACACGGAACCTCAAAAGTGAACTCATACAAAGTCATATTTGGCCAAACCTTACCATGACACAGGAGAATTATTTACAGGAAACAAAAATGCATTGGCGTGTGTTTTGGTCCCACTTGCACAAGTTGTTTCCTAAAGTGAGGGCGTCCTACCGGATTTCTTCTTGTCCGCAGCAGAGCGATCGGTCGGGTGGCGCTGTCTCCTCTTCCGTGAATCCAGGGACAGCAGCTTCCTCTCGTACTGGACATCGTGACATCCGTGGACGGCCTCCGCCCTCAGCTGCATATTCCCGCTGACATTCCTGGCAGAGCAAGACATGTCATCACAATAGCAACAACTATAAATGATATATATGCGCATCATCAACAATTACGAAGCAGAGCGACTGTGGTGAACTCGTAGTTTCTGAGAAAGAGTTGTTGTTGAGTAGCTCGTCTAGAAGCTGACAGGACAGACTATGAAAATGACAATCACAAAATAAACCAAGGTCACGTTGCAACAAACATATCTTTCATCTTGCAACCTGAAAAATATGAAAAAAAACTGGCTCAGTTTGTGGCCAAATCTCCAGAAAATACTGCAAAATAGTTGAAAGCGATAAAAACTGCTTCAACTATAAACCAATGCTGATTCAAATAACATAAATGCATGTTGGCTTATAACAACCAAATGTGGTTTTAAAAAAAATACAAAGTTTATCTATAATTGTCTTTCCCCTCTTGCCCCCAAAAGCCACATAGACATTGGGCGCGTGCTGGAAAAGTTGACTGTGCAACGTCTGTTCTGCTGCTCTTCTCACCTACCCAATCTGAACCAAACAAATATGGCACTTAGAATCCAACCGTTTCCACAGAGCGATGGAGAGACTAAATCCCAACCACAATGGAAAAGCTTACCTTCCATGGAAAAGTCTGTTTGCCAACATGTAGTTCATCGAAGTCTTAGACTCCAGATATCCACTGAGAAAGGAAGATAATGAGCAAGTTACAATGGTCATAAAGGCAGAAGCCCCAATGAGCCTCGGCCTCATTATTTGCAGCAAATGTGTTAAAAATTAGGCTTCTGTGATATAGCTGCTCTGGAAGAAGCCCCCCGTTGAATGCTCCAATAATTCACCCAGAATGCCGACCAATATGCTTTTGAAATTTCACTGCAGCTAAGGGAGCGATGGATCTCCACTCGTTTTAAGACAGCATCGATGACGAGTAAACTCATAGACGAGCATCCCTCTGGGATTACAGGTGTGTCTTCTTTGCTCAGCTCACCCGTAGCGCTCCCAAGTTTCTGCGGTGGGGAAGATCCTGACGAAGCCTCCCCGTCTCTCGTCCTCTTCCTTTATCCTCCGGAGCACTTTGATCTATGTCAGTGAAAGAATACAACAGTTACTGTGCTTTCAGGTCCCCGTTACGTGTTCGCACCAGCAAAATCCGGCACTTCATGTCAACCGCGAGCATTTCGGAGGCCTTACCTCTTCTGCTGTCAAACTCAACGTGCTGTCTCCTTGTCCTTGTTTGTCGAGCTTGTCTTTCGACCCGTCTGCGTTACTAGCTGCAGCGGGCCTCTGGCGCTACAGGAGGAGAAGAGGGGGGACGAAATCAACTAATGCCGACCACTAGGGCCTAACACTACTACTACTACTACTACTGTGCTATCTTCTCCGAAATTAATTTTTCATCAATTCAAGCTTTTCAAAAAGGTTGTAAGAGTAGTCCCGCTTCTTACATTTTCTGTTACAGCTTCTGTAACTAACCTCTTTTCTTTTTTCCTGTCACATGAATTGAGTGTTACACATGGGCCTCCCTGGCTACCAGGCTGTGACTGACAGGTCTGGCATGCAGGTTGGAACTTGGGCCCGGCGAAGGGGCACAACCCCACAGGATCACGCACAGAATTTATCATCTAAATAGCAGGGGGGATCATATTTAATTTGCCTGACCCAGCTGTGGTGGGAGGGGGGGGTACAAAGGCAGCCAAAAAGTGACATGGCCTAATCCTTAAAAAAAGAAATCTGTTGCTCCTAATCAGAGCGAAGGGCCCCAGAGTTGGGCAAGCCTCTGTGATTTAGTGTCGGGCTTGCTTTAGCGATGTCTGAGTAAATCGGTCCATCAGAGTCTGCGAGTTTTGGGCCAAGTGTTGCATTGCAGCACTTAAACCACTTGCCTACTTAAGGCCACGTTGCTAATGTAATGAGAATTCTGTTCAATGCAGCATTAGCAATCGATCAGACTGTCCGTCGCTATGAGAAATAGTGAAGCCACATAATCAAATAAGGAAAAAGCAGTAAGCAATTTCTTACCGGTAACGTTGCAGGCATCAGGGAATTGCAAAGGCAAAAGAGGAGAAAAAATGATGTCTGAGTCTGAATAAAACTCACTACTTTGCTGTGTGCAGTGACTGGTTTCCAAGAGGCATTGGGTGAAGACATTGAGTTGTGTGTTTGAGCATCAGCATCACTGTTTAATCTTATGAAAGCCCCATAGAGACAGCAGAAATCTGTCTGATTTAGTAATCTCTCTGCTGCAGATCCTGCGCCAAAACTGGGTGCAGTAGTCGAGGGGAAAGCAGCCAAGTGTGTTGTGGCATCATTAGGCCACAAGGCCTGGAGAGAGCATTAGTCACTTGATTAGAAATGATAAAACAAAGAGCCACAGAGAGTAGCTTTTACAAACGGACGTCGATCAAACAGCGTAGCAGTTGTTTTGCATTACAGTGAATTTCCCATTAGGGTGGAAGAAGAGCTCGATGATAGTGGCAGGAATGTACTGTAAGCAACACGCAGATGAAGACAAGCATGGGAATGTTTCACAAGGAAGGGTGAATGAGTCCAACACTTGGCTCATCGCTTTGCTGTGTGTGTGTGTGTGTGTGTGTGTGTGTGTGTGTGTGTGTGAGTCCAGTACCTGCGTCCTTTGGGCTGCTGGGTGCTTGAGGCTGGGGTCCAGGGGGACTCGGTCAGACCGTGGTGGTCTCAATAGGGGGTCGTGACACACAAAGCCTGCGGGGACACAGTAGAGCCACAAGGGGCTTTATCAATGACATCAGATCTTAAACATGTTACTCATTCCCTTGAACTTCACGTATTGCATCAGATCTTGAATGTTAGTGCAAGAAGACCAAAGTACAGCACGGGAAACCAAGACATTAAATTACATTAAAATCAAATATATCTTTAACAATATCCATCTCGGTCAGAGACGCGTGCTTTGATATACTGACAAACCGCAGTCCCCTGATGTGAACCAATGACCACACACAGAATTGCCTGATGGTTTGAGAAATACGCTGATTTACTTTCTTCCCCAGAGTTATATGAGAGGATTGATGTCACTCTCACATCGGTATGTTGAATTTAAAGCTACAGCCACCATCTGGTTAGCTTAGTTTAGCACAAAGGCAGCTCGGCTGTCTTTGTCCAGAGGTAACAGAAGCTGCCTCCCAGACACTTTGCACTTTATCATGTAATAACTTGTTTGATTGGTACTTAGAAATACTAAAGTAGAAAACCAATTCAAACGATTTACGGAAATTACGACACGAAATTACATGTCAGACTATTTCTTGTCTCAGAGCAGTTGCCAGGAAACCACATCGAAAACAGTTAGTTCCCCTCATAATTAGACTTTGATTTGCTGCTATTCAGTGTATTTTTGGTATTTTCTCACTGTCGGACAGAACCAGGCTGGCTGTGTCCCCCTTGTTATCAGACCTTTTCTTAGGCTATGCTAACCGAGTGTTGGCTAGACAGGCGGGAGACAGGTACCGATCACGCCAGCTGACTCTCTGCCAGAGGGAAAATAGACAAACTGCTCCTTTAACTTTTTACTCCTGGGCAAACGACATGCTTTTCTAATGGTGACACCGGTTAGGATATACAGAGCTCAAGAAATTTCAATGCTAGTGGCGGTCCATACGGGTCGGGGTGATTCCTATTTCCCACAACGACGTTCCCACCCACTCAGTAAGATTTAAATCCATGAGCTGGTGTTTACTAATTCCCACGCTCCCTCAAGGCTAACCAGAGGTAAACATCAAATGTTAAAGAATTATGTTTATGTTGCATCCTGCAGTCACGGTGGAGTGAATTGAGTCCATTGACAGCTTGGAGCTCGAGGCTATTTGTTCTACCTCAAGCCGCCAGGTAAGAATCAGGCCTCTGCACTTTCCTAAACACAGCAATTATTACAAACATCGGCGACACTGACAGCTCCACACAGGCGGAAAATGAATGCTAATGGAATGCTGTCATTATTTACAGGTCTGGGATGCGGCCCAAGTGTTATCATCCAACAGCGCCTTAGTTTGTTTGGTACATAATAGATGGGCTATGTTTTACATGCCACTGCTCACCCCCCCTCCCCCCGATCTCCCCCCGACCCGCGGTAGCATCTCAGTCCAAAGATAACTGGCAATTTATGATTCTGCTCTTTCATTTAATGAGCGAGAGGGGAGGGTTTCCAGCCACAGCGTGGACGAGGCTGAGATACACGCGCTCTCACACGGACACACATTAGCTATTAAACGTCCTCAGGAGACCACAGGCAGATTTAATGGTTCAGTGCCAGTTCAGATGTATACCTGGAAATCACTGTGCTCCAATCGTCCCATGATTGCTAGTAAGGATACATAACAAGGATGAAGTGTATCAATCAAGCGATGTGAAAGCTGTGTAGTTGTAGCAAACTTCTGTATGCACTCATGGTGTTATTTTCATGTTGATTTGATCTTACATGTTAAAATATATTTTAAGCTGTTCTTCTGCATGAGCATTTAATAAGTAGGGAGGATACATAACAGAAACATTCCCTACTACAAACAATGCTGTGTAAACAGCATTTATCTCTGCAATGGGCCAGGCTTTTTTTTTTTTTTTGTATCGCCATGTGAAAAATTGCTTTAGTTTGACACGTCAGGTCTAGTTTCTCATGAAAGCTTAATGTCTCCAAAACAACGACGGCCTTTGTGGAGAGTTTTGTCCGCGAGTCATTCGATGTTAATTAATGTCTGCGGTTTCTTCTCTCAACAGTGGAGCTTTACAGTTATTATTGGCAGTTTAGACAAATTCAAACGAGTGGAATGAACAAAAACAATGAGCTTTAAACAATAGTTAACCGTCTCCACTGAAACATGACGGTTACAAGTGAGGCCGCTTTCATTCGGTTGGCAAAGAAAATCCTGCATAATTACAACGCTGTTCATTTTATTTCAGCTTTTCCAAACTGAACATCTTCATCCCGATTACATCATATTGCAATGATTAATAAATAATTGTCCTTCAAGTAAAATAACTACTTGTGTTTTTAACTATTCAAATCCACGTTACTCATTTTATTATTTAGTAATGTCGGTTACTGAAATATAGTATATTTACTATTATTTCAAATGCAATCATGTAGTTCAAACATGGAATACATTTGATGCGTCCACCCAAGAATTATCCAACTCTTTCAACTACGTGGGGGTCAATAATATATCTTGTAAGAGATTCACTAATTCTAAAGGGTTCTAGTTGTTTGGTGAACTTTGTTAATTGTAAGCAGAGAATTCACATGAACTCAATATGCAGTGCAATCACCCACATGCAAGTTGTGTATAGTCATTGTTTCAGCATGCACTCACCCACGAGTGAAAACATGTCTGCAATCATGCTGGCCTTTATCTTCAGATCCAAGGGCGCATCACTGTAAACGAGTAGATTTATTTTTAAAAAGGTAACAAAAACAAAAAAAATCACAACACATAGATGGAGTTAAGAAAATGCAGATCTATTATATGACCTTAACTGACTGCTACGCCGACTTAACATTTATCTTTTAGTACTTTTGGCCCGAGGGTCGAGGGTGTGCTTTCACAGGGTGTGAATGTCGTCTCCTCCAGTGTGGCAAAGTACTGACGTGCTCTTGGTTGGTGTGGTGAAATAAATGGTTTCAGAGACATTCCTCCGCAAAACCCCAAAAGCAAAGAATAGAATTATTGAGACAGTGTCACTCACCAGGCCAGGGAGGGAGAAAGGTTCACCTCTAACAACCAGGGTTTCAGGTCGGAGTCAATGAGCACGTCAAAACCATACAGCTCTACAGAGGGAAACACAAAATGAACCTCTGAGGTCTGATCACTGAAATCAAAGGATCAAAAACCCATTGTGGCTTTGAACATTTAAAAACGGTCAATCATTTTCTTATGACTGGTAAGGTTAAGCAGTCTACATGTTGTCACCACATATTAACCAGTAGGAGGGCACACTTAAGGGTACCAGAAAAAGCTTTCGCCCTGGTGACACAATAAAAGATGTGGTGAGAAAGTTTCGTGACAAATTTTTCATCCATTTTATTCTACTCTATTCAATTTTCCCTCTTGTTTCACTGACTGATATATATATATATATGCATGGCTCACAGAGGCAGAGCTGGCCTGTGAAAAAGCCCCACACTGCTCTGGGGAGTGTCACCGCGCGAGCCAACGACCCGCCGGCCCAAGCAGCAGCGTGCAGAAAAACCACAACATTTTACAGGCGTAGCGGCAAAACTCAACCATGGAGCCAGGGGAAAAATCATGGTAATGGCACTTAAAAGAATAGAGTGGGCCGAGTAGCGGCCATAACCACCACTGTTTGTCAGGTCAGTGCCGGTGGCAGCGAGAAAGCGGTGATGTTGTTCCGCTATGCAATTCTAGTCTAACAAGGCCAGTTAAAAGGATTTATGTATGCATTATTTACTGTCGATATCTGTGAAACAAATTGTCACCCGCGTGGTAATGCCTCGTAAATATGAAGTAGTTTGCTTGAAAATGCATAAATATATATATATATATATATATATATATATATATATATATATATATTATATAGGTCTTTATATATTTGGAGCATGGATTTCAAACTGAAGACACTAGGGAAATGCATTATGGGACATTTACGATCCAGGATTTTTCCACATTTGACCATTCTCTACCGCCCTTTTTATCATCATCTGTCTCCTGTGAGTCCCCTAAGTTTATTAAAAAGTAATAATAAATCGCTCCTTAAAACATTGATTTGATGTTTTTTTAGTCCCAACTCATCTTTCAACATCTGCATTGAGACAAGTTGGCAAAAAGGCGTATTGGATTCCGTCCTTGGGGCTACATTACATGAGCCAGGGGATCGAGATCTGGTAGCTTCATGAGGTCCAAATTGGTGTAGCTGCAAACTGCATTTTCATGATGGAACTGAACGAGGTTTGCCGAACGCCACTGAGCCAAGAGCAGCAACCGAAGCCGACGCCGCCATCTTTAACGTCTTTAACTCCCGAGGACGGACGGGACCCCCTCGAGCAGCGAGCGGAGCACCGAGATCTCATTTTCCACTCGTGGGTTAATGCCGTTCTAGCCGCTTAGCGCGCGCATAAAGCATTAGGCATTAGTTCCCAGGGAACAGAGAGCGCTGGAATAAAACGGGTTGGAGACGTGTCGTGCCTCACTCGTGGCACCACAACAACGGAGGAAAACTGGGGGGGGGGTGGGGGGGTTGGAGGGGGGTGGTGTTACACCGCCTCACCAGCCCTCCGACAGGCAGGCTCCATGTGCCGCTCGTTTTCCCGCCCAATTAGGAGCAGACGCCGCTTCTGCCCCACGAGCCTGCCATGCCGCCCACTGCTAGACACGTTTATCTTTGGCCCGACCGCTGCTAGGCTGGGGTGGGTTGGGGTGGGGGGGGCAGGGGGGGTGGTGCTGGTAAGTGTGCCCGCAAGAACCACAACAGGCATCACAGACAAGGAGAGCGGAGGCGGCGAACATCCACATCACACCCATCAAAGAGGGAGGATGAGAGCAAACGTGACAGAGCAAAGGGATGATGAAGAGCTTTTTTTACATGTTATTGGATGGGCGCTGCTGGAAACTTCACCACACCAGAGACAGACGCCCAAAGACAATAATCCCCCCCACCCGCCCCCCACCCACGGCCATGCAGCCGGTTGGCCCACAACAACGGCAACGTGGAGACATTTTCTTCTGGTGTGTGTTTTATTCGTTGGCGAGGACTATCGGTTTACTCTCGCAATCATATCGCAGGGGAATTAAGTGTCGTTCCAGGGAGCAGGTTGGAGCCACAAACACGGAGGGAGGGGGGAGTGGGGGGGGACACTCTGTGGCCTTACGGCGATGAATTATACAGCAGAGACAACGCTGTCAACGCTGCTCAAGTGTGGGAGCATGTGACAGATGTAAAGCAGGGAGAGTGGCCCACAGACGGCGGCGTTCGGTGGAACACAGGACCAGCAAGTGGAATGTTCTGCGTGTAATAAAATAGGCCTTTGGCTTGGCTAATCAGATCTCAGTCAAAACATCTCGTAATCAGCATCCCTCAGCAGAAAGGCTGTCCATTAATCACACGGCAGTGGTGAGCAGCCGCATGGGTGGCATTTTCTCCCCCCTCCTCCCTCCCCCCTCTCCTCCCAACCCCACCCACGCACACACACTCCCTTCTCACCAGCGTAAAATGAAGAATCCTTTGTTTTTGTTTCTTCCCCACATGAGACATTACGGAGCTATAAAGTTTTGTTGCCGTGTGCCCGTTTAGATACGGATATGCAATTGGCGCAATGGGAAAAAATCCCATTGGAAAGCCATAAACTTAATATTAAAGCCATTAATAGACAGTAAAATGGCGGGGAACAATTTGCGGTAAATTAAGATTGTAATGTGCTTTACGGCCTCGCAAGGCTCTTTTCCAGTCAAGCAAAAGACCGTAATAAAACTCAAAACAATGGCTCGCCTCTATCGGCACACTTTAACCGTTTTACCTACAATTACAGGCAGCTGTCGAGGCGCTGAGTGAACGCTGAGTGTATTCTAGGTTGCAGGAGGACTGGGAAAGTAGTGGGGATACGTGCAGCTCCAGGAAGGGTGCTGAGGCTGAACCCGACTCCTCGGCGGTTTGGGTGGGTTTTTGTTTAAAAGACAAAAAACAAGCCGGCCGAGATGCTCGACTGAACTCCCTGCAGCTTATGCAGACCTGTGTATTTGTAAAACGCGTGCTTCACACCGGTTGCTGCATGCCTCTACAATAATACTGCGGGCGCACACACGCACACGTGCAACATGACCACACTGGGAGAAACAGATGAACAGAGGGAAGATGAGGGTGGTCCTCTGGAACCGTCAGTGTCTGTTTTTGGAAACTTAATCCTCCAGACAGAACTATGAGTGCTGTAATTAACTTGCTTGGGGCCATCTGAAGACAACAAAAGTACACGCAACTCAATAGTAAAGTGATAGAGTTGAAGTAGTAATGGACATGCTCACAGTGTATCATATGTCTGAGGGAAAAGTGTGGAACCTAATTGTCTCTTCACAATGTCCTGCACAAAGGATGCGTGCTCTCATTCGTAAGCTTATTACTAAAACATTCCATAAAGCATTTTTGCAATTGGGAGAAGGGAATGTGTATAAACAAATAACCCAGGTCTACCTGGACGGGTGAACGGATATAAAAGTAAGACCAAACTTGTTTTTTCCATTCCACCAGCTATGTGCCATCTGGTTGTTTCTTCATGTCTAACACATGTGTGTGAGAGCCAGGTGGGGGCACGGTGAGCCACATTCCCCCCCCGTAAACACCTGCGTGGTCAACATTCACACCCCGGACTAATGTGGTTATCCAACCTAGCAGTTATGCTCCGAGTGCAGATAGCATCTTTATGCAGGCGGCCGCCTGATGTGATGTGAGTCCACGCCGCCGCGCCCCCATACAGCCCCAACAACCACCAGGCCGCGGGGGCTATTATGTCTACAGAAGCCTGTCAAAACTGCAAATTCTCCTATTTTTCCTAACATCTGAGAGGTGAAAGAGAGTGTGAGCAGCAGAGGGAGAATCATAAACAAACAGAAACAGCGAGGCGAAGAGGAAAAAGAGACAGCGGTGTTGAGGGAGGCTTGGCCAACGCAGCTCGCCCTCAAACCCCAAATCTCAGAGAGACCGCCAGAGAGAGCGCAGACAATTAGGGCCAACACTAACACGGGTAATGGCTCCGAAATGGAGTTCACACGAGCCCAGCGCTAGGCATGAGCGGCCAAGAAAACAGTCAGCCGAAATCAGGCAGACCTGAATCGCAACGGGGAGGAGGCAGCGAATTCCTGCCTCAGACCGTCGACCCTCCGCGACGCGGCAGCCGGTCGGAGGGCAGCAGCGGGCCGGAAGGGCGACAGCGAAGAAATACTACAGAGGAGCCGCCGGACAATGAAGGTTAAACTGAAAGGGAACGTGCCAGGTGGGGTAGTGTGTGTGTGTGTGTTGGACTTGAACACTACATGACATCATCACACCTGCCCATCAGAACTCCAACTAATCGTTCTCACCTAATCGTACCAGGAACAGCCTACAGGACCAATTTGGGGTTGAGTGTCTTTGCCAAGGACACATTGTCACATAATAGCTGGCAGAGCTGGGATGGAACGGTCAAACCCGGCCCTGTTCTACAGTTGCCCCCCTCCCCCCATCAGTGCAGATTTAGGTTCAACTTTGGCAGACTAGATTGCTTTTTGTTTCGTTGAGGTCAAACGCATGTGAAGAAGAAATTGAAATGATTACCAAAGCAGTTGGTTTTGTGGGGAACGTACGTCCTGCAGGCGTTGGCTATCTGCAGCTCAGCACTCAGTACCGATTTAATGACCAGGTCCTCCACCTGTCGCATCAGCACTGGAATACACAGAAAGGAAGAGATGACTTCCTCGCACAGGATTCTTATGTTGTGTCTTAATCTTTTTTTTTACATGATTCTAAAGGAGAAAAAACAAGCAGCAGGTCAGAGTGCATTCTTTTTAGTATTATTTATTTAGTAACAGTTTCGCATGGATGCATAAACAAAAAAGGGACAGACGTAAGGGGCGAGCAAGGGAATGAAATAAAGGTTTGACTCACATGTGGTGTCCTTCCCCTCCTGCTTCAAATACCTCAGCACTGCACTCATACTCCACTTGTTCCCATAATCCTCAACTTCAGGGTCATCGCAACTGAAAGGAACCGAACGCACTTCAAACGCCGTTTCCCAACAAAAGGATGAGACCATCCAGCGACGACAGTTACCTGACATAATCGCTGCTCTTTTTGTTCACGCTGTAGTTGGTGAGGTGCATGAACGTGTTCTTGATGTTCTTTGAAGTCTGGTCATACTTCACGGTGGCAAATCTGCAGACAAACAGGCATTTATTTGTGCAAGAAAGAAGAAGCAGAAGATGAAAAAAAGATTCTGTCATCCAACAATTTCACATCACATAAGGCTGACACTGCACTGAATGAAGGGAGGCAGGGGTGTGTGAGGGGGGTGGGGGGGGAGCACTTTGGATAGAGATTAGCTTCTGGCAGTGTTTGGGAGGAGTGGATGCCACATGTGCAGTACTGAGAATTCCTTGGCACGCAGAGCGTACCTGAATACCAACACAAGCCGGTGGAATGTCAAGAGATAAAAGCAACGTTCAGGTTTGGGCCGTGATTCATTGACCACGGTTGATAATGAAGGCAGCAAGCAGGAGGCCGGCCGCGATCCGTTTGCAGCACGCAGCTCTATCGGGAAGGGGCGTAAACCGCCTCGCCTCTCCTCGCCTACCTGTGCTTGACAATAGCCTTATTTTCTTTTTTATAGAAGTCTCGCTGAAAATAAGTGCATCCAATAAAGACAGGTCGGTTACACAAAGATATCCCCTTTGGACATCGGAACAATCGGTCACTTTTTGATGAGCACGTTGCACAACTGGAACAATAGAGCGCTTTGTTGCACGGTCCCCTTGCGCGCTCCACAGCGGCTGGTGGGAGAAGTGAAGGCTGCCCTCTTCTGGACGTGGAAGGAGCAGCAGGCGGTGTCTGCCAAACACTTGACTTTAAACTCCTCACACTGTTTATATGTTTTGATCTATTTTCCTCAGAAATCAAACCTAGGAAAATAAACATCAACCAATATGGAGGCAACAGTTTTAAAGAAGAATATCGATTGTGCTGTCCAGTGTATTCGACCCCAAAGAGCTGTAATAACCCCCCCCGCACTGCTCACCTGGCCAGGCCCTCCTCATACACGTAGACGAGGACCGGATCGTACGATGTTACTAACACGTACAACCGCACATCGAACTTGAACTCTGCAAAACAAAGCAAAAGAAAGGGGGGGGTAGGGGGGGTTAGTCATCCACGCTGGTTATTCACAACGCCGAACCGAAATCCTTACAAAGGAAGAAGTGGCGAGGAGGTGACTCACCGTCTATTAGTAGTGGGTTATTAATATAGCGAGACACCAAGATGTTCTCGTCCATTAAAATCTGATTCGGCTGCAGATGACAAACAGAAACCAATAAAAGACAATATGGTTAACACAACGTCACCTTGATGCGGTCGATACGGAGGGTCAATTTATTTAATTGACTCAACAACCAATCGTCTCTGTTATCTACCAAAGTGATGAAGTGTGACTCAAGAAACTTCATCTCCGTCTCTCAATAGAAAAGCGTGAGGAATATTTCTTTGGCAGACGTTTCACACGCCTCCATACTGTATATTCATTCACATACAGCGCCGGAATGCCGAATAGATGATGTGACTCTGCTGTAAACCATTAACATCAAAGAATCAACAAGAATAGCCGGAGACGGCAACGACGCTGTCCGTAGCGGGTCAACGATCCGAAACAGCCTATAAAAACACAATCCGGTGGTGGGAGATGGGTCATTTATGAGGTTGAAATGTGTTGCAGGTGGGGAAGTTGAGATGGGACGGAGAAGGGGAAGGATGCGGGGGAGGGTGGAGGGAGGGTGGGGGTAGCCTCAGCGCTGGCTACAGTTCAGAGAAAACCCGAACCAAAATAATGAACGTATTTCTTTCCTCTCTCCGAATATCACTCGGACATTCTTTCCACTGTTTCATAAAATGCCTGAGAAGGAGAAGGATTGTGCATGTGCTTTTTTCCGAGAGTGAGAACCTTGTTGAGCTCCTCCAAAAAGTCCGAGCCTTGGAAGAGTGTAACTTACTCCACACAGAGCTTATTAATGTCTGAAACTCTGGTCGATACTTATTTCAAAGACAGCTGTATCTGCACACCGCTCCACACACACACACAAATAACATCTGGACAGCTGACTTTTTCAGTTCACACAGTATTTCTCTAAAGTAAGGATGCTTATAGTTAACTCCCACAAGGTCTTACATTATTACCAATCTGTCTTCAAATTTTAAAATATTTGGTTAGCTTAGCTTTGCTTAAAGATGAGTTACCCTCTGAGTCCAGCCTGTGCTAACATAAGACAAACATCTGCTGGATGTAGCCTGAAAGTGATGCTACAGAGATGTGAGTGGTATCACTCTTCCCCCCCCCTAACCAGACAGTACATGAGCAAACCAACCCAGATGTCAAAGTATAGAATTCATCATTAGTCGTATAGTCAAAAGTCAAACTGCCTCTGAATTCACCTTCTCAATGTGAGGAATTACTGTTTTTTTCCGTTTTAAAACTAAGTAAACTGAATTTCAGTTGTTACAGAGTCTTATGCTCTGGGAAATGCTTTTTTTTCTCAACTTTTTGATGTTATGAAGAACCCAAAATAAGCAGAATAATGGATTATACAAGTGAAAAGTTACAGTCCTGATGTCATTTGGAGGATGCTAAAAGTCTCTCAAATAGTTGGAGGAGGACAATAAAATACTGTGTCATGAACGTCTGCATTAAAAGGTGATAATCACTCACATTGCTGACCAAGTAGATGCCTCGCCCTCTTGAAGATGCCACTGGTTTTATGATCCAGGGTCCTTTGTCCTTTGCAAAACAATCTGAGGTCGAAGCATGAAGGACGAGGAGAGATTCAAAGAGAAAACAAAACGTATTTAGTTTGGAATGGACATCTCATAAAGAGAGGTGCACTTGGACAAACAAGATCATGTGGGATGCTTCTTACTGCAGAATTCCTGGTACTCGGAGGGAAGCACAAAGGTCTGAGGAACAATGTGGAAGTTTTTGAAGCCGTGAGTCTGCTGCATCCGCTGGATGTTCTTATACAGACGGTCTTTGCGCGTCAATTCATACGACCTGTGAATGAGCAGGACCTTCTGGTTTTGAGAGCTTCGACACTGACAGAACACCGAATGCACGCACGTGTAACTGCGATGGATCGCCCCGCACACCACGATTCATTTCGGGTTTCAGAGAGGCAGCGGCCCAAACCAAATGCGCTTTGCAGTGGAAGCCAACAAACACATCGCCTGAACTGACGGGCTTTGAATGGCTCAGTCACTGCTGATATTTATAACACGGCCAACACACTCACACAACTCTATTATTACCTTGGAAAGTGGTTGACCTTCTGAAAATCCTGAAGGCTGCGTAGTATGTAAGGCTTGAGGTGAGATCCTGTCCACATGAGGTTAAAGTCGTTGCTGTTCGGGTGAACCTGAAGAAAACAAAAAACAGACGAAACGATTGACCTCACTTGGCATGAGGAAGCAAATTATTTAGATTCAGTGTTATTACCTTATTACAGCAGTATTATATTCTAATGTGCATCACATATGACGGCTCAGTTTAATTAAGTCTAACAAGCAGTAAGACACTACCAACGGACTACCTGGAGAAATACAGCCGGCTCTTCAGAAACGATCACAAAAAGGAAAGCCGGCTTTGTTTTGTTTTATTCCGATTCGTTAGGAAGCAGAATCCAAACGGCTGCTCGGAGTCCAGATGTTTGCAGTAAAAGCTTATTAAAGTTTTGGCTTGGCCGCGGCCGTGGTGGACCCTCTGCCTTTGATGATGGGTTCACGGAAGTCAAGAAGCATTGAAAAGAAATAAAATGGGAATTAATTGTAACTGTTTGGAAAGAGCAATAATGGGGATCGTGTGCCCTCGTGAAACAGGACGAATGCTTTTGAGGTCATTTTCTTACCACGGGGGCATTCCAGGGCTTTGACATTGGCGTTATTAGTCAATGGAATAAAAAAACAACCCCAACTATCTGCTATGCTACACAGCCGAGAGGTATATCACTATGTGCCGCAAAGACACACAGCTTTAGCTTTTGCAAAATATAGGTAAATCTTTTAAATGTGCATGATTTAGCACAGAACGTTACCTCGTGGAATCCATGATTGGTGAGTAGTCCTCGTACCAGGCGACTCTCTGTGCGGACAATCTTGAAGGCCATATTATAGCGCTCTACGGTAAACAACATTTTCATTTGAGCTTTCAAACTTTGAAATGATGAAATACTTTTCTCATACTCATGGGTGTAGCTTCAACAAAGTGTAGTGTACCTCCAGTGGAGCAGATGTTCACATCTTTTGCAACAGCAGCTTCGGGGAAAAACAAGAGAACTGGGATGGTCTTGCTGAGGCCACTCCAGGCCACGCAGGGATGGTCTCTAGTGCACAAAACAATTAGATGATGCACTCACAGCGAGAGTCAGGTTTTATACAAATCCTGGACCCACAGAACTGATCAGACAATCTAGAAGAAATACACAATGGAGAACTTCCCAAAAATGATATCATACAGATGTTTGTACTGTGGCACTACCGGAGAAGGTCGACCGACCTGTACGTGTAGTTTGACAATTACTTCTGTCGGGTTCAGGTCCAAACACCCTAGAAAAGCTGCATACTATCGACTACGACACAGTCTGATCACCGGGGACTAAAAATAGGATTAGGCAGTATGACTATATACTCCATCAGGCACGACCGGGCTTGTTTATGTGGAATATGTCTTTCCCCCTGTACACCATTACGCAATGTGCTTGTGCGTGCACTTACATATGTTTGTCTGCATGTGTGCCTCCTGTATTTGCTAATTACTAAACACTTGGTTGTACTTTTCATTATTTAAGGTTGCCTGTTGTCATAAAACCAATGAAATCAGAGCAAGATTGAAATCAAATTTGCAGCCAATGCTTGTTTGGTAATAAGTACAAAGGTGTGCTGGAAATACTAAATAACTGTAACATAAAATCTAGTTTTATTGTTGTGGTGTTTGAGAAAACAGTTCTTTGAGCAATCTCATTTCTTTCTTTACTGTTACGGAAGCATCTCAATGCAGCTGCATCAATGGAAATAGCATCGGTCCCCTGGAGGTTAAAACCATCACACAAAGCAATCAGAACTATTTCAGGAAATGGGAATAAGACTAAAGGCGCAGTGGCTCTCAGTCTGCAATGGCTAAGTATAGCTTAAGAGGGAATTAGTCTGCAGGGACACAGCTAGCGTAGTCACAACTGTTGCTGCTGTGATCTTGAGCTCGACATTCTTGTCTCTCGTTTCAAGTTGTAATCTTTCATCAGTTGGTTTCATTTTGCAAATACCTGCTATTACCAACCCTTATGCGACTCTGAGGTGTGCAACAAAAAAACCCTGTAGAGTTATTTTGTGGAGGAGGTATTGGGGGGGTCTCTCATCTTCATCACAACAATCCTTTTTAATTCCTTCCTTAAAAGCTTCTACCTAAGTTGGGCGGTAACTATGACGACCACCAGTCACGAGCTGACACTTACTCGTCTTCCGATGAAGACTCGTCCTCGTCGCGGATCACCGCGGGCATCTTCAGGGCGAAAGAGCACGAGCTGCCCGGTGGAATCCTCCCGGCATCGAGTGCCCAGGTGTTACCGCGGCGCCTGACGCGTACCAACGGCCAAAACAAACAAAATCAGCCGTTAACGAAAAGCTCTCAGGCGTTCAAATAAAGCGGGGCTCAGTCAATAACCGCGTTATAAGGGAGCGTGGGAAATGATAGAAGGTCGCGGGGTCTTTGCAGTCCTTTATGTTTAGCGATAACTGGGTTAGCTCGGGACTGCTAACGCGTTAGCTCGTGTGGGTAACGGTGGCGTAGTGGTCTTATGGTGATGTTATTGGGGACAGAAGCCGTTACGACGAGTTAAACCCAAACAGAGAGAAGGTAAGACGCGGACAAAGCCCCGTTAGCTAAGGTCGGACGTTGCTGTCATTTGGTAACGGGAATTGTGATGTTTGAGACCGCGTAAACAGACGTTTGTACGATGCCATGCGAGTAACCTTAAACGCCAACGTAAGCTTGCCTTTTCCTCTGAGGTGCTGCTTGCTGCCAGCTAGCTGGTGTCACCAGGGCCAGTTAATCATCGCGGGTAATCTTCCTGGTAACTACAACAACTGAGTAGCAACACAGCAAAGCGCATGCGCAGCCCGGCAAGATATGTATTTTCTCACCTGACTACGTGTTGCGTTGTACTGTAGGTTACTTCGATACTCGACGGTGGTACGTGGAATGTCAAAACAAACAAATAATCATGATAAAGTGTGTGGTTTTGTGTGTTTCAACGAGATTAAATGCAAAAAGGAAATGTCTCATTGTCAATGCACTTATTGCTTGAGGAGTATTTGTTACTAACTTGTTATTAACTAAGTGCAATACTGAAAAGGGTGAAACCATTTTTTTCCTTTACGAATATTATGGTAGTATTAACGTTATTTGGTTTTCGTTTAACCTACATGACAACTCAGCGTCTGACTTCCTCACGCATAACAGATTTAACGAAGACACAAGTCATCGCACAGTATGCTGTTGTCGAATATTTACTCTTTGTTTAACCACAGCCTATCACACAGTTTACAGGTGACCAAATTGTTAAGTTTCTACTGGTTGGATGAGAAGGTGGGCGGGTCCTCTAAACTCGTATGGGCCAATCATATGAATGGTACGACTGGATGGAGCCATTTCTTAAACAGCTCGTATTGGTCATCCACCGAGTCCAAGATAAGACGAGGACAACATAACGCCGCGGTTAGGAACCGCCCTCAAATGCTCAAATCCAGCCCTTTCTTTGCGCATCATGTTCACATTGTAGTTTTGCGGCGGCCTCCGGGTAAATACCCCCGGAATTTGTTTTATTTTTTTGGGGGGGGTGGGGGGGGGGGGTCTCGTTATCCTGCGATGTCACGTTACCTGTCGTTGAATATCTCTTGCAGACAGGTTTGACAGGTGCGTCTCGCGGACGGAACATGAGTCGCTTTCTGAACGTGCTGCGCAGCTGGTTGCTGATGGTGTCCATCATCGCGGTGGGAAACACCGTGCAGAGCTTCAGAGATCACGGCTTCCTGTCCGAGAAGCTCTACACGGGCGCGCCGCAGTTCGGTGAGCGATCCGAGCCGACAGCATTTTAAATATAGTCAGCTGCGAGTTATGACATTCAAGCTTTACACCTCCCTGTGACAATGGAAATGGAAATACTCACATACTATACCGTTTGGGTAAGATCCTATTTATGATCTTTAGTTTTGGAGTCGCACCAAACATCTGATGAATAAACGTTAAAGAATATCTTGTTGCAAAGTAACTAAACATATGTTGGCTACCGAATGGGACATTTCGCAGTTAAAGCGCTTAACAAGTTCTCTTCTTGGTGTAAAGGTGACACGGTGTCTAAATGATCCTGATCACGGCATCTTGTTCTTTTGAGTGCTGCAGTTACAGTAAAATCATTAATCTAAAATGTGTAAATGAAATTGATTTTAGGCAGACTAGGATAAACAAAACGGTCCCTCATTCCGCAATATTTTTTGTTTACTTGTCATCCCCCTCAGTGAACGGTCTCCAAGCACGGACGTTTGGTATTTGGACGTTGCTGTCGTCGATCATCCGCTGCTCCTGTGCCATCGATATCCATAACAGAACGTAAGACGGGCCTCTCGAGTCCTGCGCCTGGTTTCTGTCTTCACCGTGTCTGTTCTTACCGTGTGTCGTACGGGCTCCCGCAGGCTGTATCACATCACCTTATGGACATTTGTGTTGGCGTTGGGCCACTTCCTGTCTGAGGCCTTCGTTTACAAAACGGCTCCTCTGACGATCGGGGTCATGGCACCTCTCATTGTGGCAGGTGAGCGTAGACTGCGGTGGGACATATTTATATATGCTTTTTTTAAGTCTGTTCTAAAAGGTATTTGTGTGCTTCCAGGTTTCTCCATCATAGGAATGCTGATTGGATATCATTGTATCCCAGAGTCCCAGCAGGAGGTCGGGGCCCGACAGAAGAAGCGTAACTGAACCCGGACGATGACATCTTCTCGTGCTCTACATTTCACTTTCTACGTACACAACTTGGGCTTGACTGTATTTGATGTTTTTTTTACACTTCAGAGAGCAATCTAAACATTTGATAGAAAGTCAGGTCATGCTGGAACCGTCAATATGTGCCGTTTTATGATGAATTTGTTCCGTAGGTGATCAGTACAGATGTTTCCTTTATCTGAACAGAGTTTAGATTTCTCGTAGGATGTTTTATTTCTCCTGCACATGTTGTCTTATACCTGATCTGCCAAAGAACGCGGGTGACTACACTGTACACGACTATGCTCTCAATTACAAAATCAACCTTTTTTTATTATTAACATGTTGTTCTTGTCGCTGGTTCTGTGCTGTGAAATATTTGCATGCCCTTTAATTTCATGCACAATTATTGTCCGATAAAATCTTTTAAAACTAATTTTTGGTATATTTGATGTTTTCTACTGAAGTTGCCAACAAAGGATGTATTCATTATTGTTGTTGTCGTTATAGATTTTAGACCTTGATTTGGCTGAAAGAATTCAAAGCAGAAGACAACCAAAGATACATACAGGCTAAAGTGACACCCTTTTCTTGCAATTTTGTATAGAACATAAACTCAATTTAGTCCAATTATTTATTTTACTTCATTTTCACACTACACGGTGTATACGGTCAAAATAGGGAAACAAACAGGGGTGTGCATGTTTTTACAGCACTGTAAAATGTCCTAAAAATACAACTGAAAGAATAACTAGCACCTCCTAAAATCACACTCACAACGTTAATCATAGCCGAGGAAAACCACAAGACAACTTGCCACAACACATCAAGTAAAACGTGTTTATGACAAACTACACTGGTTACACAGCAGGGACCACATTTATAATTAACACTTTTACAGGCCAAGTAGTATTACACACAACAAACACTTGTTCCAGACGCTCTCTCATGTACATCCAGATGCGTACGACCAAATGTTTTTGTGAGATCACTCACAGCAAAACAAGGAGAAAACTGAAGTGTAGTCGGATGCACAGCATCCATTATATTTCATAATCAGCAGTGTACAAAAGAACAACTTCCGTCTGATCCCGCAGGGCAGGCAGAGATCATATGACTTGAACTGATGGCCACGAGAGGACGCACAACATAGTTACACACAATATTAAGGAACGCTCACAATTTAAATATTGCGCCTAGATGCGTAGAACAACAGGGGGGGGGTGAAACCTCAGGACAAAGTTCAGTTAAGTCAAGTGGCCGTGCTTAATGCAGACGTTGAATGAACTCAAATGTTTAAAGAGATTACTGTCCACGGGTGGGAACCATTGAGGTTCTGTGTGCAAGGTTAACTTGTGCTTTTTTTTATTTGGATGAGTTAAGTTGCACTTGGGATATTAGTGTGAATCGATACACAATATGTCATTTATCAGATGTAAAGCAGGCCTGCTGCTTCTTCAGGCCTCACAGAGGGCTGCTCAGTACGATTCACACTTCACAGCAGCCTTATTCTCTCCATGGCCATGTGCGCTTTTTAATGTGTTTGCGTGTCAGAATTTCTCTTTTTTTTTTAATCCGTCATAGTGTCTTTTACAGTCTGTCCTCTTCAGAATTTCCCCTCTTTCAGGACCTCCGGAGGAGGGACGGCTCCTTCTAGGTCACCCGTCGCTTTCTGTGGAGGGCGGAGGACAGAAAAACTAATTACACTCACATTGTCCCACAAGTGACAGAAAGTCAATCACTGCATTTGCTCTCATGCACGCCTGCAGTGGTGCACAGCAGTGTGAGGGACTGCAGATAACCAGCCAGAGAGCATTGAGCCCGGAGCCGGAGCGCCATCCCACACATTGCTTCTGCAAAAGGAACGTGGAGCTCTCACCTCCGAATTCACTGTCTGCGCCTCCGCGTTTAGAAGGTTGGCTTTCTGTCGTCGGAGGTCCGACTTGATGAAGCCTGTGATGCAGGAGAAGGAAACACTTTGTGACATTAACATTAATAATTAAAACTAGAGTTGGGGTGAGAGGAATAGCAAAATGTAGGTAATCGTGTTCATTTAATAATCAAATTAAAATCAAAATAAATTAGTGTCAGTGGGGAGCAGGACGGCATAATTGAAATTCATCAAAATTTAAAAAAAAATTGCAATATGACCTCCAACCATTATCACTTTAGCTTTCAATGGAAAGGATAACAATAATTATTTTTTCTAATCTCACAATTTTTTCAATTGCGATTTTGGTTAAAACACAGACGACTACTCGAAGCCCCAATCTCTGCATCTCAGTGCGACTCCAAAAACCCATTTTATCATCTTTGGAATTAGTCATCAAATTTCTAAACAAAACGGTAGCAGGTGAATCCACCGCTATTAAAAGTAAAGGATTTAAAAAGACTACACCTTTGTGTTTAATAAAGAGCATTAACCTTCCCATTCATGGATTTCTGGGGATTCTCTGTTCTGCCACTAGGGAGAGACCTTTCCCTACCAAAGAGACAAGGGTTAGACAGTTGTCCTCCACACCAAAAAAAAAGACCATGTCTTAAAGTGTCCTCTAATCAAACTTGCATCTACGGTTGCTGACACGAGTTCATTGTTCTCAATTGTTTTGAAAGTGTTTCCGTCTGGTGACCACAGGAGCTGAAGAAACAGAGGAAGTTGGTTTTGCACCTGTCAGTGCCGTTCCTATCAGCAGGAAGATGCACAGGAAGATGTTTCCTGCAAAAGTGCCCCATTTATCAATAATCTTCCCCTGGGAGATGGTGAAAATGATTCCAAAGATCTGAAAGTAGATTGAAAAAAAAAAAAAACAGTTACAGCCCCAAACGGACACGTTTTGTACTCTGTCTCGTGTGTTAACCGTGCTGACCTCCCTGACCTGAGCCGAGCAGTTGAGCAGTCCAGATGAGGTTCCCTCTGATTCCGGATACGTCAGCTCTACTGCAAACTCAAAGCCCAGAGGTAGATATCCTGTCATGAAGAAGCTGCAGGTGGTGCAGGTCGAATTAAAAGGCAAATCTAAAATGCATACATGGAACACGTCCACAGAGGTTTTCATCCCGACCGAAGAAAAGAAAAAAAAAAAAAAACATGAATCGAAAAGTAGAGTATTACTCTATAATACTTTTTGTCCTGGTTTAAAGAAAGAAAGGCAGACAAGAATCCCTATGGAAAGCAGTTATGGGCTTAATCAGCTTACCACGAATAGCAATAATTGTAGGGATAAAGCACAAGGACTGCCAGATCAGAGCAGCATTAATATTGCTTTGAGAAAGTGTCGGCATGACAAAATTATGTAAAAATCTCAAGATCTTAAATTCCGGCAGGAACCCTGTTAATTAGTTAGTCATTATTTCTGACGGAGAAACAAGTGTCTATCATGTCAAATCCTGGTGATAACGTCATCTGTCATGGTCACTTACCCTAAAACCCCCGCAGTGACAAACACCACCCACAGGTGACCCAGGTTGAGGGTGACAGTGTAGACCAGCATCCCAATCAGAGAGAAGAGGTAAACGGCCAAGGTGGTTTGTCTGAGAAGACACGAGAGGAACGCGGTTTGAAAAGCGCTGCGGCCAACGCGATCGACCCGCAAACACACACACAGGAACTGTAGCTGTTTATGAAATCTATCGTAACCCGATTTGACTTTTACCTTAATTAATTGTGACATGGCTGCTGTTCGCTACTTGGTTGGCGAAGGAACAAAGGAATCCTACAACATAATTCCACCAAATGTTTGTTCGTATTTGCACATTACACAGTTTGAACAATAGGGGGAAACACATAATAATAATAATCCTTCATGTGTAGTATGAACGTTCTGTCCCCTGGGAGGACTGGGGGTTATTGAGGGCGTTTTATAGTATGATCCCATGTATGTATTTGAAAAAAACAACAACTAGTGAGCAGAGTTAAACTGGGAGCACTGGAACAGTCTCACAAGCCAGTGGCTCTACATTTAACATGCATCATTTAAAGTGTCCAAAGCATTAAATGTGTGTAATGCATATTTTGGATTAATGTCTACAAATATCCTCCATTTCTATAACTAGAAGAGATAAGAATAAAATAAGAATATTTATTCACACAGTAGTCTGTAAAAAAAAGTGAAACCAGAGCACTTTTACCAGATGGATGTCCCACTTGAAAATATTTACTCAATTACTCAAATATCCTCCCTCAGCAAATATAATAACCCAGAGCCAATAAAGATTCCTCGTCGTGAGCCGGGCCGTCCGCTCGAACAGGCTCACTCTGGTGAAGCCGTCTCTCGTACAACCACGCGTAAGATAATGCTGCAAAACATTTTTGTTAATATAACACAGTCCTTTGACTCTCTCCCACACGGGACAATGGGCGTGCGAGGGTCAACAAGGTACATCTGGGCCGGACTGCTTTGACAGCTAAGCATCCCGACTGCATGTAAGGAATCCGAGGGCCGAGGATTTCTTTTCTCATATCATAATAGTTTGCGTGCCGGGAACCCCGTTGGGGGAGAGTTAATCTTATGCACACTACGAGTCTCTCATTAACTTAGTGACCTCTCCCCGAACTCTGTGTGCTCGCTCATTAACTTAGTGACCTACATTCTGGACCACACCGATTCACAAACGCAGTGTTTTAATGACTTCTGTCTTTCAAAACAGAAAGCGTGCTCAGCTTTCTTGCTCTCACAGGAATATGGAAACTCTGTCCCGTTTCAGCTGAATTGAGTCAATGGACTTCTGTCTGTACGTTACAACTCGTTTTGATGGTTTCTGTTCTCTTTATAATTTTCTATCGTCTAGTCGGTAATAAATACTTAATCTCAGGCATTATCGACCAAGTAACTTATACGCGGAAAACTGCTGAAAATCAGTGGTTATTTGGTGGGAAAAGGGTTAAAGTTTTGCTGAATCAAGTCAAAGAATAAGAACAAGTCATAAGATATCCATTGGATTGTGGGGGGGGGGCTTGAGATGAGCAGCAGAGGAAAGCCTGTCAGTTCAGATAGGCAGAGAGCGACATCACGTACGAAACTCAGATCCGCTGGAGTCCACTGCCGTTAAAAGTTGGTACGGATTCTGTACTTGTTCGTCTGCATGTTAACGGATGGTTTGAAAGACATCGACGCCAGGATCCCACGTTCTAAAACTGAGAGCGACCACTGAATAAAGACGGGGGTAAAAGGACGGCTTTCCTCAGTGTTTTTTATTCATTTTGTTACACACATATTTTTGTATGCTGACCAATTCATATGCCAATTTTGTGATTTTGGGGTGTGCACCGATTATACTCAACAACATCAGTTGGAAGGAAAGCTACGTTGGGGAGGTTTGGCGTCCTCTACAGCGGAAGCATAACTCCAGACAGTTTGGCAGCTTTTGTCCTCCAAAGGGAAATGATCAATAGTTATATAGATATATCTTACTTGTATGTTTTGGTCCTGTCCAGCCAAATGCCACATATGAGGGACCCTGCCATGCCAGCAACAACAATAGTCAGACCAATTCTCCCAGCATTCACCTCTTCACCCTGAGAGAAGAAAAAAAGTGTTTTCATGGTTTTACAGAACACGTAAAGCATATTTGACATTTGCGGTGATCTTGTCCTGGAGGCTCTAAGTTTGGACCTGCAGGGGGATCTCCACGATCTCCAGTGTCAGCTTTTTAATCAGTGTCAAAGAAAACCTTCCGAGTGTCAACATGCTTATTGACACCAAGTATTCAGCAGGACGAACTGGTTGAGGAGATAAGAAAGGAAGAACACACAGGACAAGCAGACGCGCCGGGACTCACGGGGTAGTGTTCAATGATCATCCGGTTCAACAGCGTGGAAATAGAATAGAAGCAGCCAACGTTCAGCCCTGCAGACAACAAGGGTAAATTAGCAACTGTCTAATTAGAGAAGACCTGTAGGGAAAGAAAGGGGGATGCAGATGGGACCTCATGCTGCCCCCCCAAAAAAAACACAGCTGACAACTTCACACATCAAGTCACCACATTGCAGACTTCAGACACTTTCTTGGCTCAAAGCATGTGAGTTAATGTGTTTCTGTGCTCCAGTATGAATTATCACCTTGAAATAACATTGTTCAGGCATGTTTAGGCCACATATTTACAGACTAATGCTTTTTTTAATGAGCTTAAGACTGTAAATCATTAACATGGTCACATTAGTGACCTTTAAGCCCGAAAGATGGCACCTCAAAATCAATGATAAACATGAGCAGTGCTGGAGGTCCATGTGTAACGATGGCACATCCTCACGCTGATCAAGTTTCCACAAATATGAAAGTGGCAGCTCCAAATGAAGACCTCTATCTTTTCAACTAGATGTTGCAACCAAAAAATTTTGGTGTGGATATGTGATTAAAGTAAGATGGTGGGAGTGATGTAATCAAAACATGATTATGGCAAAGAGGTGTCATGTGAATGCACTGACCTGGTCTCCTCCTTCTAATATCTTCAAGATTTCATTTTAGAATTTAATTTATATAAAGTAATGAAAGGATCTCAGCTGTAAGTGATCAACTATTTTGATTGTCTTTAACTACTTGTCATGAAAAATGACAAGCATCTACTAGTCATGGTTTTCAAATGTAAGGCCTTTTTTGTTTTATATCATTATGACTTAAATATCGGATTGTTTACGAAAGAAATATCTGAAGATATTTTGACATTTTCACTGATTACCTGATATTGACCTCAGATAACTACTCAAAAGAATAAACTTTTGATCGTAAGTTGTAGTTCTGGATAAATAGCAGCGTCTGCAACAGGAAGCGACCCACCATAGCTGAGCACCAGGAGCATGAAGGGCTTGTTGCGCAGCAGGCTCAAGATGGAGGCCGTGTACGAGTAGTCGCCAGGAGCGATGTTCCTGGACTGAGCCTGGGCCTGAGTCGGAGGGATCTCTGGCTTCTCCTGAAACACTAGAAGACAAACGGACTTCCTTCAGGGTTCCTTCGTTTAGCTGCTTGTGATGCATCTTTTCTCTCACCAGCCGGCAGAAACACGGCAAACAAACAGTAGTGTGTGTGTGTGTGTGTGTGTGTGTGTGTGTGTGTGTGTCTGGTTATAAGCCCAGAAAGTATACAATATTTTTGTTATTAAACGAGCGCTTGACAGAGCTGACCAGGAAGATGGTTCTTTAAAACACTTGCAAGACTAGCAGAGTTCCTGCATGCATTTCACATTGTGTCTACACACATCTCATCAAAAGGTGAACCATTACAGCAATTACTGCAGCTGCTCATCCAGTGCACTGCGATGCTGTTGAGTTTTCGGTAGAAAGCACATCTCAGGGACAGAGCTCTGTAGCCGCGCTGCCCGAGGAGCCCATCAGCCATGTAATAGCTCTATTATATAGAAATGAATGAAATTGTGTGTTGAACAATAAACCCTGATGTTGCAAAAAGTCCATCGGGAGAATCACTTAAATAGCATTACAGTACAAACTAAGAATGTTGATGGCATTGCTGTTGTCACAGTCTCTCCTACTGGAAAGCACAAAGCGTCCAGAAGCCACTTTGCTTCGTATATTTTCACAACCACGGCTGTGGGAGTTACGTGACGTCGAGGAGGACTTGCTGTGAGTCATTTATGCCCGAGCGATCAAAGGACCCGACAGCTCTTTCCTCCTCTACGAGTCATCTTACCGATGATCACGAGGATGAAGATGAAGGTGGCCACTCCCGCACTGATGTAGAACATGATTCGGATGTGGGACGCCAGCTCCTCCACATCATCCACATTGGGCACGAGGATGGGTGGGAGCAGGAAGCCCACGGCGATGCCCAGCTGTCGGTGAGAGGCACAAAACATTTATTTTGGATAAATAACTCGCCGCCGCTAGCGGACAAAGCATCATTGCATGAGGGCTCGCCACAATCCTTCCTGTGAGGGATGGTTGCCCAAAAGATCAATAATAAAATGATGGTTATTTCCCATATGTAGTGACTACAATGTATGAATGGATGAAGTGTAAAAGCGTGTAAATGCTGAGCCAAGCTAACAATGCTAGGCTAAGCTAACCAACTGCTGGCTATAACCTGATATTTGAGGAACATGTATTTGAACCCATCCAACCTCAGGGTTCAACAGGAGGTAGTAAACGTTCCCAACGTGAGCACATATGAGCTGTCCGCACGCGTTAGAGGAAAGGAAAAGGGCAAAGAGTGACGAGTCATATGACTTCAGGAGAAACAACCCCGGGAACACCAAGCACAGAGAAAAGTCAAATCCCTTCAGTCTTTCAGAAACGTGAAAGCCACCGTGATTAACCGACATGCAGACGTCTGCGAGGTAGCATACAGACACATGCATTGTTGCGGATCACTGTCCCATATCCGATGCAAAGAAAAGCCACTGTATTATTCTTTTATGTGCATCTTGGATAGGAAGAGCAACTCTGGGGAACTTGTCCAAAACAACCTTTACTAACTTGGTGCAAATAAAAAGACCTCTCATGACGTTACTTCTTGCTAACCTTTTGATCGGTTTGATCGTCAAAAACCTTCATGGAAGTCCTACCAAACGTTTCTTAATGCGAACTATTTGTAGACATCCACAGGGCTTTGTGAACAACCTCAGCCGGACGATTTGGAAGCTTCGGGTTCAGGGGCCGGAGCCAAAGGAATAAAAGACGTGGTGAGCGAGTAAACATCAACAACAATGTGTCCTTTCATCCTCAGCGGCAGGAGGTCGGACTCAAGAACTAAACAAGAACATGCGTGACAATGGCCGGTGTGCAGTGTTTGGTGGAACACAGGTGAGAGGGGACACACTTCAATTGAAAAAACAACATTTTATGTTCAGAGGTCTAGTAGCATCAGAGGGGGTAAGACTAAGTCTTTTGATGGGCCATGTTTATAGTTGAAAGGCCAAGGTGCCATCACAGGGCCTCCATATATAGCCCGGGACAGAAGAACGATCATGCCTGTGCCTTTGTTGGATTGCAAGGAACCGTTTAGAGACAAAGTCGACAGTGAGTTATTACTTCACAAGCAAACAGAATTTGACTTCCAACTTTAACTAAACCAACAACGCCAATATGTTTTAAGGGCTTTAAGATGTTTTGAGCCCCAAAAAAGGCAAACAGACACACACCTGGGTTCCGAGAACAGCAATAGAACAGGCGGTGGACACCTCCTGCTCCCCAAACCACAAGGATGCAAGTCTGGACGGGAGGCCCATGTAAATAGTGCCCACCGAACACATGAACTGGCCGAAGAAGGTCACGGGGAACATGTCGGGGGCGGCCGTGCCCGTCTTGATCCAGGCCCCAATGCAGTTGAAGGCCGCCGCCGCCACCACCACCTCCCTGACGCCCCGGTTGTCGAGCACCCACGTGACGGGCAGGAAGAGGGGGATGTAGGTGAGGAGGAAGACCATGGACAGGCAGTCGATGGCCAGGGTGCCGATGCCGTAGAAGCGCAGGAGGATGTCGCCGATGATGCCGTACTGCAGCCACATGAGGGCGTTGCTCGCGGAGAAGGCGCTGAAGATGAACAGCATGACCCATCGCCGCTTGTACAGCTTGGTCTCGGTCGGCGGGGGGAGCCGTGCGGCGTCCAGGGGCGAAGGCTCCGAGCCGTCCGTGCTGTCCCCCAGAGACAGACGTCTGTATTCCCCCAAACCGTTTCTCTGTTTTCTTTGTGGAGACCGACCTTTGTCTCTGTCCTTCCCAACGCCGTCCGTCCACTTGTCAGAGAATTCATCCCAAGAGATCATCTTCCTCCCACTGAAGCCTCAGGTTCTTCCAGAACTTATTAACTGGAGGGAAGAGCAAACGTTTTGTTTTCTTGTGGGTCGGCTCTCTGGACACTGGCCACAAGCAGTTAACCAGCTCTAAAGTATCGTTTACCGCGTAGAATGCCTCTGATTTAGCAGCGGTGGATCTGGGGGGGGGGTAGATTTCAAGACGTTTTTGAAAGCTCTGATCCCAACAGTTAAATACCTGAGTGGCCTCTTCAGTCACGCTCATTTCAAACCGAATATACAGTAGGACGGTCCAAGAGACCAAAGTCATTAAGTTGGGCACATGACACACACACTTAGAAGTCCCTTGAGTGTAATGCTAAATGACCATGAATTGATCCAAAAAGTCAAAATAAAGTCTTGTTGTATTATTAGACTCCCAAAAAAGTTCAACCCCTGATCAGCTACTCGTGCTTTGAAGTTTCAGCCCAACATGATATCAGTATCACACTGATTGAAAAAAAAAAAACAGTTATTGAAGCAGTGTTTGTAGTTTACCATTGCAGTCACTTCACACACAGCGTGTTGTGGGAGCTAACCTACTATAAGTTACACACACACAATGCAGTAATACATTTTTGTCATGTTGCCTTTGTAACGATGCTTGTGGACTCAAAAACACTGGATATTAAACGCTCTGCCGGGCATGTTCTGCTGTCAACACCAGCTACAACAACAAAAAACAATGGGGAATTTGTTAGAATCTGGAGGGGAAAGGTTACAGATCAGGCTGACCTCACAAAAATTGTGTTGGGCCATAACTCAAGCACTCTTCATGGCGAGATAACTAAACAATACTAACGCAACATGACATTTTGAAAAGTTTAACCGTACCTATATGCTCTTAGTTATCCAAAGCATTGATACACACAATTAAAGCATTGAATTCAGCCTCCAGCTGCTCCCCTGTGACGTCATGGAGCACATTCACCAATGGGAGTGACGAGAAGAAAAAGGAGACTCACAACCCTAAAACCTCATGAGATTTAAAGTGCAGCCCGAAGGAGTTCTCATTGTTCTCATACCGATGTGAAATGAGACCATGTTTCAGGGTTTAGATTTAGCGGGGAGGCAAAGTTGTTTAGCCGAGATTTGCTCTGTTGGCAAATCGCAATTAATCCCTTAATTCTATCAACAACAACAACAACAACAAAAAGATCACCCGACGGCCCAACAATCAAAGGAAGTCGTATCTAAAAAATAAAAAAAAACTCGGTATTTGGAACTTTAAACCGAATCACCAACCGATTCGATGATGAGGTGTGTGAACACGTGACCCTCTGACGTGAAGCCCTTTCAGCCAGGTCGCCTTTTCTGATATTTTCATGTACATACAGTTTGTAGAGGCGTCGAACGTACTCGGCATACTTCAAAACTCCGAGCACCTGTACCTGCGGAAGATGGCGAAACCGTGCGCGTCACCTCCAATTGTCTTTGGCCCCCGCCCTCAAAACAAAGAATCTGTGACGTCACCGTCACTCCTGGCTGGTTGCGGCACACGTCACGTGATTATTTGACGTTTCGCTGTGTATATGAGACGGTTTGGGAGGTTTAAGACAACTTTGAAAATAAGTCGTGTTCTAATAGCACAGAGTTTGAGAAACTCGAACTGTGCCTTTTCTTTTTTATCTGTACTATTTCATTTCGGACGGAAATATTGTAGAATGCTTTTACTCCCCCACTGGTGTAAATGTATCTGCCTGTAATAACGGTAGATACTATAAAAACGAGGGGCGGCACGGTGGCGTGGTGGTTAGCACTGTTGCCTCACAGCAAGAAGGTCCTGGGTTCGATTCCGCCCAGTGGCCTTTCTGTGTGGAGTCTGCATGTTCTCCCCGTGTCTGCGTGGGTTCTCTCCGGGTTCTCCGGCTTCCTCCCACAGTCCAAAGACATGCTCTGGGGATCAGGTTAATTGGTGACTCTAAATTGCCCTTAGATGTGTGAATGTGAGTGTGAATGGTTGTGTGTCTCTGTGTTGCCCTGCGATTGGCTGGCGACCAATCCAGGGTGTACCCTGTCTATCGCCCGAAGTTGGCTGGGATGGACTCCAGCCCCCCCGCGACCCTGTGTGCAGGATAAGCGGTTTGACAATGGATGGATGGACTATAAAAACGAAACATTTTGAATGTGTGAAAACCAGAGTTGGGCCAATTTTCCATTGTCTGTACATTGTTAGCAGCTTCACCAAGAGTAATTTCCCGTCTTTATTTCTCCAATGTTTCTTCTTCTTCTAAAAAAAGTGAAAGCCATAAAAGCAGAAAGTATTGGTCATTTGGATTAGGGAAAAAATAATACGTTTGTTTAACACAACTTCATTTATTTTGCACCCCGTTAATACTTATATTGTGACCCTTTGGTTGGGGACAACCCACTGAAACAAACCTACATTTATTTGACAATCCAGTCACATGACACACAGCTAATAAAACACCAATACCAATTCACAGGGGTACTTTTTTTTGCAGAAACGCACGCACGCACACGACCTCAGGCTCCATGAGAATTAAGTGTTCACCTTAAATTTGCCTATAAACAAAGACACGTGGTCGCCTTGTCGGAGTTTAAATCAAACTAAGTATGATGCTTCGCATTCATATGAATCACTATATTTGTATTGCCCCCCACACCTTGGTGTCCACGCAAACTAATGAATTGCACACATTCATGAGCCAGGAAAATAACTGCAAGTTGCCCCTGAGACGTCGAACCATGAGTTTAGGTGTAATTTAAGCAACTACTGTAATTAAACACGACAATAAATGATCGACTCGCCTGATTCCCAAAAACTCCAATAGAGCAGGCGGTGGAGACCTCGTCCGCGCCGAACCACACCGACGCCAGGCTGGACGGCATCCCCAGGATGAAGACCTGGGCAAGCGAACTCACAAACTGCCCGAGCATGGTCAACCAGAACAAGTCGGACTTGGCGCTGGCCACCTTGATCCACGTCCCGGCGAAGTTGAGCGCGTTGGCCAGCAGAGCGGTCACGCGCAGCCCTTTCTTATCCAGGAGCCAGGTGACCGGGAAGATGAAGGGGATGTAGGTGAGCATGAAGATCATGGACAGCCAGTCGATGGCGAAGCCGTCCACGTCGTAGAACTTCATCAGGATGTTGCTGATGATGCCGTACTGGATCCATTGGTACGCGTTGCTCAGGGAGTACGCGCTGAACAGGCACACGATCACCCAGCGCTTCTTGTAGAGGCGCGTCGCGGCCGGAGAGCGACCGTCGCCGTTCGGGATGCTGCGGCCGCTGCGCCCGCCTGCCGGACCCGGCGCTCCGGGACGCGCGCCGTTGTCCTTCCCGTCCTCCCCCATTTTACGCGTCGATTTGAAAACGAGCGCGCTTGGTTGGAAGGAAGATGAAGTCGTCCACCTCTGGCGTAGTTTAATTATTTCAATGGACAAAACGGTCGGAGTGAACTAATTCAATCAGAAAAGGGACAATGGGAGGGGGGGGACACTTGGTCACTTGGTTCCATGCGTCATTTCAAAAGAACTAGTGAACCAAAAGGAATTAAATAACTAGACGTCATTCCAAAGCACTGACCGGCTCGCCACGAGTTGATTTAATACTTGAGCGGTCTGACAAATCCTCTGTATTACACAATCTACTAGTGGACCCGACTTTAACTCCACCCAGCTGCTGAGAAGTGTGTGTGTGTGTGTGTGTGTGTGTGTGTGTGTGTGTTTTGAAGGGGGGGGGGGGGGGGGGCACCTATAATTCACTCAACAGATAAGACAAACAATGTAAAATAGACACACTGACTCCATGAAAAACGATGTAACTTTTGTTGGTCATATTTTTTTACTATAATCCTCCTCTGAGGACAAAGTGAGCCTTGTTGGAAGCTGGGTTTTCCTGTAAGTAGCTTAGTATTATACTTTTATCAGGTCAAAATCTGAACGTGTAAAAAAGTGATGAAATTACACCAGAAACGTCAAAGTAAAAAGGCATTTGAAAAGTTTGGCAAATTTAACACAACATGAGGTGAAGGGAATAAGGTCAAACATATGCTTCATGAGACAAACATTAAATTCCATTCATTTCCACGGTTATAATTTGTATTATATTGCCTGCAGCCAAAACAAATCTTTCCCTCAGCAGATCCCTGAACACCTCCCTGACAGAAATGATCCTGACCTTGAGGGGAAAGTGACATGCTGAAGAGGAACAATGGCAAGTTCAAAATGTTAAAATTGTTCCTGCACAGAACTGTAACAAACGTGTGACTGAATGTAGACGTACAGGGTCAGTCGGGTTGAGATGCTCCACGCCACCAGATGGCACCGTTAACCGGTTAAGTTTGTTCATGGAAATAATAATGATTACAAACGTGGAGGACGCAATTAAATCCAAGGAAAAAAAACAAAATATTTATTTCTTAAGGAAATACAAAAAGGGATTTTGTGCTTATATATTTATATAAAATCATATACAAAAGTATAAAAAAAACACAATTGGTCTTAACAATATCCTAACAGAAAATAAAGTACAATGTAAACAGTCCATATCTATATATATACACACACACACACAGATACATATATATGTGCATACATGACGCCTGCGCCAAAACCAACAAATAAAAGCATCAACCTCTCAGCCACCAAATGAAAGAAAGAACCAAAATGTGTTTAGTTCACGAAGCAATTCATGGCAAAGAATCGTGGAGGTTGTTATGTAGTAAAATAACTCCTGGCTGTCTGTGGGTAGAAGTATTGAAAAATGTACTATTTTCTTAATTGAGTGAGCAATTTAAACTAAATGTATCAATTAGGTCTTCCTCTTTGCCCTCCTCTGGTTGCACTTCAGTTAAACATCCTAAGAATCCCAGAATACAAATGAAATAGTTCATTTGACTATTGAGCTCAATAGCGGGAAACCATTTTAGCTGCTGGATATATGTTGAAGCGCTGGCTAAAGCAAAGAAGACTAAAGTACAAATACACTATAAAACAAACCGGATGTAAAGAATGTAAAGTAATGTGCCGACAGCTGTTTGTTTAACTTCATACTTACAGTGGCTGGAGCTCCGATGACCACAATCACACACAAAACAAAAAAATCAGGAGAGCCGGAAAGACAAAGAATATACGATTCAGCCGCAGGATCCACGATGTGTGGCGTAAGGTTCCGAGTGGAGGTGCGAGGTGCTGGTTCTCCCTCCGGCTCTTAAGTGCTGCCCGTCCTCGGCGCGTTCCCGTCTGTGGGCCGTCGCCTTCACTCGGCCTCGCTCTCCGCCGTTTGGACGCTGTCCGTCCTGACGATGCACGTGGGCCGGTGGCGGTTCAGCATGAGGATCAGCTGCTGTCGTTCCAGCTTCAGCTCCTCGATCTGGGCTTTCAGGTCAGAGTTCAACGACTCCAGTCGCTCCGATTCCTGCGTGAGGACGGAAGGAAAAGAAGGAGGTGATGCGTCCGATCGTCGACGACAGCGGGCGGGATGCACCCGTGTGAAAAAGGTTTGCAGTGATGACAAAGTGTGTATGTTTTCACATTTTGAAGATAATCCGTTCTCTCCTTCTTCTTGTTCCGACATCGCGCCGCGGCCACTTTGTTTTTCTCCCGCCTTCGCTTCCTCCTGTCGTCTTCTTCATCTCTCTAAACGAGCAGGTGAATAAGGTTTGAGATTAGTCTGTGTTGACTTTTATTTGAATCGATTTTTTATTTTTTAGCTCATCCTTGAAATGCCGGAGTGAATTTGAGGCAGACAATATGCCTTTTGGGTGCCTTTTCCTGTACATTTGGAGACTGTCTATGTGTCAGTACAAAATGTTAAATGAATAAAAAACATAATCTCACCGTCTTTAAATTGCGTTTGACTGTAATAGCAGTAGGTGTTTGACATGCCGTCTCCACTGTCGTGATCAATCAGCAAAAGAAATGAACTAAATAAAGAACTATCAATTGTTTGTTTGATAATAACTTTGCGTGTGTGTTGATCCGTCTCAGTCACAGCATGCACGTCTAATCGCTTCAACTGAATTTAATGAAGGGATCACGTACGAAGTGATGATATGTTTAACCCCATTTGCCATGATGACACTAACAAGACCGTGTTCATAAAATTGTTGTGATGTTTTTAGTTTTTTCCCTGGACATCCAGCAGTATATTTAACAACACCCTGTTTGTCCACTAGGTGGAGCTGTTGATTAACGTATAAAACAAGGGTGGCGTTGCAAAGGTGTTAACGCTTCTGGCGAATTGTTGATGCACACTGAAATTAGAATCTCCACACTTGGCCCTAAATCCCTGCGCTGTCTCGCGTACCTCGGTTTTGATCACCAGGGCCCTCTTCCCCGTACCGTCCAGGAAGTGCAGAGGTGACAGCATTGCGCCAAACTCATGGAGGTCACCGAATTTCAGCTTGTCGGCCAGCGCGGCGGCCGAGATCTCAGCCAGGGCGCCCAGGCTGGGCAGGGAGCCCGCTGTCACAGAGGGGTCTGGGATTCGTCCTGGCATCGCGTCAGACTCGGCCGCGACCGCAGCTGCAGGAAGGCAGGGGGGAGAAGGCGAAAGACGTGATTTCAGACGGGCAGCTAAAACCAGATCCATCGTGACACGTGCAAGTCTGTCCGCCCTCTGCTTGTTATTGTGCCCACCGGGGGCCAGACATGATAGCATGAGGGGGGGAGCCATGTTACAATAACACATTAGCAGTGGTTGAGACGCGTAGGGGGCTTTATTTGACCTGCAGTCGGTTACGGAGCTTCGAGAAGGCCCGAGGTGCACTGCTCCTCTCCAGCAGGCCGACTCGCCTTACTGATGAATTGCCGGTCTGTTATGGGAGCCGGATGCTGAGGCTGCTCTCATTAGGCTGTTTTACTATTTGGTTTCTTTTTTTGGAATGAACATAAGAGTCATTTCCAGGGATCTTGGCAAGACTTTGGCTTATTTATTCGCCACTGGCGAAAAGTGAGACAAGTAACAGAGTGCAAACCCCACTCTGACAAAAACCTCTTTATTTCAAGGAGAACTACAGGCATAATCGTGGTTTTCTTCTTGCGAGACCTAAAGAAAATCAGCAGCAACCAAAAACTATTTGTTTGGTTTGGTTTGGCTATGTGAAAATTGACACTGTCTACTAATAATTTATTGAATTTGAAGAGGCTGAAGAAGAAAATGTATCTACATCAAAAGACAACGACAGGTGTGTGAGAGCAGAGACACTCGACGAAATGAAATGACTTCAACTCAGCTCAGGAAATCTCCAAGCCTCACTATGCATCCTTAAAAACTATCACCTAAGGTCAAAGACTCAAGAGACCTGTAGCCCACACTACAGTACATTTTGCGTTTTCACACTTCCCCAAAGTCCAAAAGACAAAGCTAAAGGTCACGCTTACGGCACACGGCAGGCATAATGTAGTGAATGCGATTTGTTATGATATGCATTCAAATTAATGTTGAATTTGACCAACAACTTTAGCCAAAGCTGCTTTAAAACCATGGACTCCCAACCATAGCTGGGCTATTTAATATTATTGTAATACAAACTCAGTCCCCTGCAGGTCCAAGAAGCCGAGTATAAAACTTAAACTGAGCAGACTGTAGTTGATGATGAATTTTATGCACATTTTCTGCTTCGGCAATGTGCGTCTTAATCTGAACTGCATTGTGTTGCGTGCACATTAAGGCCATTGGTCAATTTGAAAGCGGAAGTTTTTTTTCTTTTTTTTTTCAGTGCGGTATTTACCTTACGTAACTGTCTTCCCATCAAAAGAGCTGCAGAGATACAAAAAAAAACCGTTACCGCTTCTCCGAACGCATTTCGGTTTCGTTTACTAAAACACAGTTAAAGGAGCAACGCGCAGCTCCATCGACACGCGCAACACGTGCACGCCGTAGTTGCGTGCAAGAGGAGAAATTACAGAACAAAAGTCTTTCTGTAGCACGCTCAGTAGGGTGTGATTTCTACTTTGAACGTTAAATAACTTTATGCGAACGCGCCGCAGACGTTCCGTCTCTGCAGCTCGTCGTGACGTGCGCGTGGCGCGCGCCGATGGGCTCTTCGGCATGTAAGAAAATAAATAAATTAAATAAATAAAAAACATTGGGCTTTGTCGAGTCACGAAGTTTCGCGTGTACGGACCTGACTTGGATCCCGGGTGCAACAAATGTCGTTTCCTCTGGTCAGCCGAGGGTCGAGAGTAGATTTTAAAAAGTGGAAATCGTTGCATCAGCTCGAGTAAAAAAAAAAAAGCGTGATCCCGATCTGGGAGGATTCGGGAATGCGGAAATCGGGTCTCTGCCAGGCGAACGTAAGCAGGGATGTGACCGAGCAGCCCGCATAGCGGGGGCCGAAGTGGGGAAGTCGCACCGCTCCTCCCATAAAGAAACAACTGGGGCCGCAACACGGACATGAGAAGCCCCCAAACACACCGAGAAAACTGCATTTAGGAAATACACGAAACATGCTGGGAAAAAAAGTGATTCCAATTCGTTGACATTTTGACACATTCAATGTCCTTTGTAAAATTCAAATTTTGTCCCCTGGATAAGAAAACTTTTTCTTAAGAAACAAATAGCAAACACCGGAGGCAAACTCCACTTTGAATGTAGATTTATTGTAATTATTCAGCAGAATAGATAAGCAATCAATGCTCATTTTCACTCATTTTGAAATCCAACAAATAAGTTAAATTCTGAAAGGTAAAAAAATAAATCATAAGTTACATCTTGATAAGATATATATAGCATATAGCACTGGATGTTTTCATGGAAAACTTTCGACGAGATCGAACCACACTTGATGATATTGAGGTATGCACTTAACATGGATACGTAAATACAACATTTACAGCAATCGATACACTATTAACACTAAAACCATACAGATACATCAAATTCCACATTACATCTTGGATCTAGTAACAGATCAGATATAGACATATATGTAAGCTTTTAGAACTATATGGAATTGTTCAGCATGCGTTGTGAGATCAACAGTGGCTTCAGTCCCGCTTTGAAAGTAAAATACATGCTGTCCGCTACGTCGCTCTGTTGGCTATCCGGAGGACAGTTTGTCACAAACACGTGGCACTGCACGGATGTGTCTCTTGTAGTGTCGCTCGGATCATTTCAAAGTCAGAAAACTGCAAACAGAAAAAAACAACCCACAGAAACTAGAGATGCCACAGATCACATCCCTCTGTGGATTATAAGGCCAGGAGAGTCGGGGAGTTGAGGAGATCCACCGATTCAGCTTTGCCCCCTCCGCCTTTGTCCAGTCCCTCTGTCAGACAGTCCAGCTCGGGACACGCGAACGTGAACACGGACAGGTAGCTGCTGCAGGTGGGGGTGGAGGTCACCACCGGGGTGCTGAGAGGCTCCAGGTCGCTGGACACAGACTTGTACAGGGTCTCCCAGTCCGAGACCCCGAGGGAGCTGCTCAGATCGATGTCCGGCACGGATCGAGCCGTCTCCATCGGGGTTCTCTCCTCCGAACCGGGGGACGTGCTTCCCAGCGGCCCGTCCTTCATGTCCAGGGAGGGCTCCAGGTCGTAGATGTTGATCTCAGCGCTGGCGCACAGAAAGATGTCAGAGTTGCCAGAGATGGCGGCGGACGGATCGCTGGAGACGTCCATGTCCTGGAGCGAGGGCGCTTCCTGGGTCCCGTCGTCCGGGAGTCGGTCCTCGTCCGGACTGGCCGGCGGCCCCGGGGACCCCGCGGGCTCCTGGAAAATGGCCTCCAACTCTTCGGACACCTGGCACGCCGGCTTGTGCGCGGCGAGGATGAATTCGAGCCGTTCTTTCTCTTTGAGGAGGTCGGCGATTTCGGTCTCCAGGGCGGCTTTTTCCTCCTCCAGCTCGTCCGTCTCCTTCGGATAGATCGACGCTCAGAATCACCCACAGTGATAAAACACACATCAACAGTGAGTGCGACAGCCGAGTAAATAAATCACCGTCTACTTACAGTTTGCAGCGTATCAGTGAGTTCCCTCCGTCTGTTGCGACATTTCGCTGCAGCCATTTTATTCCTCTCCCTTCTTATCCTCTTTTTCTCCTCCTCCTCTGGAGACAGCTGCGATGGGAAAGAAGGAATTCAGTTATTTCCTTGAGGAATCCAGCCATTTCATCCTTTAATCCGCTGCATCTGTGGCCAATTCACCCTCTGAAGAATGGCAGAGGCGTGTTTTTTCGCATCTAAAAATAGACCATTGTTGCAGACTTGCTGTGACCTGAATATAAATTGACGGCTCGAGGACGGCACCCAGCCGGCACGCCGGAGGAGCGCGCACAATAGCTCTGTCGCGCACACGCAATTCAGACATGTGTAAATTTACGCTCTGGACTGTTCCGTCCAATGGCAGGTGGACTTCATCTGAGCTGACCTACCTGCTCCGCTTTCCCCTTTCTGACAGCCTTTTTGCCCTTATTCCCGCCCACTTTGGGTGTTGCCTGGGGAGAGCTTTGTGGATCATTGGCTTGCTTGCTGCCCGGAGACGGGGAGGCAGATGTAATAATCGTGGGCTGGACCATCCACTGGAAATCGGGGGTGGAGGAAATTGCAGTGACCGTTGGAACAAATTGAGTGTCTTCAATGCTCAGGTCTTCGCAGAGCTCCTGGGAAAAAAACAAAAACAAAAAAAATCAACAATGAGGACTACAACAGAGATGCGTTGATATTGATGTATTCACATCCCCTTAGTGGCTTTAAGTGGATCTTGTTGGGACAACAATGATCAATTAAAAGCACAAATCGAATGTTAGGAGACTAAAACAGAGCACGCTGGATGTGCTGTAGTTTCTAGAAATACACCCATCCAAAAATAGCTTTCTTCAGATCAATATTTGACTTGATCATGGTTTCTGACGTCAACACTGACGCAGGGCTGCTGTGGAGTCTCCTGAATGGATTTATTTTTCTCAATGAACCGCTGCATCGACACGCTCACATTTGGTCCCAGGACGTCGGAATCATAACAGCCCGGGACGACGGGGCTCAGCCGTCACGTCCCAACGCCGATCGCATCTCAAAATGGTTAAAAAGATAAATACAATGTAAAAAAAAGAAGAAAAAAAAGAAAAGCCCGTCGAGTTGATTCAAATGGTATCAATCAGCCTCTCCCCCTCCCCCACCTGGAATGCTAACAAGCTAGAGTCTGTGGAGCACATACGAAACGGAAGGGGGGGGGGGGCGCAATCAGCTGGTGAACGCAGCGCCCCGCGGGCTGCATGCGGGACGTATGACGAACCGAAGCCGGTCGTACCTTCGCGTCGCTCCCCGAGGAGGAAGCCGGAGAGCTCGCCTCCTCTGACGTCCCGACGGCAGCCTCGGTCGGGCAGGTGGAGGAGTCTGAATCCATGTCAGGCGTCAGGGTGTTATGATCCATCACGAGGAAAAACAAAAAAAGACACACACACGCGCGTTCTGATCAATGACAAATATGACGGTGGCCTTCCGCTGGGCAGATCGGCGCGGGTCTTTTCTCCAGGTATGTGCCAGGTAACTGGACGGCTAGAATGCAAGCCCCTCCTTTTATGCTCCGCTAGAATTTTATGAATGAACCGAGACTGTACCATCCGTTGAGGAGGGGGGGAAAGGTGGTGGTGGTGGTGGGGGGGTGGTCAGACAGACACACAGACCCACATTTCGGGGTAAAAAGAACATTATTTCGACGTTTAGTTTACTGGACGTGTCCTCCGCGAGTGCCATTTGTTTAACGTCTCAGATTATGGTGCGAACTTCGTCCCGGCACGAAAGCCACGCGGCGGTTTGCGCTCCCATTCATAAATATCCGCCTCTTCTGAACGCGTCGTGGTGGGAGAAACGTGAGCCTATTTATAAATAAGCTTATGAACAATTCCCTTGGCGACGGAAGCCTGATGCGCATGTATGCGAGGGTGAACGAGCAGGCTGCCTGCATAACACACAACTCTTAATCGCAATGGTTCAATTAATACATGGCTACAGATTAATCGTATGTCCTCTAAATATTTCATTTTATTAAGAATTTTAAGACTTTTTTTATCTTAAATGTTTCACTCAGTGTGACAGACCTTTGGTTCCGCCTTTCCTGCTGGCAGACACAATGAAACGATCGCTGAATTGTTTACTTGGGGCCGAGGTGGGTGGAGGAGAAGACGCTGCACATGTGGGGGCGGAGAAGTCACGTGACGCCACCCGGAACTGGGGGGGAAATAATGTGGGGGTGGGGGGCGTGGTCTGCATCTGACAGGACCAGCGTCATCATCACACGCAAGTGCGTCTCGGCGCTTTCTTGAGTCAAACAAGTCGAGATTTATGTTTGTATGGTAAAAAGAATAATGCAAAAATACTCCCTGCAATGAATAGACATTATTGTTAACTTGTTTTCTTCCCCCTCTCAAATATAATGGGTAATGTGAATAATGAAGACAGGAGCATCTTAAAATACGCCATTCTCAAAGAACAGTCTAATACCAAATGTTATGAACAGAGTGCCATTTAATCAGAATGTGGTTCTTAACCGAATGGTCACGCTGAGCCTGAAGCATGATGTGGGAGCCAAAAACAACAGAGGTGAGGGGTCGTGTCAATGCAATTACATATCACCAGTACCATTCGTATTAATCCAAACTACGGAAGGATGGAGCGGCAAAAATAAAATCTTGCAACCTTTGTCAGATTGAAAAATTGGACAGACTGACCCCCTGTGAGGCGGAGCTAAAGCACCTCTCACGGTCCACTGCGGATGACTTTGCTGACCTGAGAAAATGAGGACAAACATATTTAATTCATAATGCAATAGGTGACGTTAATGTCCACTAGTTTGACAGTTATTCACACTATTATTGATTTGTAATACATATTCATTTTTCATTATCCTAAATCATGCTTTTTAATTCAGTCTTTTCATGGTCAAATCGGTCCGTTTGACTGTTGAATGGTGTAATTGCAAATAAAGGATTCCTTTATAAACTTCAGTGCGAGCTTTCGCAACCGGACAATTAAGGTGGACGTCATCAGCGATGTGAATGAATTAGATGGTGCGGGACCCAATGCTGTTTGTACGCACGTACAGGGATTCTTTTTTCTCTAGACTACTGAAATGCGATACACAACGTGTGGTGGCAACAACTATTTTGTGCTGAAAGGCATCTATTTAATTAGTAATTATAATTTCGCTGGTAGCCGTATTATAAAAGCAATAAGGTACTTGAGGCAACGGTTCGACTGCGTCAGGTGCTAACAACGCACCCGAACTGTTACATTATTGGACGATAAAGTACAGCCTCTCGTATCTTATTGCTTTAATAAGTGAGCTTAGATGAGATACAATTCATTGTGTTGACTGCAAAAAGTAAAATACACACCCACCTATCTATTTCCATATAGTTCCCATGATCTATACATTCTTCTCAGCTTTTGGAGGTTGGGTTTCTGTATTTCCTAAAGGGGACAACAAAGTTAAGTCCCCAACCGATTGTAAAATGCCTTAAATAGCATATTTAGTACACAGTTCAGTTCTCGTACCTTCTCTTCATTGTCCAAATGGAGGGTGTCTACTAAGGGAGCAATGGATGGTCGGCCGTGGGCACACTGGAAGGGCAACTGACAGGAGGACAAGGAAGCCACCAAGCTGCAGCATTCGTCTCTACTCAGGGAGTCATTGAATTTGATGGCACCTGTTTAATGCATAAACTTATCAAACTGATGTGTATCAAGATACTGGAGGTACAAAAAAACCCATCTCTATAGAACAAGTAAAACTGAAGGATGGAGAGAAATAACAACCTCACCATGGCATGCTAGCGAGGCCAGCACCTTCAGCACAGTGAGAGGCAGAGATCCTCTCACTCTACCAGTTGAGCGGAGCAACTGAGAAAAGAAAAATGAGAATGATTCAATGAAGAGGAACATGCATGTGATCATTTCTCCATACATGAAAGTTTAGGACAAAATAAACTTTCCAAGCTTACCTCAATCTGCTCTTGAAGATATTCCTGACGTGTGAGAAGAGGGGGAAATAGAGAGTGGTGAGACGATGGCTTAGCTAAATGAGTGATGTAATACAGAAGTCTTACCTTAACAATAGTCTTGATAACGGATGGTCGGCCCCGCCGGACCTCATTACTTTCCTTTTCCATGAAGCACAGCGGCACCTTTCCCACAAGAGCCTGTGGTTTCGCTGCCGATGAGAACTTCACTTCCAGGCCCAAGCTACGCAAATGTGCTTCACAAGACCTTGTGAGGCGAAGGGCCCATTAGCAGTACACAAAACCAAGCTCAACAAACATGCCAATGTAATATAGTGTAATAAGTCAATCATTTGGGTTGGAAAAATGTAAGTTTGAAAGATGACAATAAACCTCTGAGCTGCCTGAGTGGTTCTGCAGTTAAACATTCAAATCAGGCAAAGTGCTTGTTGAAGAATTGACTCGTTCTTCTGTCTGGAAACTGACGTGTTCTTCTGACTCCAATTACAAGAAAACCACAGTGAATAAAGCACAACCTTTGTATTTCCCTTTATTAAATGTAACTATGTTAATTAATACAGGAAGCCACTCAATTAGAGTGCTGCTGCTACTGAATGAGAGCATTAGAACCAAGAGCACTACGCAGTTAGCTCAGGGTTATTAGGCCTCGTCACTACACCCACCACCGTCATCTCTATTGCTACCGGCCTTTAATCTCATTGAGGACAATCTGCTTCTGGGGGCCTTGGTTGTTGTAAAGAGAAGTCGGTGAGCTCCTTAACCTCAACTAGTTCAAGTGCAGCAGCGAGGACAGGAAATCAATCAGGGCATTAGAATAAAAGTTCAAAAGAAAAGAACAAGCTGTGTATTTCAACCACCGTCATTATTGCATAACGGCCGGGGTTCATGCACAGAGAAGACCAAAGGTCGAGAACTTTTTGTCTCTCCACAAAAGATCAGACACCAACACAGAGATATCTCCTCACAATTGATTTTGTAGCTTTCATACAACCGGAACGAGGGAGTAACACAATAAGTTCCAATAAGTATTGGATGAACTAAAGTATATTTTTAAGCTTTGCCCTGTAAGATGAAGGGTTCTGGTTCCACGGGTGTTCTCATGTGCTCGTCGTGTGTAAATATAACAGAACTCACCTCAGCAGCCTTTGCTCTTCCTCCGTTACGCTGATCTCCAGAGGAGGCAAAATGGTTGATGAACACAGACGTCTCTCCCCGGGCGCCTCTGGGTCATCCTCATAAGAATCTGTGACAGGACGTGCAGTCATGACCTTTGTGTCACACCAGGGTCCCAAGGACCCCATTGTCAATCCAACATTAAATTCCCATTATTTATACTGTAAATTGTGAAGTTCTCCATTTTTTTGATTTGATTTTTTACCTGCGAGTAGATTTTCAAGTCGAACCCTTTCGTGTGCAGCGTGTTGGTCTACCAGCACCAGAAGGTTTCCTGGGGTTTTTTAAATAAAAAGCATGAGAACCTGATAAAACAGCAAACATTAAAAACAGTCACGTCCTGACTCTACCTTCAGATTCAGCGAGTGCTGCAGACTCCTCATCCCTCGTGTCAATGAGACATGCAAGAAACTTCTTATCCACCTGATGAATAACCTATAAGGTAATTAGATAGCAATTACTTCATCACATCAGTGGAGGTTAAACGGATGAACCATAAGAAAGAACATTTGGTCTAAACCAAAAGAGGAACATGCCTTCATTGAATGAATCATAGCCTTAGAGAAACGGTACGGAAACAGGATGTTGTGGATCTTGACAGCGAGTCCGTCGGCTCGCCCACTTGAGATGTCCACGCCAACCTGAAGGCACAGTGGAGTTCATGAAACAGCAACATAAAGAGGATTGTGAATAAAATAAATGAACAAAAAGTACCTTAGAAGGGCAGACAAAAACAGGATTATTCCATTTGGAGTACATAGACTTCAGCGAGTTGGTCCTCTCGACGTCTGATAAGAAACAATATATAATATATTACATCAACACACACAAACAAGTATTCCTTTTGCATGTCTGTGTGTGTGTGTGTGTGTGTGTAAGGCAGCCTACCATCTAGAATCTGATCTGTGTGTGGGGCACCTCTGTCATCAAGCCCTGAACTAACCACTCTCTCTGTCCTGGATTTAGGGAGGAAGGGCAACACTAGCTTCACCTGAAATGGGTAACATCTGTATTCCAGCCCTACAGTTTAAGAAACAAGTACTCCTGGTTAACGTTGAGCACTACGCCCAGAACATCGCTGCCACACAACCTGCCGACTCACCCATTTCAGAGACGACACTGACGGCCATGTTGGTGACATCCGATGTACAGCACGCCCGGGTTTCCTCGCCGGCCGGGCCTTCGTATCGGCTGAGCCCGGTCGTTTTGTTGATGTAAACGGTCTTTCCAACAGATGCATCGTAGTGCTGAAGCCAGTCGCCCGACGCCGTGTCCTCCTCCTCCTCCTCGGCCAGTAGAGGGTCTTCACAGCGACCGAGGACCGGCTCGGGATTCGCTGCCGCGTCGCACTGCTCCTCGTTGTCGACGCCGTCGCCACGGCAACGGGTACCGTCCTGTGAGGTGGCCCGCGGCGGGTGGGTTGAAACGTTTGACTTCTCCGTCTTGTGTTGTGTCAAATAGAAAAGTTTAGCCGCCAAAGACAATTTCGCTCTGCTCTGCCCCGAGACGGGTTTTAAGTTAGCTGGGGCCAAGGAGGTCGGCGGGCGTCGCCGGCCACTCCGCATCTCTTCGTTTTCCGTTGCGTCAACGCCGCCATCGCGCTGGTCCTTCTGGCAAACAGGCCAATTGTGTGAACGCTGAATTTGAGGAAGTCTGGTCTCCTTCTCTTGAGGGGGAAATTTCAGCTCACCAGCTGGACCACAAATTCTTCTAAACTTCTCAAGGGATCCAGGCTCCTTACACAGAGACAACCTTTGACAAGAGGACACCCTGAGAATCTTTTTGGGGATAACTTCTTCCGATGGTTTCCGGCAGGTTCCGCCGTACAGGGAGATTTTGCGCTTTGATGCAAAGGGTCTCTCTTCAGTTTTCGCTGCGGAATCCTGCTGCTGCAATACAGATATGTTGATCTGGGCCACGTCCCGAGTCAGCAGATTTTCATGAATGAATGGATGAGACAGGCTGATCCTTCTGTTACTGATTAAAGTATGTTCATGCCCTCCTGCACTCTGGCAGTCAGGTACTATTTGCTCAACTTTGCTTGAATGAGGTTGAGTTTGTTGATGGATGCTTTCTAGTGGAATCACACTGATGCTTGATGTATTAGTGCTCAACAAGAGCTCTTTTTCCTTTGAGGGTTCCAGTTTTTCACTCTCTGGTTGTCCGACTGAATTCGACACAGGTAACACCGGAGGGTCTTCCCCAGCTTCAATAAAGCTTCTCTCCTCTTCCACTGTAATTGTACCATCAGATGGAGGTTTGAGTCTAACATGATCATACAGCGCCTCAGATCTATTTGCTTTGTTTAAGCTCTCTTCCTTATGCGTCTCCCCCCCCTCTTTTTCAGTTCCCTTTTGCCTCTCCGGGTCTTTAGTCTCTTCCCGGCCCCGTGTCTGACCACACTCCTCGCCAACACCATCCTCACCTACGCGGCCATCTTTGCGCTTTCGATAAACCGCACCAGATGCCAGCTTTATGCCAAAAGCACAATCTAGAGAGGAAGCTCTGCAAGCGCCTGTCCCACCATTGCCCGTGTAGTGTGCCCCGTGGTCTGCTGCGCGAGTGCATAACATAGTGGGAGCTTCGCAGTCCAAGTCATCCTGACGAAGCACAGCCACCAGGTTCTCCCTGCTCAGGAAAGCTTTGACGGCCTCCTCCATGCATAGCAGGATCCCGTCCCAATCTTTGAACTCTATCAGCGTTTTTGCAGGCTCGAGACATATGTCGTACTCGGAGTAAGGGCATTCGATGTTGACGACGTACACGGCGTGCAGTTCTTGGCTACGCTTGTGCTTCGGACTCCTGGTAACGGACGGCCCGTGCGGGCTGTCACTTTTCGGATTGGAGCTGCTCAGTCTGCGGAGGAGGAAGTTCAGGAGCTTGTGTATCCGCGTTTTCTGGAGCAGTCGGGCGTTGACATACAGGAACTGCAGGCTGTTGCTGTAGTGGCCTTCTCTGCCGACGTGACCCGTCACTCCAAACTGCCCGCGCGTGCACCGGATTTCTCCGAGTTTCTGCGCTCGCCCGAGGCCGTGTATCTGAGCGAACCGGTGGTAGGTGCTCGTGGCTTTGGGAAGCTGCACCATCACGGCTCCTGTGCGGTCATTCTTCAAGGTGAAGGACACGGAGGGATGCATCAGGGAAACTGCCTCCACCCGGTGTCTGATCCTCTCGCCCTCCAGGACGGCGTCCATCCTCTTCCTCCGGACCGGCATGTTGTGGAGGAAGTCGCAAACGACCACGGTGGTCCCGGAAGACGGCCTGGCAGCCTCCGCTTCAAACACGCCCATGCCCTGGCCGTCCTTGAAGATTTTGACGTGGGTTTTCACCGACAACCTGGTCCGGGTTGAGATCTCAACCAGCGTGGCCAGCGAGACCACACTCGCCAGGGCTTCCCCCCTGAAACCATACCACCGGAGGTTGTCCAGGTCTTCGGCGGTGCTGCATTTGCTCGTGTGGTATCGGTTTCCCACGCGCTCCATGTCCTCGGCGTTCATCCCGGCACCGTTGTCGACGACCTGGACTTTAAACGCGTCCATGTCCATCCGGACCCCCACGCAGGTGGCCTCGGCATCCACGCTGTTGAGGATGAGCTCCTCTATGCACTGTTGGAGCGAGGGAATAGCGACGCCGGAGCGAAGTTTCCCCCGCACGTCTTCGGGCAGACATTTAATCATGGTGGTCAAACGCTTCGCTTGTCCCGAGCGACTTAAACAGCAACGCTGGATAAACGAGTCGGCCTTAAAAAAGAGTAGTTGCTAGTTAGCTAACGGTCGGTGAAGTTAGCCCAACTGTTTCCCCTTCAGTTACAACAATTGTTTGATGGCGATACATTAAAAAGGAACTCCGGATACACCGCCTGTAATTATAAAAAAGGAAATTATTGAAATCCATGTTAAAACTCAACCTCGGCTGCTGTTTACAGTCAACGTGTGACGACAAGAGTCGACGGAAGGCGGCCAACAGTCAGGTCTAACAGCGCCATCTCGTGGTGGGAGGAGCTACAGCGCGGCCGTCCTCCTTCCATTTTATTGGTTGGCAGATTTAACCCAGCTTTAAGTTTACCGCCACCTAGTGGACGGAGTGTGCATTCTCATGCGTTTAATGTCTCAGTGATGTATTTGTTTTACTTTTAATAATTATTGAATTTCACGAAAATAATATCAGACTCCAAAAGGCGGAGGGAGATAAAAAACAAAATGATGTTGATGTAATTGTTAATAATGGACTACGGTTATTTATCGTCTGACATGAATTCACATAATCTATGGAAAAAAAGTAACATTTCCCTCCAGATGTAATTCGTGGTCCATTTCTCCTAAATTAAAAAAATAACCGTATGTAAGGTTTACTCGATCCTCAGTCCATCAGAGTCACTCATTTCCAAAGAAGGCCAGCAGCCTTTTAACTGGGTATTTAGTCATTTGTCAGGCTCCCCTCGGAGTCCTTCAGTTTGTCTTTGAGGAGGCCAAGGAATTAGGCTGTGACAGATTTCAAGGTCATACCATCGCCCGTTTGCTCACCGGGATGTCTGCCGGACTCTGGCTCATTTGCAAATGCTCCCATCAAACAGATTAAGCGTTTGTTAACAGTGCCTTTTAGATCATGTAGTCTCCTCATCAAATACTCCCTTAATGCGATTGCTACAATAAAATTCAACAATGCAGGCTGGAAGGAATTCTATTTTTATTATACTATTATGTAGATGTTAAGGAGAAACATAAACACATGCTTTCATTTCATTGCTTGACCCTTATTCCAACTAATAAAAGAAACAAAATAAATAGTATATGTGCGTCAAAGTTAATATCATAGGTACAATCTATACATTATTTTTTATTTTAATATGTTAAAAGATGAGTGTTCTAGGCTATCAACCGCTTTCTCGTTTTTGAACTCCGCTTTGGTTATGCGGGACTTGGGGCTCCCGCTGGATTTCAGCCACTCTTGCATTTCCTTCACCTGGCTTCGTGGGCCTTGTAGCTGCCCCTGAACAGTTCCTGCTCCCGTGTTCTGGACCCATCCCACCAGGCCAAGCTTCCTCCCCTCTGCCTGGGAAATGACACCGGTGGATTAGAAAAGAGCAGATAACGATGGGAGGGTGAAGGCTGTAATGGGAACGTGAATTAGATACATTGTACAGGATTGTTTGTGAACATTATATGGCTTGAACATCTGGTGCAAGAATATCTTGTAATCGTTTAAAAAAGACATGTTAAACTAAAAACTGTAATAAAATGATTCAACATATATCTTTTGTCCTGGAGCTTTAAGCCTTCCCCAGATTTTCTTTTTATCATAATACATGCTATCGACACAAAGGCTGCCAGCTCATTAGCAAGATATTGACTAACTCTTAATAAATTAGTTCACTGGCTTACTTTTGATATTTATCTTTGTCACTGTTGAACTCACTTGAGTGTATTTCCGAAAAAACACGCCTTGCACTCTGCCAAAAATTTCATACTCCACTGAAATGAGGTCTTCGTTGCTCATAATGTACCTGGAACAGGAGAAAGGAGACAGTATCTACCTGAGTGCAGTGTTGTGTTATTATCATCAGGTGCCATGTTGCATTGCAGGGGCTACGGTTAGCTAACGTTGCTACAAGCTATGCTAACATAATACATCTCTGTAGCTGCAAACCATTTACAACTTGGATGTTGACCATATTCGGTGTTTTACTCACGCTGTAAGGATACAGGAAAGATCGCTGTATGTCATATAAATTCACATGAATACTGTTTGGACGCCGTGAGACGAATGTGCTGCTGCAATTTTAAAACATAAGGGACTGCGTTTCCGGAAGGGATCAGTGGACCAATCAGAGAACACCCGAGATATTTGGTTTCTAGGCAACGAATGTAAACATGTAAAAAGTCGCAATAGTTATGCTGCCTTTCCCCGAGCAGCTGTATTTGTCGACAGATTGCTAAACCTACTGGTGCTGTTCTGTTTATTGCAGAGGTTTCTCACTCTTTTCCCTTTTTTATTTATGGCTCATTTATTTAGAGTTTTTTTTATTCCTTCTCCATGATGACTAAAAGGTAAGCTTTAACGTCTCACTCTTGACCTTAAAAACAGCAGAGGACAAGCTGGATCTCCGCCTGCTTGCATTTTGTAAAGCCTTTGACCATTTCACGTTAATCTTTTACACACTTTTTCGGCTGTTTACTTTTTGTTTGACATGGATGAGTGTGCACCGATAGTGCTCAGACTCTATGTACTGTATAATGTAAGGAAAATGATTATCTACGTTACCATGCAAATCTACAAATGCCTGACAACTTGGAAAGTTAATCTTAAAGCCTGTGTGATTTGGTTGAAAGTGAGTTGTCACTGGCTTTTATTAATGTGACAAATACATTGTCAAGTTCAATCTGAGGACCTGTGTGATTAAAATATATACTTCTACACACTTTCACTGCAGCTGCACAGCATTTTCCTTGAATGCTTTTTCTTCTCCTCAGCGATGATACTGATAACATCCAGTACTTGATATGGAGGACTTGAGTTTCACAACAACAAAGAAACCTGAAAGAAAACTGCTGAAGTCATGAGCTCGCACACAGGAAGAAGACACAGTCCTCAAAGGGGACACAACAGTGCAGGGAAAATAATTGGCAATGTCTTTACACAAGCACAACATGGCGTTGTACCCGGTAAGAGCGCAGATGGCATAAACGTGCCGTTTCCGATCAAGCCTGTCTACCACAAAAGATCTGTTCAACCCAGTAAACAAGACGTATTTGCACCGTATGATTTAGAAAAAGCTGCTACAACAAAACAACCAAGAGATCCTTCGCCGCCCCAGGAACAGCTTACAAATGGCAAAGACACCAACGGATGCCGAGACCCAATAAACAGCTCAGACTGCAGACAGGCCAGTGGAGAACTGCAGATGGACAGAGCGATTTATGCAGGAAAGCTCATGCTGCAGGATAAGCTGTGGATCTTGGCGGAAAAAATGAGACAGAAAAAACAGAGGGACGCTGCTGCTGCTGCACTTGATGACCAAAAGAGCGGGGAGCAGAGACGCAGCAGAGGACATGCCGAAGGAGGACAACTGCAGACAAAACCCAGGCTGCCTGAGCAGCAGAGGAGAGAACCGGTGGGAAGGAGGGAAACAAAAGTGCAAGAACGAGGACGGGAGAATTTTCAACAACATGTGAAGATACAAGGTCAAGAAGAAAGGGCCGGGGGGCCAGGAAGGGAAATGGCAACTCACCAGCTCACAGTTCTGGAGCAAGAAGCAAGTGGAGAGCTGAGCAAACCACGGTGGGAAAAGGTGAAACATGAAGAGGAGAAATGGCTTTCTGACCTCGACCGAGATACGCCTCAAACGAGTCAGCAGAAGGCCTCTCGTGAAGCCGCAACCGGAGGAAGAAAACCGCCGGGGGGGGCGACGCTGCCACCGGTGTCCCATCCCTCCCGTCTCAGCGGACCACAGCCGGGACAGAACCAGAAAGCGGACTCCCGCCTCCAGCTCCTTCCTTGCAAAATTTGCAAGAGGAAGTTTGCAAGCCAAAGGTTGCAGAAGCACGTCCAAATCTGTGAAAAGGTGAAACAGTCGCCGCGCGGAGTCTTCAACAGCTGCCTTCAGAGGATCAAGGGATCTGAAAACGAGAAGTTCTTGAGAACGCTGGCCGCCGTACCAGTTTCACGGACTGAGGTTTATGGCAAAGGTAATCACTCGAGTATTTTGACCACTCGTGTTCCCCTGGAGTGTCGTTTTCAAGAGTGTGTACTCATGACCGTTTTAAGAAGCATTTCATGTTTTTGGTTTTATTCAGGTTTCTAAATAAGAAAAAACAAGATGAAGCCAAGCAAATACAGGGAATCTACATCAAGCCCGGATCCCAAATGGAACGTCACAGCCCAAATGGTCCAAGTGAGGAGATGAGGACTGAACCATTTGAACAAGAAATAATAAGACAGTTTGTCACGTCAACCATCACCATCTTATTGGTTAGTGGTAGTTTAGTTTCTCAATTGTCTCTTTGAAGGATCTCGTATATGAACATATATATTCCGTATGACCTAAATAGAAGAGATGGTCGTTGACTCGTTACAAGACTAACATGTACACCTAATCATATGAATAGAAATAGCTGCATTGTTGGTCTTACATTGTGGATAATATAAACTTTTGAAAAAAAAAGTCTGACACAAAAACAGTTTGACGTGTTTATACGGTTATGTCTCCACAACGCCTGGTTAATTGTTAACAAACAGACATTATTTTACACACATAAGGCACAGCATTTACATATTTGCTTAAATTTTGGTTTCATTAGCTTGCTTAAGGCACTTGTGATTGTATTAACGTTGCATTTTACAGCATTAAAAATCCTGCCAGTGCTCTCGTGGTGACCGTTCACTGACCGCGGACTGAGTTTCACAAAACATACTCAAAATGTGCAACTACAAGTTAGCTTGTTTTTTTTTTAAATACAGCGAAAACATTTCAGAAATACCAACAGGTAAAATGGTTAAACATTAACATTGTAGCCACATGATGAGCTGTATGGTAAATGCTTCCACATGAAAAGAAACCGGTTCGTACGTGTCACAAAGAAGACCTACATGTGTGCTTCCCTGTCAAGTATTCAAGATTTGAAGGTAATAAGAAAAAGTAAATATGCAGCAGTTAAAAAAATGAAATCAGTAGTTTTGTGTTTCACACAAATACTTTATAACATGCAAATGTAAAAAAGATGTATATCTGCATGAGATAATTACAATGTGTTTATAACATTTCTCATGAATGTGTGAAAACTGTGTTAGAAACTTTGTATTTTGCACTTTTAAACTTTTTATGAATATAGAATGAAACCCAAATAATTAAAGAGAATTATAATAACAATTAAAATTGGGAGATGGGGCCAAAATGAGTCAGAAGGAATCTGCACAGCATCCTGGGAGCCAATCTCTCGACCATATGCAAACAACAACTGTAATTTGGATGTTTCCTATTTGCATTAAATGGTCTTATTTTTATATATTTGATAATATCAATATATGAGGCACAAAGGGCCAAAGACTTAAAGCAACATTGCTTTAAGTCAACAATAGCTGTACTCACTATGATGATGGTCTGTCCGAGAGTCAGGTGCTTCATGTTGAATCCAGCCAACATTTCAGTGTGTGGAGAAACTAGCCAGATTGCATCACACGGGTGAACGCAGGTGTGCAGATGAGTGTCCTAGGTGTCACCCATAGTATGACACAGGTAACGGACAGTAATAAGGCAACCTAGCATTCTGTCAGACGCGTGTTCTGTACGTGACCTCTGTAAACGGGCACGAGGCCGCAGCCCGGACTGCACGTCCCACCAAGCCTCCGATCCCCCACCTAACCGGCTTGTTTAGCTTAATATGTGCCGCTCACATCGCCCCCGTAATTAGGACGCCTGCAGGTGAGGTCATACACTGGCCCCTGAGGGTCGGGCCCCTTGGATGGCTAATGCGGCTCCTCTTTCTCCTCCATCGCCGGGCATTCGGGCATCAGAGGGTTGGTTTCCGTTGTTGTCGCATCGCGCTTCCCTTTGCGCTGAGCGACCGATCGCTGCCCAGAGCCTTTCGTTCTCGTTCTGCTGCTCATTGACCTGGAGGAGGCAAGAGCGCGTGCTGTCTTACCCGCGCACCAGGATCGAACTCGCCACTGAGGCGGATTTTTGGGGAAAACATTTCTTACCTGACTTTCGAGCCTCAGGATCCTCAAGTCTTGATTAGCGACCGTCTCTCGCAGCTGCAAAAAGAGAAAAAGCTCTCTTGTCAAATACTGTGGCAACGGGATGCAGAGAATAGATCGTAACCTGCAGTGCTCGAGTGGGCAGATTTGATACCTGCATGACCTCGTCACTCGCATTGCAGCATGCGCCAGTTTGCCCTTTTTTGCAGACGTCAGCCTCCTCCAGTCCCTTGACTTCATCACAGCCCGTGAACATCAGCCCTGTGAAATTCTGAAAGCAGTGATTTGGAGTAAATAACTCATGCCTAGAAAAAAAAGACAGGACAGGTATTTTGGGCATTACCGACAGATGAGCAGCAGCCGTCAGCTCTTTCAACTCCTCATAAGGCAGAGTGACGCTCTCGGAGATCGAAGAGAGCTGGTCCGGAACGGATCCCTCAGAGTCCTCCGGCATCGGGATGACCTCGGCATTCTCAAGCTCCTGTTGGACGAAAGCCCCCCTGAATTAGAACACTCGAGTCTCCACGCCTTACGATTCCAACAAATGTTTCCTTATTCCCATGATGCTACAAACGTTTCTAAGCCAGAGAGGGCAGGAGCTGTCCCCGGTCTGACTTGTCAGCGACATCGCCGGAGTCTTCATCAGGCACTGCTCCGTATTATCCTCCAGTGTACCACCAAGACCCCGGTCACGGCCATCCGTCTCTGAACCAGGTTCTATGTCCAGATCCACTGTAGACGTAGATGCCTCTTGGCCCAGTCCTATATCGACATATATATGTGTATATACACGCACATCGTCACACACGCACAAACAATGTTGATTTTCAGGATTAAATGTAGAAAATGAATGAATACACAAATCAGTGACCAAAGGAAAGTATGTACCACTACCGACTGACAGTCCACTGCTGTTAGAGCGAATGGTCTTGGAGGTGAGCACCTTCTCTGCAAAGGAGAAAAACTATATTAGACTGGCTGCTTGCACAAGTGTACACTGTGCATCTGTGCGTCTGGTTGTGAATACAAACCCATAATGATAATGGTGTGCCAACCACGGCAAGAGAGGTCCGGTACATGGTGCAGGGAACCGAAAATAGGCCTCGGCATGGCAGGGCACACCTCTGAACCAAATCCCTTATCAGCCGGCATCCCAAGTCGACCGTTTCCTGCGTTTCCCCACGCAAATATGTGATTATCTGCAGGCAGAACGAAAACAGGGGATGATAAACCCTCAGGCCCGAAGGTTAGGGGAAGGAAATGAAAGTGGCACAAACTCTGACAGACAGAAATGTACTTGTTAACGCGATAGAAGTGCAACAAAAAGAGGTATGGTCCTACCCAGAGTGGCTGCAATGGTGAAGCCATCCCCACAAGACACTTTGGTCACTTTCTTCCCTCCAAAGGGTCCAACAAGGAGTTGGACCCCCTGGTGTTTCTTAAAGTCCTTCACACCCAGCTGTCCGTACTTGTTGCAGCCGAAGGTGATCAGACGGCCGTGATCTGAGAAGTGAAAATGTACATTTTGTGAATTGGTGAAAACGTTCGCTCTGGTGATTAATATCATCCTCTTCGTAAGGTACCATCGATGGCAGCTGTGTGGCTCTTCCCTGGGGCGATGACCTGAATCGTGAACCTCGCCAGCTGCTTTACCAATGTCAGTGTAGTGATGTACGGGATCCCCTGATAATCCTGCTGTGGTGTGCAAAGAAGGAACCCAAACATTACCATGGCTGCATCCCCTCAAGTCTGGATTATTACAGTCCTGTAGGAGTAACCTAGTACCTCATGGTGCTTTTTTAGACCAGAAATTCCCTGGTTCAGACCAAGCTTGTTGAATTCATTGTTTCCACATGCTAAGACTTTGCCGGTCTCGGTTAAAAAGAAGGTCCCGTCGCTGGCACACGACACAGAGGAGATGGTGGCGCCTTGAGGGATCTCCACCTGAGAAAACCAGAAAACAGACGGTACTTTTGATTGCCTAAAACACTTTGGATCTTGCGGACTCATGCAAGGTTTTAAGAGTGTGTGCCAGAACGGGGCAGAAAATCTTACTTGCATCGGGGAAGAAAAGTCATCCTCACATTCCAGGCCGAGACGCCCTGCAACCAGGAAAACAGTGCAAATCCTCCAGAGAACACTGCATTTTAATGTATTACTACTACTATCTTCGCCTGCTGGCCTAACAGCTAAAAAGCGACATCAAATAGAGCACCTCTACTCACCATACTCTCCGCAGCCCCAGGAGTAGATGTCCCCGCTCTGAGTCAGGACGGCCACGTGGTGGTCCCCACAGGACACCTGCCGGACAGGCCGCTCCTCAAAAAACTCCAAAAGCACTGGTTTCAGAACCTCATTGCCGAACTCTCCCTCCACGCCGATGCAGCCGTAATAGTCCGACCCGAACATGTACATCTGGTCCTCATCTGCAAAACAAATTTAAAAAAATCAGCCGAGTGTCCAAAGTGCACCTTCACGGACAACTTTGATTCGTCTTCATTTCTTCACCCACCGGTGACGCACGCGGTGAAGTCGGCCCCGCAGGCCACCTGTCGGAAGGCCTTCCCCTGGAGCTTGTCCACCTTCTTGGGCTGCCGGTACGAGGCCTGATCTCCCTGACCCAGCTGGCCCACCATCTTGGCTCCTCCTTGGACGTTCTGAAGAGAAGAGCTCCTTGTAAGTGAAGCCCAAGAAGAACTGGATCCGGACGGTATTCCTCCCAGAGTGACGGCGAGCGGTAAATACTCACCGCCCAGGTGTACAGCTCCTTTTCCACGGTCACTACTGCAAAGTGACTCTCGCCCGCACACACGTGTTGCGCACTGCTACCGCCTTTAAACATGTCCATTTTCTGGGGCGTGAACTTCCCTCCGCCCCAGAAGTACACCTCCCTTGAGCGTGTGGTCACCACGGCAACAGAGGTGTCAGTCACTGTACTGAGCCTGCGGGGCGTCCAGGACATCGAGTGAGTTAAAGGCTAAGGACCCTTAAAGGACACTGTCCTTTAAGGGACTACATAGAAACTTTTACAATGGGGAATATTACGAAACCCCTGTTAACAACTCACTTGGGTTTTTTCATTGCTAAATTCAGGAGGGCAACTCGTTCTTCGAGCTGCCTTAGAGGGAACAAAGTTGTCAGTGGGTTGTCATGAATGCAACAGAATGGAAATAATCTTTAGAATGAAAACGCTCTTTTCCCCATCAACCCACTTACTGTCTACAGCAGGAGACGAGTGGCTGGTCCAGGATCTGGTTGGTCGTGGGCCTCTTGGCGGGATCCTTTCAAGACAAACACATCACAGGGAGTTGACGGCGGATTGCTTCGCAGAGCCGGCGTGTCGCCGGGTTAATGACACATCACAACACAGCGCTCTTCTCTGGTTTTTTCCGTCACTCACTGGATCGAGGCACTCGTACACCAGTTTGATCAATTCGGATGAATACACATCAGAGTTCACTTCCATGGTCCAGTTCCCCTGGACTATTTTCACACAGAGGTTCAGAGGGTTCTGGTGGACACAATCAGCAGGATTAGTTAATTCCGGAAAAGGGTGGGAGGGGCCTGATTTTTAGGTTAAAGCCAATAATGAAAATGGTTAACAAACCAACCGTTGCATCGAATGTCCTTGTAAGAGCAAGGACTTCAAAAATGACACAACCCATGGCCCAGATGTCCGATTTGAAGTTGTACTTTGCTCCTTGGCACAATTCAGGTGACATGTAATATGGAGTTCCCACACACTGGATTTACAGAAGAAAAAACCCCCCATTAATATTTACTAAATCCTGGTTGGTCTGGTAAAACATATTGTCACAACTCACAGTCTCTGCCATTGAAAACTCAGAGTGCAGCTTCTTTGCAAGGCCATAGTCACCGAGCTTGATGAGGTCTGTCTTGGTCAAAAAAATGTTCTGAGTTTTGATATCTCTGCAAGAAAAAAAGAAGAAAAAAAAGAAGAATGAATAAAACGTTAAAGTCCTGCAGATCACCAATAAAGGCATGAAAATGTGCTGTTTATCTTACCTGTGAAGGATCCCAGCCTTGTGAATGTAGGACACAGCTGAGGCAATCTGGTACAGGTACCAGATGACCACCTAAAGAAACGCGTTAAAGTTAAAATAGTCTGTTTGTATAGATAAATATTTGTATGAAATACAGGCCCTGCAACGGCGCGCTCATACCTCTTCACTGAAAAGCTTCCCCTCCTGGCGGTTGATTTTATCATACAGATTTCCTCCTGTGATAGAAAAGCCATTTAGCGTTCAGTCACAGACAAAGAGCATTCAAACTAATCTCCATCTAATCTTTCCGAGAGTTGACTAAATATTGGCATACCATTACAATACTCCAATTCAATGAGCAAAGTGTTTTTATCCACGAAGTGATTCAAGTAGGCGATGATGTTGTTGTGCTCCAGGATGGACAGGATGCTTATTTCATTCATGACATCTCTGCTCTCCTTTTCGGAGAGGGATTTCAGCTCCACCTCTTTCCACACCACCAGGGAGTTGTCCTAAACCACAAGGACACGTTATGAAATATGAATGATCATTATTATTAATTAGAAGAAGACAAACAGTGGTGCCCGGGTGCCTCTATGGTGCTTGATGTATTCCTAACCTTAATTGTAAGATATCGAATTGCCTCACAATTCATTTTTTTGGAGGGGGGGGTAACTCATCTAGTCCTCCCTTAGGAATCTCTCACAGGGGGTCACAGAAGTCAGCGGGGACACACGCATATTGTACAGGAAATCCTGCAGCACTTGCACGAAGTCACGTGGCATTAAGTTGTTTGTTTTTTTGTTTTTTGTTTTTTAAAGCGTCTTCTGGGACCCGAAATCCAGCTCACCTCCGTCCTCCGGTACAGAGTCGCTTCGCCGAACGCCCCCCTGCCGAGGACCCGGATAGGAATGTAATGCAGCTTCTCCTCTTCGCCATTGTACGCGCTCGACGCCGTCGATCGCTCGCTGACCACCGACCCGCCGAACACGTCCGAGTTCAGCGAGTCGAAATGCCTCTCATCGTCCGCGAGGGACATTTCTGTCTCGGGACAACAACAACAACGAAAAAAGCGATGGCAGTGATGAAAATAAGCCGCGCAGGCCTCACGACGACTCTTTCTGGACGACTGCTACGTAACTCGTAAACACGCGTCTGACATGTCCTCGCGCTCTCTCGCTCGCTCTCTCGGAGTTGGCGGATGCAGATACCCGTGAATCGTATTAAGTTACCCGGATGCCTAAGAAGCCACTTAACACACACAGACACACACACGCATATACATACAGTGTAAGAAAAATAAAGTACAAACACAACGTAGCAAAATAGCTCGACTGGGTAGCGTTAAAAAAAAACGAGGGCGCTCGGTGAACTCCTCAAGTTTCAGAATAAAGGGAGTGTTTGTGTGTTTTACGCTGAAAGTCCACGCAGCGTATTTCCGGTCGCAGCACTCGGCCAGTGGAGCTTTAGCTAAAGCTTCAGTTAGCAAGACGATATTACACTGCCGCAATAAAAAACATGGACATGTTGACAGGCTAAAAACGTTCCGTAAATTATGCGTAAGACGCAGTGGTGGGGGACGTTTAAAATCAGCTCACACGCCGACATCCCCGGACTCCATCCATCATTTCCTCGCACTCAAACCCGGAAACGATCAAGTTAAACGGTCCGCTGGGAGTTAACAATAAAATAAAAATAATAAAGTATTCTTATACATTCATGTTTGGACACATTGCCTTTACCCTGGAGGCTATGATAAAAAAATAAAAGGGATAACACGTTTAGTCAACGGCAGGTATGTGTCATACACACAGATACGCACGTTCAGTTCACCATTTTATTTTGAAAGCGACATAATTCATGTGAAACATGCATTGTGTCACAACTTTTAGAAATCTAATGAAACTTCTTCTAGACTAGGTTTTGTATGATATGAGTAAAATCCTTTCACTTTGTGTATGCTTTAACGTATTTTTACATATACATAAAAACAACCCAGACTTGTGTGTGTATGTGTGTGTGTGTCACCTGTACAATATATTATACTTCTCACTATTTGCATTGTGTGCGTAATGAGAATCTAAAAAAAAGAGACAACAAATAAAGTCAGTCAGGAGATATTTTCACATAAAAGATAGCATAGAAGATAGTTAAAGGGGGTGTCAACACAGACACACGGTGTTGTAATATTGACAGAGCAGCCATCTCACACAGATAAAAGTTGTGTGCAGGCGGACTTTCTGAAAAAAAACCAGATGGCTAAGACAAGAATGATCTCAAATAATGATGACAGCACAGATGGAAGGAATAATGGTAGGCTTGCCTAATTTTAACCATGACAATTTCAGAAATGACGATGCATTATTATCTGTCGCTTTGAACTCTGATCAAAGTGTCTGTTTGTTCAGGATCTTCCCGCACAGTCAGAGTTGGGTCCAGAAGCCTTCCTCTGTATCCACTGGTTATCGTGTGTTTAGCACTGCTGAACATTATACTGATGTTTACCGGTATTGGGATTGGGATTTACTGTGAGTACAACTAATCCAATGGCCGTGGTGTGCTTCTCCTGTTTCGAGTCACTTTGTAGTACATTGTACTAAACAATTCATTAGCTGATAGTTCGCTATACACATCCTTTCAAAACCCATTGCTATGACTTATGGTAAATACGTATCTGCTAATTACAGGTGGAAAAGTAAGTGGGGAATCCAACTCCTACCAAATAACAGCACAAGCCCTCATCTTAGAGGTGAAGCAACTTCAGGTGATGCAGACTGAAGTGATCAAAGCTCAAGAAGAGGCCCGACACGCATTAGAGACAGAGCTGGAGAGCCACCGGCTGCTGAAACTTCAGTTAGAGCAGATCCAGGCCCTCGGCGACGGCGTCCAGACCCAGATTGAGAGCCTACATAAGGAGAAAGATACACTGACGGCCAATTCATCTGATATTCGTGAGAGCTCTTAACGCATCCATTTAAAAAACATTATTGAATCAACCCTTTTTCCTCTTGTTTTGACTTTAACTCATTTTCTTCTTGGAACAGTACAAAATTGCGGTCGCTGCCAGTCAGGATGGCGTTTATTCAACATGTCATGCTACTTACATTCTGGATCCCAACACTTGAAGACCTGGCATGACAGCAGGCAGGACTGTCTCAGGCGGGGCGCAGATCTGGCTGTGATTAATAACTTGCAGGAGCAGGTGAGCCCAGCGTCACGTTGGGGGGAAAAGACAAAGAAATGTTACAAATAAGATGAATAGTCTTTTAATTTTTTGCTTCCTTTTAACTTTTTGCATTTAATCAAGGTCAGTCTTTTTCAAGAGCTTTTCCCATTTCCTCAGTGGCAGATTTAGTAACTTTCAGGTGTCAGCAGACAAGTACTTTATAAGACGTTTCCACTTGCAATAGCAGGTAAAAGATACGTTGCCACATTGTGGCTTTGTTCCACACAACAGAGTACAGGTGATGCAAAATATCACCCTGGAACTGTTTCCATTCCAATGTATTGCAGGCATTACATCCATGTGTTTCATGACATATGAAATTATCTTCTTGGAAATGCCGTGAGCTGTAGAAAATGTCCAGTTGCTATGTGAAGAGCTCATGCTTTTCAAGCCACGATCACTTCAACATCTCATCGGTTGCTAGCTCAGCCTGCTCTGCTATTACATATGATAGAGGTGAACCTTTAACAACACATTGTGATGCTGTTCAACTTCTGTTTATCCAGTTGAATCTTTATGAATACCTACCCAAACGAGATCCAAGCATTCGACCGTGGTGGAGACATCCAGGAGGCATTTGGATCGGCCTTACAGATATTCAAACAGAGGGCAATTGGACGTGGGTAAATAATGTGCCTCTGCAGGATGGAGGGTGAGAGCTTTGATACTTACTATGCAGTGCTGTTGTGTTCAAAGACTCATTGCTGTGGTTTGGAATATGCTTATTGGCTTTCTTCCTGAGAGTTTGACGACCCATGGAAAGTAAATCAGCTTAGTTCCCTGAATGTCAAACAATTACGTTTCTATCAGACAGGTTCATCTATAGTCCTGAAATGACCATCAACTTTAGAAAGAGTTGTTACGTTTGTTATCCATTAACCTCAAGGTGCCTCTTGCCTGTGTATTTGATATAGAGATTCATTTGGTATAGTAAAAAGGACAATTTAATCTTAATCAGGCACATGCAAATGGCTGCAATGTCAATCTGTGAACTGATTCAAATCAGAGAGACAGCAGGAGAAGGAGAGAGAATTATTATGACGATTATAAAGTGTAACGCGGGCCTTGCTTTAGGTACTGGATGCAAGGGGAACCCAACAACGCAGGAACGGAGGAGGACTGCTTAGCAATCATGAACATGAAAAACTCCAAGGCAACATGGTACGATGCCAGCTGTAGTCTGCAAAAGGAATGGTTGTGTGAAAAGGAACCCAACTAGCTGCATGGCGAGCCGAATCCAGGCAGTTACCTCAGAGAAGTAGCCCTCAAGATGTCAACGTGGTGATTAGCTTGACCTGTAATAAATGTGCAAATAACCTCTGGTTCCTTAATGCGTTGTTTCTGAGAGTAAGCAAAGTAAAACTCGAGCGAATAAATTACATTCATGTGTCAACTGCTTTTTACTCTTTATTCTGTTAATCACACATGTGGCATTTTCAATGAGGAACTGATCCCGAACAAATAACGATGGCGGTCAGGATGTTTTTATTAAGTACAACACGCAACTTCTGTATTTTCCTTTCTCTCTCAAAAGGACTCACACTAAAGTTCTTTTCTTTTCTTTCCGTGACCTCGGTTTGAACTGTCTGCATTAACTGTTAAACATGGTTTTAACATTCAAAACGTGATTTTAACTCCACAATCGTTTGAGTGTAACCTAGTAAAAGATCATCATATTGCTCTTGATTGTATTTTGCGGGTATAATAAGTTGAAATATAGTATCAAGAGTTTTACTTTGAGGAACTTATGGTCTGTGTACAGGGGGAGGTGGATCTCTGTTCCCACTACTGACTGGTTGACATTGAAAATGACATAATTCATCAATAACGTCATTTCCCAAAGCCCTAAAGGACTTGTTCAAGCAGTCTGCACCTCAGTAGTTCAGACAGTGTCGCAAAGTTTCTCTCTCCCTTATTATATTTTATGCCCAAGTCGATTACCTTCAGGTTCCTCATTCAGCTACTAAACATATCATTATGGAGACAAACTATCTAGAAGTGCAAATGAAGCAGACGCTATCAAGTATCGAGACGTATGTATTTGTTGTGTATCGTAGGACGTTTTATGACAAAAAACACAGGAATCATGTGGCGGATGCCTTCAAGGATGGAGGCTTCTTAAATCATCCTGCTGTTATTAATCTCTCCATGTGTCCATCTCTCAAAAGAACCTGTATTACTGTATAACTATATTAATGTATAATTACTGTAGTACTGTATAAGTCAAGGGGGTGACTCGTGATCAATGACTTGTGATCAATAACTTGGCATCGCAGGTGGGTTTCCATCACTGAAATAAAAAAAGTATAGAACTCTTGTGTCTCCTCAGAAATCCAAAATGTGTGCAGTGCAAATCATTTTCTCTGTTATGTCTCGGCTTCTTTTTTAGCCTTAAAATGTAAGGCTAAAAAAGGAAACTGCACTTTAAATCCTCTGCAGCTCCTGTAAATATTTAACAAATTAACCTGATTTTCTGTTTGTAATGTTACACACACACACACACACACACTTACTTGCACACAGGGCAAGGTCCTAACAAATAAACGTTTCTCGGCGGTCGCAGCAGACTCATTTTTACCGTTGAAATGGAGGGAGGAGAAAATTCAGGTGGTTCTTTTGATGGTTCATATAACAAACTGATTCATCCAGAGGACTCCAGTGACGATGACCGCAGTCTCCACTCAAACCAAGAGAAGCAACAAGGTAAAGTGAATGGAAATTGAATACATTACTCGCCAATGAGAATGTTGTATATTTTATTTAAAGATTATAAGACATTACAGGAAACACGTCCCTGTTGTACTTTAAAATGTTTCCTTGTTTTGTTATTAGGGGCATTGTTTAAATCGTTCGTACATCTCGTTTGGTTTTGATTAGCCTTTGTCGACTCTCTGTATGTTGTTTTACTTATATTGAATAACGGTGACACAGTTGACGGCTCCACGTTGACCCATTGTGTCTCTGTGTAGTGTCCATGTTGATGGTGAGGCCTGCATCCCGTTTGGATCATTACAAACGGCTTACAGTAGGCCTGGCGGTGCTTGCTGTCGTTCTCTTGGCAAGTGACGTTGGCCTGGGAGTTTATTGTAAGTCCCCGTTTACTCGTCTCCTCAGAGAGATTTACATGTGCTGACATCTTACCTTTCTGGTTGACAGTTTGTGACACATACCTGGTCAATAAATGTCATTCTTAATAAGAATAAAGATCCTGCTCTCAGACTTTTGCTCAAGATTAATTACAAAACTGCAGCAAAACTTAATATATTCAACTAAAAGTTGGAGTAGCTATTACGCGTATGCATTTTAGTCAGTCGCTTTTAATGTTGCAGCTAAGGAAGGGGAATTAAAAGGAACAAAAGGGAGGTCAACAAAGTTCGACAGCTTGTTTCTGCTGCCCCCTAAGCATTAAAAAATATGTAAAATCTGTAGATGCAAGCGTACTGTATGTAGAAGCAATTAAGCTGTATATGTAATTGATAAACACCTTGTCTCTATCACTTGCAGATAAAAAGCTAACAAATGGACAGGATGTAAATGACATCAGGAGCGAGGTGGCCAAACTGCAAGCTTCTCACAACTCTGCAATCCAAAGCAGGGATGAAGCGAAGAAGCAGCTGGAAAGGGAGATCAGTGGGCAGCAAATGACCAAATGGGAGATTGAACACCAGAGTAGAAAAATCAAAAACTACGAAGCGCTCAGTGACAGAATCCAAATGGAGGTTTCGGCGTTGAAGTCCCACATCCCAATGATTAGTGAGAGCTTCTTTCAGTCATTTGTGCTGTCAAGGTTTACAAAAACATAATTATTGTGCCTCAAACAACAAAACATCCTGTTTCCATTGTCTCGGGTAACAGAAAACGGCTGCAGGCACTGTCTCCCCGGGTGGACGTTCATGAACTCGCTGTGTTACTTCTTCCCATTCTCTGACGCTATTCAACGCAGATCATGGCCAGAAGCCAGAGAGTTCTGCAGAAACAAAGGAGCTGACTTGGCAGTGATCGACACCAGGGAGAAACTCGTAAGACTCCACATTTAAGCAACGATTTTCTTAGCATTTCAAATAGCTGTAAAATGAAATAATAATACGATGTAACATACGCGGTAAATAAATGTACTGTACACGTATCAGTGGTGATAATGCATTAGCAGCAAAATGATCATTAAGTATAACGTAAAGTATTAATTGAGAAGTAATATGTTCTCTGTCGGTGTTTTACAATTACAGTATACATATATAATGTTTCTGAATTTATATTTCTGCTGCATCAATGTGTATGCTGCATTTTCATGTAGATGCTGAAAGTTGTGCGGATTGTAACTTTATTAACTTTATGTAACTTTACTATATCAATTAATTGTGTGTGTGTATGTGTTTGTACATTTCTGTTGTCGGCAGATGGCAATACATAGCTTGATAAATAATAATCATAACCCCTCACTGGACGTAAGCATGACGGGCTTTTGGATCGGATTGAGAGATGTGGAGGAGGAAGGGATTTGGAAATGGCTGGATGGAACAAGACTGACTGAAGGGTAACAGTTATATATGCACGGAAACAACCAACAGCCATAATTCAAACAATAATTAAATTGAGTCAAATATTGTGTGTGTAGGAACTGTTGAGACACTATAATACAATCTCATAATTACAGCTGTTGCAAAAATCCATTCATAATACCACTCTTCAAAATCAATAAATAAATCATATTCTATTTGTGCTTACAGTTACACAGCAGTTGTTATTTCTCCCCTACCCACTATTTGTTTCAGATATTGGAATGATGGAGAGCCCAACAATAGCGGCAATGAGGACTGTGCAGCAACGTATCCCAGAGGGAATCCCTTTCAGGCCTGGAATGATGCGCCGTGCAGTTATGACCTGAAATGGATCTGCCAAGGAACACCAAGTGTTAATGTGTTAAAGTCCATTTAATTGTTTGAATAAAAAATGAACTGTTTTTATTAAAGACTTTTAAATCTCTCTTCACTGTCATGTCAATATTTGTTGAGACTTCAGTCTTACAAGGAACGCCAAAATACCAAAAATACATTTGATCTATGAAATTAACTACAAAATGTAGGTAAAACATTACTCTGCAATAAATAACTTTACTATGTAGAGTACATATGAATTTCTACTATACAGACCTGTACACAAAGATACCAGTTTATCACACATATGCATTGTACATTCCTACAATTAAAGTGTAAGTCAGCATCAAGTTGTTACGTTAAGCTTACAGATGTTACAGATGCTCTTAAAAACTGGAGCTACTTTACGTGACTCACTAGGTCGTCTTCAACTAAACACGTTACTCCGCCTATTGTTCTGGAGGTGACACACGCAAGCTTTTTAGAATCATGAATTAAAACGAGTGCGTCGACGCAACGACGCAGACGCAGAAGCATGCGCCAGCCTTCACAGAACCGAAAAGTGCTGCCGAAGTTGCTTGAGAAGCTGCTGAGTGTCGACGTGCTCCGGGAAGGAGTCCTCAGACTTTTGGGCGGCAGTGTAACTGCCTTGAAGGTCTCCGATCTGGAAACAGATAAAACCCCTCACATCAGCAGACTGTACCGTGGAGATTATGCTTTTTCTACTGCATTGTTTAGATATTTAGATGATTTAAGTAGTGACAAACTACCTTTTCAGAGAGAATGGAGAGATTGAAGTGCGGCTCGTACATGTGAGGGGCGAGCGATGCTGCCGTCTGCAGGAAGGCTTTAGACTGGACCAAAGACAGGACGACATTTGGTAATGTCAATATCACCGGATTCATTTATAATGGAGACGCAGACAAGGAATGAGCCAGTGCATCTTTCTGAATCAGACAGCTAAGATCATTCTGACACCTTATTAGCTCAGAGGCAGTGGAAGTTCAGTTAAAGACTGAAGCGATTTGGCATTTTACTCGCATCTTTGCATTGACTTTGTGTGTAATCCAGTCGCGTGGTGACCACACAGCATCAGCGATCCATTAAACAATCCACATTAACAAGCCTTTGGGATGTAAATCAAATAGACTTTCATGGTACTGCGTCTTATAATACATGCTTTACTCAGGTTGGACAATAATAATGCCTTGAGGGTAATGGTAATTGAATACAATCTTAAAAAAACGGAAAATGATCTAATTTCACATATTTAAGCAGCAGCATGAAAGCTGTATGACTCAGAGACATATTTTCACCTGTTCGATGCGACCTTTGCGCAGCTCCAGCACTGCCAGGTTGTTGTAGGCCTCAGCGTGGTCATTATTGTTAGTCAAAGCCAATTTAAAACACTGGTAGGCCAGTGGCAAGTCTCCTATGCCCTGTAAACGTAGAACACATGTATTTTTGCACCTTTCGCACCTTTTGTAGGCTTTACTGAGCTCTACTTTCTTTCATTGTTAAATATGATCAAATCAACCGCATTCTGAGATACTTTTGGGGGATTGTGAACTCACCACGGCCACGTGTCCTATGTTGTACCACACATCCGCCTGCTCTTCGTCATTGGCCGCCAGGGCCTGAGCCCTCTCGAACGAGGACAGAGTCATGTCGTACTGCTGGGCGTAGAAGCAGCACAAGCCCAGGTTGTTGTACAGCTGGCAGTTATACACCCCCATCTGAAGTAGCCGTCTAGGATTGGGGGGGGGGGGCATATTGAATCACAGACGGGATACAATTTATAGTGTAACAATACATTGCATAAAATGATGCATGGATGCGTGTCGGACCTGTAGAAGCGCAGGGCGATCTCAGGCTGATCGGTGTAGAAGTGATTGCTGCCTATGCAGGCTATAGCCTCCACGTGGGTGTTGTCCTGCTTCAGCACATCTTTGTAATACTCTGTGGCCGATGAGATGTTGTTCATCTCCTGTGGTAGTATCACAGCACAAACATTACAAGACGACTTCCTTTTGAGTTTTGGACATTTGTAACTGGAGTGAGAACTAAGTGGATTCTATAATAAGAACCGTGGGGACATACTCTACCTCGTGTATGCGAGCGATTCCAGTTAGCAGAGTAACCTCCCCAGGAAAGTGGTCCAGACCTTGCTTGAAAAGGTTAAGTGCTGTTATTGGTTGATCCAGGCGCTGATACACCTTTAGGAAAACACAAACAAGGGTCTTTCATAGCTGACACTTGGCATTAAGAAATTATTTTCCATCTTGCAACAAATTGGTAATGCGTCACTACCTTCGCAAGGTAGAGATACGTATCCACCACCTCTTTATGGTTCAGAGCTGATCTAAACTGTTTTTCTGCCTCTCGATATAAACCAAGCCTGCAAAGGTCAGAGATACGAATCGTTACATGAATTACAAAAACAATACTCGAATGTCAGAAATCTGGAGATCCAAACATTTGGTTGCCTGTGCGTTACCTGTAGTAGCATTTTCCTAACTGAACCTTCCACCACCAGTCTTTAAACTGGGCATGTTCAGTAGCTTGAGCAGCCAAATCTAATGCCTGGGAAATAAAACATTACGTTTTTGTTGTATGAATAATTGTCAATGAAAAAAAAAACAATACCATAAGATGTATAAGACACTTACATTTTTTACATCATTTTCATGGTGGAATATGTACTCGAACAATGTCTGAGAAGAGAAAGTATGATTGTGTGATAAAATAAGGATATTTAGTTATTTATGGAAGTGGCGGTCTCAATCTTACCCTGGATAATTGTGGTTTTTGGGAATACTTGGCCAGATTTAGTCTCGAGAGGTTTATATATGGTCCTTCTGGATTGGTTAACATAGAAGCCTGGAGAAACAGTGAAAAAGAAAGTCAATGATGATGCTTTCCCTGTAGTCAATATAGAAATAGATAACTATTACAAATAAACAAGTGCACGAGAAGATTGCATTTTAAAAAACTATGAACCAAGATCAATAAAACACTGACATCATGAAGGATTTTTTTTTTAAAGCTGAAAATATTGATGAAGTCAGCCGGCATTGAGTGTGCAGTGGCTGTGTTTCAATAAAGGAAAAGTGCATTTGTGTTTGCACACGGAGCCTTTTCTGTCGATGCAGACACAATTTCATGGAATATTTACTGACTGTGCCCAGACGAATGAATCTGCCAGAAGCGCTCGTGACAGGACGGGCGGAGCCTGCGGTGCGGGGGGTCTTGATGGCCTGCTCCATTGTCCCAGGACGACCCGACTGTGTGCTGGGCCTCACAAATCCTGTGATGGGACGCCCCGATTGTGTCAAGGGCCTATTATATGGACAAAAAATTCAGTCCGTGTTGCCTTTACTTTGGTGGCAAAGTTATCTACGGTAAAATGTTATGGTACTAGAGAATCATTTTCTGGCAGACAGCACCTGACAGCCGGTGTGGGACCTCCGCCATGACTTGTTCCAGGGAGCCTCAGTGATGTTCCTGGTCCTGGAGGAAAGTCCAGTGTTATCAATCAGACAGATTTAACAATTGAGTAAATGTATGAATGATTCACTTTCCTAATTGTAAGGGGCAGCGAGGAGTATACACGTACGTGCAACTTGGGCAATAGAGCTTTCATCCAGCATCATCTCAGCAATCCCTTCCTGGTCAACCTCAATTTCGTCAATGTATACCATCTCTGTAAGAGCGCGGGTTTTCAAGCTCCACGCAGCCTGAGAAGATCACAACATGTGAGTCACATAGATGGCCTCGGATGTGAAGGGGAACATGTAACAGTCGGGACCTGCATTGAACTTTTTACAGGAAAACGAAACGAAAAGGGAAGGAAGAGAGCAACAGGGTTACCTCTGAGATAAGTATGGAGGAGTCCTTGACACAGCATGCAGTGGGTTAGTGAGAAGAAGAAGAAGAAGATGCGATAATGAATGGAAATTTAGTGCAAAGAAAAAATGAAATGTGTAAAAGAAACTTGGTCGAGTGCACGGGAACATGTTCAGCAGCTGATGCAAATGCGGATTCTTATACGCTAATGATAATAAATACAGCGTGACCTAAATGAAATAACGACAACTTTCCTTTCGACTAATCGGGATTATGCACCATGTTCTACCGCATTCCTGCGTTAGCAAACAAGAAGGCTTTCCTTCACGGATAATCGCAGGCATGCTAAGCTAGCTCACGGCTAACTACGCCACGGTACCTGGTCGTACGGGTTGTCCTGTAATATTTTAGTGCAAATATCTGAACATTGTTGAAGCTTTCGCCTCCGGAAGTAGCTCAACGCCAGGAACAACGGGTCCATCTTCACCTCCATTGCTTGGTGGGGGAAAGTATGACACTAGGTGTGAAAGTCGGCTACCGAGCTGTTGAGCTAAACAGGGACGATGGCATACATGGACGGCGAGACCCAAGCTTCCTCTGTCGCTCGGCAACAACGGAGGAGGGCGGGGCTTCACTTCACTACTTCCTCTCATAAGATGTGTTTATATAACGTCGTATATTGTTTTAATTTTTTTTATGTGTTAATTTACCTCTTCAAAAAACTCAAATATAATGGGACATCTACGAATCTTAAATATTGTAGCTGTTGTAAATGTAGACATAATATGTTATGTAAAAATGTAATTTCATTCTACTTTTTTAAGACGCACAATTTGGCCTATGTGTGTGTGTAAAATGCACATTCAACGAATGATGTTGTTCATTAAGACACAAGGAGTAATCCAGTTTTGAAATCCAGCGTAACTTTGTTAGCCGTGACGTAGGAGTCGTCTCCAGCTTCTCGCTCCTCGAAGATGAGTCAAGGGATCTAATTGGACGATATGGAGGTCCGTCATCTTTGTGGGCGGTGCTTGCAGAATAACTGTGCAGCTCCATCTTTGTAGGATTTGACAGGAGCTTTGACCTGTGTCGGGGAGGACAGCAAGCCTCGGGAGGCAGCAGTGGAAGTACATTCTCACAATGAGAACAACCGCGTTAAAAACAACCGTTTCTTGAATAGAAACAAAGAGCTCTCATATTTCCGGAAAGCGAGACAATACCTTCACGCGAGCCTCGGAAATGCCTAATTTCAACGCTTTCTCCGGACCGGTGGAAATCCAACGGATCTAATGGGACACGCGGGCTTAAATTAAATCCTTATTTTTTATTTTTTGGTGAATGACACTATATGAAAAAAAACCTACGCGAGAGCCACAGATAGAGACACACACACGGAAGCGCGGACATGGCTGACAGAACTGCTCCCAACTGCCACCTGAGACTGGAGTGGGTGTACGGATACCGGGGACACCAGTGCCGCAACAACCTGTACTACACGGCCGCCAAGGAAATAGTCTACTTCGTTGCCGGCGTGGGAGTTGTGTACAACACCCGGGAGCACAAGCAGAAATTTTATCTGGGACACAACGACGATATAATCAGGTAGCGTAATGATATGCGGGACTATTTGTTTCAGCACCTCGGACAGCGCCGGACCCTCGTTAGTGAACTAATTGATATTGGCGGTGTTGACATTGTGGGTGCTGGTGTCACCTTGTGCAGTGTGATATGATATTTATTTCTTTATTAATTTTTAGCTCAAGGGGGCACACACACACACACACACACACACACACACACACACACACACACACACACACACACACACACACACACACACACACACACACAGCAGCATCCCCAGTAGTTGATGAGAGTATAGTGTCTCTCCAGTGGGGCAGACACGGTCAGCAGAGTTCTCTCTACTGCTACTAAAGAACTCACTGCTGCCGCTCCTCCTCCTGAAGCTGCAGGGGCTGCTGGAATGTTACAACAGATTTAATTATCAAACCAGTTAATCTATAAAATGCAATGCAATGTCCCTCAGCTATTTCCATGAATGCAAGGTGATTCTTTAAAAAATGATGTTTTGTTTAACCAACAATGCAAAGCTAAAATTCATTTAACTAAGAGGAAAATATCATACTGATAATAGCAGAAAGAGAATGGGTTGACACAATTTTTTTTTTTGATTTTTTTCTATTAATTGATTCTCTAAACAAAGAATTGGAAAAATCGTTAGTGGAAATGAACATTGCTGGCACCGTTGTCATTTAGCGGACGTTTTTCAACCCATTAAAAGCTTTTCCAAAAAGGCAGCCCACATGGGGGGCAATAACACTAATGGGTGAGATACTGAAAATGCAACAGAAAACGGCTGTCCTTAAAAGGGTCCTTGAACATTTCTTTTTAATGAAACACCGCAAAATAACCAATGTTACACATGTCACATGTAAGGCTCCTGCTTCCCAGCGGTTTCTCAGCATGCCATGCAACAGCAACCCATGTCTAACTATGCAGCGCTTGTGTTGACATGTATGTGTGGGTTGGCCTGGAGATGACTAGTACTATATGCCATGTCGGTAGTCAGCTGGACCCCTGCTCCATTATTAATAGAACAATAGAGAGGCTAGCCGTCCGCTTTGCAGTGGGTGAATTACCCGGGTTCCAGCATATGCTAGAGGAGTCACTGACTGCATGTGCAAGACCAATCAATGCAAACGTCATTAATCTGTAAACCACCAGATCAACCATCTGTACATCTGTTCTTATACTGTTATTTGGTCTTTTGTTGCATTTGTTACACCCAGGCTGTTCAAAATGGATACAAAGCTTTGGCAGTTGAAACACATTTACAGTAAAAGCTTTCAGGTCTCTTTGTTACTGCTGACAGGTGTCAGGTGTATTTAAAATGCAGATCTCAGAGGAGTGCTTGTGAAGCTCCCATGAACCCTTCCTTTGACTCTGGCACCACCAGCAGCAATCCTCCGCAGATGCGGTGCTGAATAACCGTCGGACTGCTCTCAAATTGCATTAGCCCGAGAAAAATATGTAGCCTACTTCAAAAAGCACAAAAAAATCAATACCTTCTTGCTCTTGCTTTCCCTTTTCTTCTTTTTTTGGGTTATTTGTGAGCTAAATCTGTGATAAATTTCTGGCCTTGTTTCTCCCACCTGGTTCTGTCTCGCCCTGCGGCCCTTTGAGACCAGCCAGCTAATAGACAGGTTTTCACATTAATGAAATGCTCCGCTGTCTATGACCGTGCATCAAGCAAACAAGATAGTCTGACCTTCTTTTGCTGGTCTGGAACTTTTACAGGTTATTGAGCAATACATATAATACTGTGAGGATGTTAATGTGCAAATGTTAAAACACCCCCTTGAGTGTTAGTTAAATTCGTAGTAGTTTAGTAGTAGTAGTATTACATTTATATTATATATATTCCAGTATATATATATATATATATATATATATATATATATTCCAGTCTGAAACCCAAAGAACCTGAGGCGACTAAATAAAACCTTCGGGAGTTGGTACCTCAAAGCTTTGTATTTGCAACGTTGACATGAACCTGAAAAAGGTGGAAGCAGAATTACTAAATAAGGCTTTGGGTGTGTGATCCCTTTGTTCCCATAAACAATAGCAAACTAAGGGTTGCACACACTCTTGTTAAGGTGGGAAGGGTTTAGGGGAAAGATAATATTTGAGATATTGTGTAATGGTAAAAACTTGAATTTCTGTCCCAACAATCAGGTATTGTTCTGGCAGCAGCGTCGAAACATGACAGCAGGCTTCATTTACGGCTGGTCTCCTGAATCTTGGCTAATTCATATTCTTTGTTTTGATAGAGGGGGAGAGTTAATGAGAGGGTGTTATGGACACAGGAATAAAAGGCTGTGTCACGTTACACTATTTTATTGATGATACTTGTTATGATGGACCGGAGACAGAGTTATGGATTATGGATGCCAGACCGAGGACCGGTCATGTTTCAGCGAGGTGAAAGAGACTCAGTGAACCTGTGACCTGCACGAGCTAACGCAAATTTGCTCTGCAAATGAATGAGCTAAAATCAAAATGACAAAACTGAGCAGCATGTAGAAGGTTTGATAAACATGCAATATAGTGGGTTTTCTAACAGTAATATTATTGGACAAATTGAAGCTGTGCATGTGAAACAAGTGACTTTGGAGTATTAAGTAAATATGTGGCAATATGTATATATTTATATGTTGATAATTTGACCTAGTACTTAAAATAGAAACCACATAGCAACAACTCTCATTGTTGGTGACAATGAGTGTGCCCATGATTTTGCTTTTAATGCACATATTTTGGTGCTCTGTGCAGAGTGTCAGAGAGATGCTCCTACATCCCATCATCACTGTGAGGATAGCCTGTAAAGAGCAGGTCCGTCTCCCCCAATTAGGATCCTCCAGAGACCAGTACAGTTACTTAGCGCAGTGGCATGATTCAGCATCATTGTCGCCGCGGTTCTAGAAATAAACTCTGATAGACGTCTCTGATTTAACTGGAGATGTTATTTTACACAGAAAAGGTGAAAGCAGCTACAATACTCTGATATGGTACTCCTCACTTTACCATCACTTAGAAATAATCAGTTAACAGAACTATTCTTTTTGAAGAATGTTAGTGCATTTATAAGTTGATGATAAAAAAACAACTCACCATAAATAGAAGGAACAACAATTATGCTAGAGTGGGTAAATGGTGAGTGTCGTGCTATTCTAGTTTATTTAAAATAAACCAGATGTGTCTTTGCATCTTCCGCCCGAAAAGAATGAAGTTCTCTGGCTGTTTATTTGCCTCCCAGCTACATGTTAGTTGCTGCAGGGTTTAGCCAGTCTAGTACTACAGGACTTGGGCAGACGGAAGACAGCCTTTATTAAACAGAGAGCCCCAGTCATTAGGGAACAGAAATGTAAATGAAACAGAAATCTTGTCGCTGACTCAAAAGAGGGACATGCACACACAATACACATTAAAGCTGGCAGGATGGGAAAACAAAACTGAAGTGGAAGTCTGGCTGAGTTTCAGGGCTTCCGTTAAATACGTTTGGCACGAGATTGACTCCATAGCTATTGGACATTCTATTCTTTGGCGATGCCGTTTCATGCAGGGTCAAACCAGACGGATTGGCTGTGCTCCACCTGCTCGAGCCGAGGCGCTTTCTCTGCTGCGTCGGTCTGCGTCTCAAAGGGGTCCTGTCATGCTTCTTTCCTCTGCCTCTGAATGCTATTTATAGTTGCTTGCTCTGATTATGTAATTTATACAACAAAAAAACAACAACAAGTTGCAATTGTTCCAGGTTGGAGAGAGGTTCAACGAAGAAGGTGGTAAGCGGATGATGAGAGAAATAGAAGGAGAGTCGAGGGAGGACAAACATCGGATCTGTCGGATCTCACAGTCGGAAAAAAGACAAATGTCTTTTGTCGAAGCTTTGTCGAGTTCTCAGTGGCAGCATGTTTCGAATGCAGATGAGGTTTCACCAGTCAGACACAAAGATTTAGCTTGAAATCGTGGGAGGACAAGGATGGAGATGAGAGGTGTAGATTGAGGTGTAGAGTGAGGGAGAGAG